AGTGTTCTCTCACGCGAACATGAAACACCTGTCAAACTACTACAAAAAATTTCCTTTAAAATCAACTTGGGAGAACAGAATCAACCCAAACAACAAAAAAAAATAATCAAAGATTTCCAACATTCAACAATATGAAAGTTCAACACGCCTTGTGCCTTGCAGCTCTATTGCTCCTTCTTATTGCTCATTTCACATTCGCTCTCGATGTGAACACTTCTCTCTATCCAAAACTCTCCAATGCCGTCTGTAAGAGAAAGATTGACATTGTTAGAGAATTCAAAACTGTTCGTTTCGTTACAAAGGCAGGATGTATTGATAGAAGAAATGCCACTGCCATTGGTGCTTTCGCTGATCTTGAATTCTTTGCTTCAGTTGTCAAATTCCCAATGCTCGGTATGAATGCCAAGACTGTGGTCACTGCTCCACAAACTGGTAAAGCTATCACAGTTGTCGTTGGTAACGCTTTCGGATTTGATGAAGTTCTTGAATATAAGGAAGTGAATGGAAAGGAAGGTTTCCAACCTGGTAATGACACTGTTGTTAGAAGTGTGAGACTTGGACAAGTGGATTGGACTGTTGATTCTGTGTCAAGAACCGCATTGAATTCTGCCAACACTTCCTATGTCTATCAAGCAGTTGTTTCCACTACTGTTCCAAACTTTTGTTCTATTAAGATTACTACTATGGTCACTTCTGATGCAGTCACTTTCACTTCACCAAAGATGGTCAACAGAACTGGAGTTGTTCAAGTTTTGAACCCATCTACTTTGAAGGTTACTTTGGAACTCACTGGAATTACCTACTCTGCATCTGATTCATTGGTCGCTTTGGGATCTGTTGTTGCTTTCAGAGGTAACAGAAGAGATAAGCCAATTCAACCAGCCAGTGAAGAGAAGCCAGATGATGCTACCAGTGATCAAACTGTCAATCAATTCGATGATGATGTCAACACTCAATTGGGTGGAAGTAATGTTGCTGCTCTTCCAAAAGGATTCTTCTCATTCCAAAACTTCGTATCTCGTTGGAACACTTCTGCTCCAACAGTTATTACCAGAGGTAAATTCGTTGCTTCCCCAATGGTTCCATTCCAACCAAGCCAAGATGGTGAAACTACTTTGAGAGATCGTGTTGATTCTAATGCTGCAATGGTTAGATTCTACATGTCTATTACTGAACGAGTGGACGCATTTGTTTGGGATCCAAGCACTGGTTCAAGTGAAGACTCTTCCTATTTGAGCAACTCTGCTGCAAGAAATGGAGCAGCTGGTTTCGTTGGTATGATTGTTACTTTGCTTGCCATGTTTGCATTCTTGTTTTAAATGCGTTACGAAGGAATGAGGACACTCCGCTTGTGGTGACATTGTGTAAATGAAAATAAACAAATGTAACAACACTTTAAAAACTCGACACTGCTTTGAAATTTTCAATAACGGAAAGGCCTTAATTGGGGGAATTGTAAGGAAACAGTGATGGAAAATATTGTGTTTGAAGAAACATTGATTCGAAAGTCTATTGCTTTGGAAAATTGTTGTGAACATATTCGTCGAATGTTCTTAACAGCTCTGCTTTTTCTGAATAGGAGATGAATGCGTTCTCAAAACTAAATCGCATAATCTTGAGTAGTTCCTCATTTGTAAAGTTATAGAGTCGTTGGATTTTGAACAATTCTTTAGAAAGAGTAATATCACTCATAAGGGTGTTGTCTGTACATACACAAACAGCAATACCTTTTCGGAAATAAAATGGTAATGGATGCGCTGCATAACTGGGTGTTGCTTTTGTTTGAAAATTGCTGGTCACACAAATTTCAAGAGCGATATTTCTAGCTCGTACATATTCCAACAGCTTTAAGTCTTGCACTAGTTTTGTTCCATGTCCAATTCGTTGTACTCCACAGTTGATAATAGCGTCTTTAATGTATTCAGATCCAGCAGCCTCTCCACTGTGACATGTCGCCATCAAATAGTTCTATGTTGTTTGAAAATCAAGAATACATTAATTACAAAATATAAAAAGTGCAATAAAAATTACCTCATGAACCAATTGAAATGACTTTCTGTGTAAACTTGCAGGATATTCTAATTCTTTGGATGCCAAATCGAATGCCACCGTTTTTGCATGAGAATATTTTGTTGCAATCTCAGCCATTTCATAAACAACTCAGGGCTCATTTCTCTTAAACCACAAACAATAATCCTTCCAGTAAATCCAGGCAATGTTCTTTCAGCATATTCAACGCCTCTCACGACTGAGTCCATGATTTGTTTTAAGGAAAGGCCAGAATTAGTGTGTAAAACAGGTCCAAACCTAATTTCTAAATAAGTGGTATTTTCTTTGTAGGCATCTTCACAAACCTCGTATGTCACTCTTTCCAACGAATCTGATACATCAATATTTTAGTATGAACTGTTCAGGTTCCCTTATTACTTACATTCATTCTTTGGTATTTAATATTAATAACACGTCTTAGATAATTCTAATTACTTACTTGTAAAACAGCACAAGTAAATTTAAATGCTTCCAAATACTGTTCCAAGCTTGCACAGTCATCAGGTACAACCAAATGTTTTGACAACTCGTTTTCAGTTTTTGCTGGCAAATTAATATTGTATCGATTCGCTAGGTCTATCATGGTTTGAATCTTTGCAACAGTTTAAATGATTTTGAGAATTGACGATGAATACATAAATTACCTACTCTTAACGATCCATCCAAATGTCTATGCAACTCAGCTTTGGGTATTTCTATGAGCATGTCAAGATGACACTCGATGTAAAGATATCTAAACACCAACCTCTATTTGTTCTAAAGTGAACGTATTTCCAATCGGACATGTTTGTGCCTCCATCTCTGCTGTAGTTGTTGATAGGATATTCGGCATGCCTGCAGCAGCAAACGAAGAACTATTCCTCGACAAGGACACACAAAAATTCCTAACATTTCCAAAATTTTCCCTCCTCACTCCTTGTTTCCAAATACCACAAATCATGTGGTTGGCGTGCTTTTCCAACATGTTCCGAATCATGATGATTGAGTCTCTTCACAGCAAAAATTCAAAAGGCTTGTCTTCAAGCAAAAGAAAATTATTTTTTGTTCATAAAAATTGCCCAACAACAAAAATGCACGCTCTGCTGCGTTCGGCCAGCAAGGTCCTCTCATCAACAACAAAAACATCTAGCCATGCTCCATCATCCACATTGCTTTTCAGTTTTAATTCATGTAGTAACAACAACTTGAAGAAAATCATGTTTCCTTCAAATATTCAACAAATTTCGTTTTATCATCAAAATGTATTTAGTTTGAATGCCAGTAAACAAGAGGTGAAAATTGGTGGTGAGGAATTGAATGAAAAGATTAGCGAAAATATTGAAATTAATACAAATCAAGAGGAACAACAGCAAGAACCAGTGGTAGAGGAAGAAGCTACAACAAGCACCGGAGCAATTCGTCTCAGCAATATTGTTGGTGGTGAAACACCTGCTAAATATCAAGTCTATGTACCTCCCGCACATACCAATTTACCAATGAATGAAGTGAGAGAATTACATTTTGCTGTTGTTCAAATTGGAGGACATCAATACAAGGTCACCAATGGAGATAGAATTACTGTTAATAGAATTCCTATTGAAGTTGGAACACAAATTAAGTTGAACAAGATCTTACTTGTAGGAGGAAAGGATTTCAGCGCTGTGGGTAGACCAATCGTATCCAATGCCACAGTTTTGGCCACAATTGAGCAACACACAAGATCCGCTTACACCATCGCCTTCAAGAAAAGAAGAAGGAAAAATTCTAAAAGATTTAAGGGATTCCAACAACAAATTACAACTCTCCGTATTGACAATGTCCAATTTGAGGGACAAGCAAATGAAAGTGAATTGAAGGTTGTTTGCCACGAGTAAAATATAGATTCAATGAAATTCAAGGACAGTTGTAACAACTTCATTAATACAAGCTGAGAAATTTATGGAATTTTACTTCTTTCTGAGATAGACCTGACTCGATTTATTTCTTTGTTTTCTTTTGAGATGCCTCATTTTCTTCTTCGTCTTCATCAGAGTCCTCCTCAGTATCATCATTGTTGACATTGTATTGTGTTGGTACTAGCAAAGGTATTGGCGTTGATCGAGATGACCTTTTACTACCTGGTGCTCTCACCACCGTCCTAAATGGTTCTGAATTGAATGTCAACAATATCCTATTTTCTAACATGATGTGTACTAATAATCTATACTTGTCAACAGTGTTGTCACTCGATGTTTCACGGAATTTAAACTCCATTTTCACTTTGAGTGTGTTGTTTTTTGTTACATCAAATTCCTCTTTCGTTTTCCCTTTTAACACCCGTTTTCCAGCTCTTTCTCTTTTCACGCATTTCACTTCTACATCATTTCTGTCATCAACAAGTTCCAACCTTGCAAATAGACCTCCTTGATTAATCATTGGCATGACCACTCTTAATCCATACTTGACAGAACTCAATAAATAATTCTCATCATGAAGCTTTTCAAATATATAATTTTTAGTGTCTATCGTTACTGTTTTAGGATCAATCAATAATCTATCTCCGAGTATTGTCCTATTCAACTCTGTGATGGTGCAATTATTAGCGCTGTAGCAACTTTTTTGATAGGCTCTAGCTGACTTTTTACTACTGTATTTACTCATGTTATTATTACAATACAATGACCGGTGTATGTTATTGTTTTTTTGTTCTTTCAAATAATTGTTTGGAGTGCAGTTGTACAAGCTGAATGTTTGTCGGTCCGACACTATGAATTCCGACGTCAACGAGAGGTATTTTTTCGTTCGTGATGTGCACAATTTAATGACAAGTTCCAATCAGATGGTTTGATGAACTGCATGCAGCGCGTACATCAACACGAACAACATTGGAAAAGGAAGAATGAACCTTTTCGTTGGGCTGTATTTTTAAACAACACAAAATAAACGACTTACAGTTGCCCCAAAGAGGCTTCCTCGTAGCCAAGAGAAATTGTTGCATAGCTAATCAAAGCATTCCATTGATCATCACATTTCATCGGAAAGTCATCATTCCAAAAAAGAAGAACAAACAACCACTTTTTAAAAATCATCAAGAAAATATCATCGTCATCACATATAAAAAATGCAGTCCATATTTAAGAGAAAGAAGATTGCAAAATTTAATTTCCGTATCTCGTTTCAACACTTGATGAAGCTACCAAAGAGTGGTATTATATTGTATATATCATGGAAACGAGGAAAGAAACACAAAGGAGAAACTAAAAAAGCCTTTGTGAAAGATAAAACGGCTGTTTGGGAAGAAGAAATTCAATTCAAAGGAACGTTGTTTAAAAATTCAAAAGGAAAATATAAGAAAAAGTTTTTGGAATTGTATATACATGAAGTAGTCCGAGACAAGAAGAAGAAGGGAGAAATAGGACACATATCAATTAATTTAGCTGATTTTTCTTCTCTGCAGATGGAGCCTCACTCCGAGATTAGGACATTTACTGTTCCGCTATGGGGAGGTCATCGAATGGAGAGTTGAAAGTCAAGATTGAAAGCGAGCCTAGATTAAAGTCTGGTGCTGATGATCTCACAAGTTTAAGTGAAAACACAACAATGACCGACGCAACCGAAGACAGTGAAGACGACCACACAAAGAGAAAAGGTTTTAGGTCAAACAAATTTAACAAGACAGCTGATGATGACGAGTACAACGAGGATGACGATCATTTCGGAGAGACTTATGACGATGATGAAGAATTTGGAGAGCACAATTTTGATGATGAAGAAGATCATTATCATGATGATGACGACTTACGAAGCGGAGCCAGCAACCAAAGTCAAAACCGTGATGACAACGAAATTCCAAGTTCACAACCCTCAAAGAGATCCTCAGTGAAACAAAGTCGTGATTCTCTGGATGATCTGGATGACGAGGTTAGTGCACGGTCTTCCTCCAATCTCAAGGAAGACTCTGATGAAGATCAACCAGCTAAGAAACCAGTAATGAAATCTTTGGCCGGTATTAGTGCTGCAGAAAGAAGAAACGCTCTAAACAAGAATAATTCCAGGAAACATCAAAATCTTAGTTTAACGAGTGAGGTAGATTCTGATGCGTTCTTGAAAAATCTTGAAAAAACTAACCAGACCATTCAAGAGAGACAAAAGCGAAATGAGAAAAACAACGGTGGACTTACTGTCACGTCTCCTAGAAATACCATGTCTGAGGAGAGCATGACTGGAGATGAACACTCCAGTGGTGATGAAGCAAGGTTGGCTGAGGTTCAAAAACAAATCAAGCAAGAACAGCTTGAGAAGAAAGCTATGCAAGAGAAGCTTGAAAGATTACAAAGGGAAGCTAACGAGAGAGCTCTTATAGATTATGTTATTATTAACAAGACACCAGAGTTTGAAAAAGAAATTGCTGTTTCTGCGCCAATTCTTTACAAATGTCTGAAACATTGGGATAGCTTCACGCCTTCAAATAATCAAGTTCTTTCCAAGATCACTAAGGCTCTTCAACAAGTTGTGCAAAAGAACGAAAACAATCAAACCAATCAATGCTATTGGCTATCTGTGATACTCTCTCTATTAACACTCCTTCAAACAGATTTCCCTGTTTCTAGATCTCAAGAGCATGGCGTTCAAATTGATTTACTTAAACGAGTGGAGTCTTCAGCTATCAATGCCGGCAAAGGTGTTATGGAAGACGTATTACCACCAAAGGACAACGTTGTAGACGTTAAAGAAATGTTGCAAATAGTTTATCAAGTACTTGATATAGATAAGCAACAGAAAAATACTTTAATTATTAATTATGGAGATTCTACAACAAATGAGGACGAATTTGCTTTTGATAGTCCAGTTTCTCAATTCAAAAACGAATTGTTGTCATTGGTTAACAAGATATTTATTCAATACTATCAAGATGTGATACGTCAGCTATTACCTTTCTTGTTCGAAGCACTCTTTGGAAAGCATGGTCAAATGTCATCAACTTCAAGCCCTATGAAAATTGTCAAATTATTCGAAAATTTTTACAAGCTCTTCCAAGATAATTATATTTCAAAGACATTTTCCGAACAATTCTTTGCACATTTATTTTACTTTATTAATTGCTTTGGATTTAATGCTATTCTATCTGGATCAAGAAGATATTGTAATATGGGTTCTGCTATCATGTTGAAGATGTGTGTTTCGCAGCTTGAGCAATGGGCTGATGAGAAAAAGTTTGGACTTGGCTCTATAAAGAGCATTAAGCGAGGTCTCCTACCAATCGTTGGACTTGTATATTTGAGACAAAGCTCAGATGTAATGATAATGAATAAGGCATCACTAGTTGATTCAACCACACGACAAGAAGTATGTCCTGTGTTGTCAGCCACTCAATTACGAAAGATCTTAGAAAGCTATCAAAAAGATGACTTTGATCCTGATGTTGTTCCTCAGGCAGTCCTCAAATCTCTACCAGCACTCGACAAGAACAAACCTGCCAAATTTTACTCGATTCTACGGCCATCTTTAAGCCTGAATTAGAAAATCTCTCTCAGGATTCATCCTCTCTGAACATTATGAGTGATAGTATTTTCCAAAACAAGGTTCCGAAAGAGTTGCGAGAGGAGGAAGACTTTGCATTTCTGATGCAATAATCACCGAGAATGTACAAAAAATCACTAGACTATGAAATTACATCATTCCAAATTAATAATTATTGTCTTTGGATTTATTAGCGATGATGAAGTGGAATCTAGTGTGTTTTTATCCAACAGTAAAATTGATGGTAGGTAGGAGCTCCAGTGAAAGGTTATTCTTTGGACTGGTGTTGTTTAACCTTTCTTTCGAAATCTTTGATGAAGATTGCCAATTCAGGTTCATATTGTGTTTCTGTTAAATTTAATGCTGCTTGTTTGATGCGGTCAATAATTGTTTGTTCTGTGTCCTTGTCTGTTACTCTTATCAATGTTTGTGTTCCATCATCTGATTCCGATGTAAAATAATGTAATTATTATGATTAATAATTAGAATATATAATTTCAAGACCACAATTTCATTATCATCATTGATGGCAACACCCGAAACACTTACCCAACTCGATAACAAATTTGGCATTGGCTGATGTTTTGTGTTCAACAATTCTCTTGCATTCGGTTTGTGGGTTGTAGTGTTGAATCGACGGAAATTGTTTAACAACAACATTTCTTGAAATAGTATTTTCCTCTCCTCCGTATCTGTTATAAATTGCTGTGATTCTCTTCAAATTCGATGGAAGCACAATCCGATTGTCCAAAATGAAATTCATATTCTTGAAGAGCCTTGGGTTCAATAGACGTTGTGAGGACGACATTTTTTCATGAAAAATAAAATCAATGAATCCTATTTGGCATCTTGGAGAAAAGTGTTCACTACTTTCATCTACAGTATCACTTTAAGGGTGAAGAAAATAACAGATTTGGAAGGATAATCCCATGCTTCTCATGCAAAAAATGCTGTTCGAATACTGTTGATACATTCTAATTTTACTACGTGAATTCTGTCGCAATTTTTTGTGTTGGGAAGTTGGCACGAAATTTTGCGACAGCTGTGTCTATAAAAAAGCAAGATGTTTTGAACACTCTTTCGTGAATAATCATTGAAAAAAACAAATGTTTTCAGTTACCAACAAAATCTTTCATGCAAAGCACAAGCAAGAAGGTTCTCTTCATTGGACATTCTCGTTTTTGTTAGCGTTGTCACAGCTCACTGAGGAATGTTGGTACTCTGTGCAGAATCCACTCTTCTTACTGAGATTGTATCATGAATTCAACAAGAATGATTACAAAATCACTGTGTGTCCCATGAGTTTCTATGGTGTCACCTATGTGGTTGTCCAATGGTTCCTTGGTGCTTCCAACATGCATGAGATTATCAGAAGAGCTCTTTCATTAGCTTTCATGTCCTTGTCCTTCGTCTGGTCATTCACCATCAGTAATCAAATTGCTGGAATTGAAGAAGATCGTAAGAACAAATCATGGAGACCTCTTCCCAAGAAACTTTGTTCGGTTGCCTTTGCTACACTCCTTCTCATTCTCTCTACTGTATGTTATCTCATCCATGGTTTGATCGAAGATGTCTTTTGGTACTGTGCTGTGTGGGTGGTAACTTTTATCATTCACAACCACTTGAAGGGTGATGTACTTTGGTGGTCCAAAAATCTTTGCAATGCCATCGGAGCATTTTGCATGCAAAGCTCTTGCTGTCAAATGATGACAGGTCGTGTCGATGTGTTTTCTACTTTGGTTTTCGCGGTGACCAGTGCTTACTTTTGGTGTGTCATTGACATGCAAGATTACCGAGATTTGGAAGGAGATCAGATTATTGGAAGAGAAACCTTTCCCATGATCTTCCAAGACATGACCGCCGCTAGAAAGGCCTTCTTTGCAAAAGCTCTCGTTTCTTCCATGTTCTATGCCATTGCCATGTTTGCCGTTCTGCTGTACTGCAAACAAGAGAATGTCCACTCCGAAATTTCGTCCATGCAATGGATAGTCTTTGTGGCCTATGTCGTGATTGGAATCGTATGGATATGCAAAGGAAGTCTTGAATTGTTGAAGAATACGGATAAGAACCAAGATGATCGGACCTACAAGAAGTGTATTCCTGTATGGTACTTGTTTCAATTGCTCCTTTTTCCAGTAGTGCATGGTGTTCTCTATCCAACTGTCATGGATCAGTAGTAGATGGATGGTTTAATACCTTGTCGAACAATCCACACAATAAAATTGTAAATATTAAATACAGAATTCCAAGCTCTACGCAAGCGTGGGTGATTGGTTGCATGATGAGGAGTAACGATTCGAAAAGACATTTCGGACTACCAATCAAAAACAAAAGCCATCACATCCCTGAAGTGATTCTCTTTCTTCATCATCATTCATCCAAATATTCTTTCATCATCACTCCATGATTCAGGAAGTAAAACAATTCTTTTCATCCACCAAGCAAGGCTTGCTTGGGGTTGTTTCATCGGATCCAAATTCTAAAGGTTCCACAACAGCAGCAGCCGATCCCACCAAAACCTATGCAGTGGCTCTCTCTGCAGGTGTTGCAGCTGCCATTGTTTTAGCTTACAAGCTTTTCAAGAACAAGCAACAACAAGCATCCGATAAGAATTCTACTAGCACTCCAACCATTGCAACCATGAAAGATCTCCAAGAATTATACTTGAAATCTTCCAATTCTTTGAGTCCAATGACGAAAAAACAAAGAATCGGAGTCTTGTTAGTCAATTTGGGTACTCCCAATGATGCCACTCCCAACTCAGTCTACAAGTATTTGCAACAATTTTTGATGGATGGTCGTGTGATTGATGCGAAATATTGGTTTCGATACTTGCTCGTGAATGGCTTGATCGTTCCTTTCCGATACAAAAACTCAACTAAAAACTATCAAGCTATTTGGAAATCCAACGATTTCACTGATGGAAGTGCTTCTCCTCTCAAATATAATACGGAATTGATTGTCAAGCAATTAAGAGAGAGAATGGCAGGCCAAGACGTAGATGCAGATTTTGACCTTGTTGTCGAGTATGCCATGCGTTATCAAAATCCATCCATTGAGACTGGCTTGAACAAGTTGAATCATGAGCATCATTGTTCACACATTATGATTTTACCTCTCTTTCCACAGTACGCTTCTGCAACCGTTGGATCTATTCATGAGGAATGTATGAGAGTCATGTCTAAATGGCTCTATATTCCTTCATTACATTTTGTGAATTCATATCCAACCTATGCTCCATTCATTCGGTCAGTCATCCATAGGATTGAGGAAGCTCTTCAAAGTAATGCTGAAGAAATTCAAAGCAAGCATGGATTCGATCACATCATTGTGAGTTATCACAGTCTTCCAGTCCATCATGAAATCAAAGGTTACAAAGAGCGAGAGGATTTAGATTTTTCTTACTATGCTCAATGTCTGCAAACAACCAAGTGTGTCTTGCAACAATTAGTGAGCGCTCCATCCCATTTGGAAGAATCAAAAGAAACACCTGGTTCCTATGCCATTTCAGAAACCGAGTTTAAGCCTGAGCTATCCAAATACTTTGCACAACATGTCACAATTCAAACTACGTTCCAAAGTCATTTAGGTAAACTGCCATGGCTCACTCCTTACACCACTACTGTGCTAGAGGAATTGGCTTTAGCAAAGAAGAGAGTTCTTATTGTTTGTCCCTCTTTTGTTACAGATTGCATTGAGACGGATCACGAGTTAATGATTGAAGAAAGAGAGGAATTTCATTTGAGGGGAGGAGAGTTGTTTGTGTTGGTTCAATCAGTCAATGATGAAGCAACCTTTGTCGAAGGATTGTATCAAAAGATTATGGACTACTCCAATGTTGTTCATAAATAATGTTCTTGTTTTGCACTGATTGCTGGCGAAACATGATTATTTTCCTGCTTGGGGACAACCGATCAATAAAGTATTACCACCCCTAAATGAAAATCCAAAAACGCCCGGTGACCCAAAATTAATTGTCAACCATCATCTCTTTCTGGGAAACAGAAAAAAATTGCTGTTGTTTGAATATCTCCACGCTGCATCACAATTCTCAGCGGCAAGTGCCAGTTTGCATGCACAACAAACAGTTTTGTCCTTCCTTTCGTCAACAAATTATTACCATCAGCAATTTTTGGATTGCATTCTTTTTTATGAGCAACGAATATTCGCTCGCTATATCGCTAACAGCATCAAATTAGGTATTAATTATTTCCGTTTGTTCATAAGAATATAATACACTACACAAATACAGTGTATCAAAAACGTATCTGTCTTCATCGACCAAAACCACTTCTGTCACTTGTCTCCACTAGTTTTATCGCTCACAACATCATGCTGGCCCTCAAACAAACCAAACAAAAAATGTTGGACGCTACCAGACCCAATAGCGCTCCTACCTCACCATCATCTCCCACAAACATACATCACCAACATCATCATGACGATGTACAACCCTTCTCTTCTTCTTCCTCTCCTCCTTCCAACCCTTCCTCTCCCAAACTGTCTCATAAATCAAATCCTTCATCCCGAAGAGCCTCCGCTCGATTCAACAACAGCACAAACGCATCCAACTCTCAAAAACGTCTCTCTGTAAATCTTCTTCTCAACAAACTCACCAACATGACGAGTAATAACAATGCCAGCAGCACTGCCATGAATGGAGCTCATGCCTCCACGCCGCAGCCAACTCGAATTTTTCTGGCGCCACTTCTTCCTTACTGTCCTCCACGTTGACGAATAACAACAACAACAACAACACTCTAGGTATTGAGGGTTTAAATACTCAACTCACTCAGCAAGGAAGCCAGATTATTATAGGTGTACCGTATAGGGAAGGATGGGGCTATCGAAAAACAACCCATTGGCCCTACTTGTATAATAAGAGATATTTTGTATTGAAGAATCATCATTTGAGAATTTATCGGACCCAAGAGGATTTTAAACAACATCAAATTTTGTCTGCTCAATTAATCAATACACAACAGAATGCATCATCAAGCTTGAATAATAGCAGTCATCTCAACAATTTTACGGGTGGCACGAGTTTCAATAGCTCTTCCTCTCATTATAATGAAGATGACAATACGAGTATTATTTCAACCACTCCAACTTCAGCCACAATTGGTACTGCTGCGAACAACAACAATAATAACCCTGTTTTCACGGATCCTGCAACCATGATTAATGAATTCATTCTGTACAAAATTCCTCTCAAGTATTGCAAATTAACGAAATTTCATACAGTGAAGGGTAATGATGGACAACATTCTGCGGTCAATGTTTTGGACTATCGAAGAAGCGAGGATCATCACAACGATTTGGATGGAACAAGCAACAATGAGGCAACATCATCGAATAAGGAACATTCAAAGATTACCACTGCCAATACTACTGCTGCTGACGATGATGAATTGGAGGAATTTGAATTACACTTTCTACCTCCAGCAGATTATACAGGTACTGGAGTAGTGGGTTCTAAGAGTTATAAAATCAATAATCCCAATGGAGAGAGCGAAAAACAATCGGAAGATCATGCAAATAGTCATGGAACCAACGAAGAGGGAGGCTCCTCGTCGATGGCCAATTCAGCAATTTTCAAACTCAAATTCAAGAGAACCAAAGACTCTCAGAGAGCCACAGATTGGTTCTCAACATTGGATAAAGCAATTTTCCTTGCAAGCAAGGCCTCTGAGGAAGAAGAACGATCAAATTATGAGCAAAAGGAGAAGGATTTTGATGAAGAAGAATGGCTCTCCAAATACAAACAAGAGCAACAACAAGACATGATGGAATTACCTGTTTTTTTACGACCTCTCCAAATGCAAATGCAACACAATGAAGAGTTGCACGATCAGCAAGAAAAACTTAAAGCGCAACAAGAGAGCAATTCACGATCCATGTCCCTCAAAAAACGTTTATCACAATACTTTATGGGAGGTTCTAACAACAATAATGCCAACTCGAATTCGAACAGCAAGAGAAACTCGAAAGGTCTTGATATTAGTGGAAGCAATGTTGAATCTGACGACTCAGCCTCACAGCACACACCTTCCACAACGACATGAAGAGGAGAAGTGGCTACATTGTCGATGACAATTTTCCTGAAATTACGGATATGGCCCAATTACAACATTTAATTCGACAAAACGATGAAATTCATGCCCATGACGAAGGCAACAATGGTTTCAGCAGTCATCATACTCCACCTTCTTCTTTCAACGTTCCTTCAAAACCAACATCGGGAGGTGTTGGAGCCCTACTCTCTGCCCACGCCGAAGAACAGAAAATGTCCAAGATGAAGCGTCTTTCTACCAATTTAGCTGAATTATTCTCAAAGAAAAAACCAAGTACACCAACCAGTGGCAGTGGTGGTCATGATTTTAATGACACAACCTCAGAGTGTCATTCAACAGTATCGGCAGACCAATCCAAGAAAAAGAAACAAGAAAAGAGGAAGAGTTTGTTTGGAAAGTTGTTAACGTTGAACAAGCATTAAACTGTGCAAGTCTCAAATGTTTTCGATTGTATGGTTATGACATTCCCTTTATTAATTTTTGGATTATTACTATTATTATCATCGAAAAGCCTGCGTATCTTTCTTGGTCAACCGAACGGAAATTAGAAATAAAGAGCAAACATTTAGCAGGGAGTAAATCATAGTCTCTTGGTGGTACTTAAAATTGAAATACTACTTCATGATCCATGAAAATCGCATAAAAACGGTTGTAAGACACCCCATAAAAAAATTGTTCAGATTGCTCTCTCAATTTCTCTGTCCACCCTTCCGCCATGAACCAATCCGATTTTATGAAACCACAGCAAAACCATGCAAGCTCAACCTCCACAAGCTCATCCTTCGGAGAAAGGTCAACACCCAACGACAATGGCTCTCCGACCAACGTGTTACCAGTCCGTCGAAGAAAAATTGCTAAACATAAAAAAGCAGAGTTGGCCAACCGGTTGCCACAACTTCGGACCATAACGCAAGCCAATGAAAACTCCCATGCTATGGAAGATACTGATGTGATCGAGATCACTCCAATTGTTATTGCTTCTTCACAAGAATCCACCACTTCAGATTTGAATAGCGAGAAGAAGAAGAAGAAGGCGCTAAAAAAACGGACACCCGTCGTCGAGAAGGAAACGAAGGAAACCAAACAAAAAAAGAGAAAAGTGTCTCGCCAAAAGATGTATGAAAACGTGGCCAAGACCTTACGAAATTCATTGGTCGTTCAAGAAGGAATGCTTGAATATGTGGAAAACGTTCCTCCTTTGCCTGATAAAATCGACGTCAACAAGTATCGCAATAAGAACTTGTTGGCTCTTGACGTTGGGTCCAGTTTTAGCAAAGCATCAAGGATCCACATACTGCGTGGAAAGAGTAACTCTTGCCAAACATCCCACTTGAAATTTGGAACCCACAAAGAAAATTCATTTCCAACCCGCATCTTCTACTCCAAGTCCCTTCATCAGTTTAACATGAAACCACCAACTTTGAAAACTGAGAATAGCAACGATTGGTTTGAATTGGAAAATATCAAAAAGATCTTTATGGTGCAAGAATTGTACACTATTCAACTGCATGGAATTGATTTCAATGTTGCACACGTCATGTACCAACTGTTGAAAGGTCTTCTCACACAATTGGCTTATCGATCCACAACAGATGAACATAATAACAAACACAGTACTCTTGGAAGTTATTCTGGGCTGATTTTAACTTGTCCTACCAACATCTCTGAGATTGTCAAGTTGGTCTACAGAAATTGCGCCCTTAAAGCCATCAATGAGTTTGTTAATCCAGAATTGACTCTTGAAGATATTTACATCATTGAGGAGTTTTCACTTCTCAAATTTTTCAGTGATGCGAATAATATATCCACTGATCCAACGCTTTATGTGGACATTGGCCACCTCACCCTTGACATTACTGTTGTCGAATACGATGAAAATGGAGAAAGCAAGATTACCTACCGAAACGGTGAAGTTGGCGGCATGTCCATCCTTCATAATATTATCAAGTCAGAAACAGGACAAGATTCTTTTGAAATTATGAAAAAGATGTTTGACGAAAGTACAAAGGTCAATTCAGAAAATGAAATAGAATCTATCGCTGCTTCACCTGAACCGAAAATTATCGAGGAACTACAGTCATGTGAAGAGAAAATCATTGAAGCTATGCGAAGTATAGTGACTCCTTTGTGTTTAATTATTCTGCAATGCTCAATAACGAAAGTTCATTTTGCAGGTGCAATTACAAGCTGTCAATACTTTGAACGATTGTTGGATCAGCTATTCTCTGCTAAAGGCATTATGGAAACCCTTGAAAGAATGAAACCCTATTTGAAGGATCAGTATAAGGAAATTCAGGGATGAAAGTTGAAACCACTTATGAAAAATCTGGTAACAGCGCTTTACTGGATGGCATTGAACAACTTATTAACCGATCACTCGCTACCTGCGACATGGGTGGTATTTCATTTCATTTTTCAGTTGCCATTCCGAAACATTACAAGTCTCAATACCATGTTGGATTTTTAGGACTACTTGAAAATGGTGATCAATCAGAATCGAGCAGCTCTCAGATAGAACAGTTTGGAATATCCGTTCGAACAGATATCAATACTCTCTATGTTTTGCAAGATTTCGAAACGTTTATCATCAAGTTCAGTCCAGTCATTGATGTCACAAAAATTGGAATGATTACAATGAAAAATTACTATGACCTTGGAATTAGTGAATTCGAAAGATTCTCAACTGTATGTTTATACGTTGATCACAACAACATTGTGACCACGAACCCGAAATACCTTGTGCGAGGAAGTGTTGACGATCAATATGTGACGTTGGAATTCTTTTACACAAGGTCATCAGATATATGAAATCAGTTGTAAAAATCGAAAGAGAGGGAAGAATGGAACGTATTCCTGTCAATGATGTGGTTCGAAATGTATTAGAACATTCAGAATCCGACTATACCACTTGGTATGGATTAAATTATGAAACCAAGTTTGTTCTTCAACCTTGTTCAAGCAATCGTTTAACCAAGCAAGAGAAAGAAGAAGAAAGTAAGGGTTTTGAGGAGGAGTTCAAACAGATCAGGCCTATCCAAAGACAAAAGAAATATCTACGAGAAGATATTATGTGTTTGGATGATAATGACGACGAAAAGGTAATGAGTGAGCTTGAAAAAGCATGTGTGAGTTGTGGAGTGGATTGTGGTGTGATTGGCTTAAAGGTCACTTCAGAAACCCTTGCTAGCTACAAGAAATATCTTGGAAAAGAAGAACTTATTTGTGGTCCAATTTGTGCTGCATGTAGAAATCAGTATCGACGAAACGTGAGTTATTCTAAGAAGTAAATTATTTTTTATATTGTTATTGCAGACAGTTCATTGAAGGCACCCGCTGCTTTTTAACAAGAACATATATTCGAGAATACAACGAGACAAGTTTGGTGACATTTATCTGTTAATTTGATATCGTCAATCGAGAGCAAATACCAATCACTGTCTTTCGTGATTGATTCCTTCGCATCAAAAAGAACAGCTTTCAATGACACAATTTTCATATGTAACATTATTTTGATTGTTGCGATTGCTTTGTCTGACTAACTCCTCGTCATCTCAGAAATTTCATGGATGATGTTTTGATGTGGTTCTTAATGTCCAGTGGCAACCAGCCAATGTGTTATTCATAGCAAATATATTACCAGGTGGCTTCATCCTATATCCAAGAAAGGGACCTTGTATTGATGTCACTCATGATGGAGTACTGATTGATGTCAAAAAATTATAATAAAAAACAACATTCTCCAGTGCCAACTATCACCAGAGTATCATTCGGTGGAGTTATATAGCACATGCATATTTGAACGTTAACCATTATGGTGAGTGAATCTTGAAATGTGTCATTTTGAAACAAATTTTAAATATTTCAAATTTACTTTTTACTTGAACGTCATCTTGTAAATGGCAAAGATACAAAGATACCGGCTTTATATATTATATACATATGAATATATACCTTTCAGTTTATGTTCAACCACACAATGTGATTGAAAACTCACCTTCAGGTTTTTATTTACCCGAGGGTAAGGTTTAGGGAAACTAAACCTCATTTTTTGGAAGAAATCCAAACAGCTATTTTGGGAGGCCCTAAACCCCAAAACAAAATATGAAATTTAGTTCCCTAAATCATTTTATTTTAGTGTTACCAAAATTCGGTATTTGGGAAAATACGAAAAGTTGAAGTTTGGGGGACCCCAAACATAAAATATAAATTAGATTTAGACCTTCCAAAGTCATTGTTTTGGGATGTATTAATAGACGCAGCAGTTGTTTTCGTTCCAACATATATTTGAATTTTCTTTTTTGGATTTCAATACAACAAGAGTTTTTATTGTTAGATATTTTTGTTACAAATCGTTAAAGTCCAAAACAAATGAGTAATAAAACTAAGGCAGAAGGAAATGATTACAAATTTCGCAACTAGTTTGTAGAGTTTGCTTGCTCCTCTGATGCTAATGATTGTTGAAGTGTAGTAGCTGCAACAGCAGCGAACTGGTTTGCTCTTGAGACTGCTGTTCATTAGGAGCAGGCATCTCCTCCTCCTTCTTCTTTCTTCTTCTTGTTGTTGTGATTGCCTTGGATTATTGTTAATCTCCTCCTGAGGCAGCAGCTCCTTCCTATTATTCATTACCTACCTTGAGCTGGTGTTGTGTCCCTTCTTCTTCTTTCCAGTATCATCAGCTCCCTTCTCGTTGGAATCACATCTTGTCTAGAGGAATTATCTTCATGGTGGTACATGAACTCTACTTCCTTCACACCAAGTTCAGTGCTAATACAATCATTCTAGTGTAGAGAATGTGGAAGACACTACTTTAACAACGAATAAATTTAACATTGAATTTCCTTTCATTGGACCTAGATGAGAACTTCTTCTGACTTGCTTCATCATCATCATCATATGGTGATGAGAAGGATGAAGAGAAACATCCCTGGATGAGAAGATTGTGGAGGAGAAGGAGAAGGAGAAGGAGGAGAAGGCTTGGCATCACATCCATAAATTCTCTCCTCGCGTCCTTCCATTCTGAAAAGAAAAAACTAGGCGTGTTCCAATTAGTATTGTTGGAGAAATAAACTTAAGTTTTCTGACCTTACTTACTGAGATTTGTTGGTTAGATTAAATTTTGGTGTTGCTGTTGTTATTGTGTAGATATTTGCTGCAATCGATCGGATCATCACTCATATGTTCAATACAATAATACAATGTACTTGATTCAAAATCTCTCAAATCAAATATAAATGTTGGTTGCGATATTTTGAAGTGTATTATTTGATACATACGTATCCGCAGTTAACAATCATCATATTTTTTTCTATGGCGGCGCAATTGGTACTAGAAACCTGTCAGATATTCGTCAATCCCACGTCAGCTGATCACAAGGAATCAAAAATAAAATGAGTGAGTCTCTTCCTGATTGGTTCAACAAGGGCAGAGGGAAACCGAAGCAACAAGTAGTGCTGACTGAAGCAACAACAGACAAACTGAAACGAAAGATAGAGGTCCTAGGACTGGATTTAGCTCAGAAAAAACGTACACCATTATTCGCTTTAGCTGAAGCTAGTAAAACAACAGCTTGTTCTCAATTATGGTCCTCCATCATTTCATCAATTACAAAGCAATTACAGGAATTCAATTACATCAATCAAACTAATGCAGAATTAAATATCTCGTTAACGCTTTCTGATCCAATACACCCAACAATGCGGTACACTAAATTCCGAGTCATAACACTTGACGAAAACAACAACATGGTCGAAAAGAAACATAATCGATTGTCCATTGAAGAAGTTGAACGTAATATCATCAACACTGGTTTAAGCAAAAAACAAATTAAAAAGTTGTATGAAACAAAATACATTCCATTCAGTGACCGAACCATTTCGAAATATCGGAAAGGGATTAAGGATGAAATAGCAAAAGAGATGATTATCATCAAAAGCAACAACGATATCAAAGGCTTTGCGATTGATCCAATTCAGTCTTTTTCAAAATTATTAACAAATACAAAAGTAATAGAAGTGATACGCTCGACAGGAAAATGGTTGGAACATGCTCCGATTTCTGGATTCAGAAGCCGAAAATTTGGATTTAACAAAAAAGGAGAATTTAAAGTTTATTCAATGGCAAGAGTGTCCACTGATGCCCATAAATTAAGTAGGAAAGTGAATGAAATACTTTGCTTTTTAGGGCTTGTTATTTGCGATGCTGCACAACATCATAGTAATTACAAATTATTGGCAGCGTTACCTAAAAACAGCGACAATCATTGTACATTATTGAGCTCATTCAAGCCAATTGAATCATTGATTGCAAAATTTGAAAGCCATCGGTTTATATTTGAATTACCAATTGCTCTATTTCAGAAAGATTCGTTTTTGAAAAATTTTGTGAAAACCTGTACCTCAGAGAAAATTATTATTCGGTTGCAATTTAATGTAGCAATGGGTGGAGATTTAAAAAACATGCTTGCATTGCAAACGGATGATAAGAATAGAATATGTTTTGTATGCCCCATTGATTATGAAACACACAAACAATTCTTGTTTTCGCTCAAGTGGAAAAACAATAATCGAGCTCAAGAAATACTGAAAATGTTGTTTCAGTCCAAAGAAAACACACGAAAATCATTACGAGAGACAATTGAAGGCAAAATCCAAATTGAAACCTGGGATTGTTTCACTGAACTTTTTACTGACAAGGGACACCGACACCCTGGTTTAGGTGATATTATTTTCGCCAATATTTCCATTTTACGAAGAATTCCTGACATTTTGCACCAATTCATGAGATTGGGAGAAAATCATTTACAGATTGCATTGCATGCTGCATTGAAAATTTCAAAGCAATGTCAAAAAGAGTTGAAACAATACTACAAGGACAAAGGATATTATGGCCAAAATGACAAAATTAATTTAATGGGAGACGATGTATGGGAAACATATGGCAACAAAATTATTGAAGATATCACTCAAATCATGGAAAAGCACGCAAGTAATCAACAACTCTCTACTCTTGCATACGTTTGGATTGGAAAGGTGACAAGAATATTTCAAGCAGGATCTGAACTCGTTAAATTATTGGTACAACCAACATTTTGCTCAGACAATGATTTACACAACGTTGCAAAGAAAATTGACCATTATATTTCTGTCATTGTCCCTGTTATTGGAGACACAATAGGCACGTATTGGAAAATGCTTTATTATTTACACATTCTCCAAGAACATGTGATCATGTATTTATTTATTTACAGAACATTGTACCCATTTGCCATGACAGTGCATGAACGACTGAACAAGTATGGCAAAGATATGTTCGCTCATACTATGAGGTTTGGAGGGAACGGAAATCCCACGAGAATTTATCGTACCTCTTCCAACGAACAGCTTGTGGAAGACAGATACCTCGCAACCCTAAACCAGTACTATTACCTCTTCTGCTGCATGACAGCTAACGAATAAATTTATTTTGTGCTTTCATGTTCATTTTTGACTTGACGAATATCTGACAGGTTTTTAGTGCGCTTCAACGTCGGATGCGCCGCCATATCCCTCCCAACTCAACCTTTATTTTATTGTTTACAATTTGAAAAGCTCATTCATGGAGTAATTCTTCTCTAAATCTATTGAGAGACGTATGGGAGTCAGTAATCCCGTTTTTGCTTTTAGAGAAGATTTTGGCTTTTGCCAAGTGCAAAGAAACACAACCAAAAACAGTTACCTTCTCTTTGGTTGCGCCAACAAAATGGAGAAAGAGTGAGGGCCCTTTCAAACCTGCAGCCGCAGCAAACAGCCAGCCAGGATAGTCCTTGCTGTAGAAATTATTTTCGGATGCAATCAACAGAATCCTCAGGCATCTGGTTGAAACAGGATTTTTGCGGCTGAGATAGGATTTCGATCAGGTGATCAGTGTTTATTTTGCTGACTAACCATTCTCCACAATGACGGTTCTTGGAAACGAAGTAAATTCCTCATAATATTGTGTAAAATCTTTAGAAACGTCCATCAATCTGCAATCTGATTCATTCACAACAAAAGTTTTCATGAAAAATCTAAAAGTATTGAGCTCTCTCATTTTAGTATCTCTTCGGTATTCCCATTTGATAGAATATAAATAATCTTCTCCTTCCCATCCAGGCAAAGGTTTTGTTCTTCTTAGTCCTTTTTGTCCACTGTTTGATTTGCTTAATTTGGCAGATGTAGACATGATTGTTTTCATCTAATTGGAGAACATAATCACCAATGCTTAAATATTCGGAATTGAGAGTCATTTGCTTCTGGTTTTTCAATTTGTTGTTTGTGATAGGTAATTCCTCCAATGGTGATATGTGCGTTGGATTGTTTGTTTTTGAAATTTTGCAGCATGTTGTGTGGTTGATGTGTTCTGTTCCATTGCTGCTCCAATTTATCAAATTCCACAATGTCATTATTCGAATATTGTTTCAATTTGAATTCTTTTGTAAGTAAAACTTCAATACCAGGTATATTCAAATTAAACAATAGAGTATGAATGGTTGGAGCTTCATATTCAGTATCTGAAAGCATGGCATAAGTGCGACATGCTCTTTCAAATTCACCCATAACAATAGTTCTGGTGATGGGAAGCAACAATAATACTCATATAGTAATCTTGTGGATTGATCTTTCTCTTTGTTGAATTGTAAGCCAACAATTAAGGCACTTAAAAAATTATTGAGAGCATTCAAGAAATTTTCAGCGTTCAGATTGGTGTTGGAGCCACAATGTTGTCAAGCCGCTCCATAAAAATTCTCGATCATATATGCTTGCAGTTGAAAAGGCAAAAATACTCTGTTGTTGGATGATGATTGAACTCTATACATTGTCAAACAAACCGATCATTAATAACAACAATAATAGATAAATTGACAATTTATCTACCTTGAAGTCGAACTATAAATTGACTCATTATCAACTTCGATGTCAGTATTGTTATAATTTGTTTCTTTTTCTTTGAGGAAGATGCGAGCGATTCCACAAAGCTCTTTTGTTATGAACATTTGTTTGACATCATCTTCAGTCATAATCTTGTTTTTACGTGAAATCTTTGGTTTGGATTATCATTTTCGGGTTGCATTCGGAAAGAAATCACTGCTTTGATGAAGCGCAAATGACATGATCTCTTCATCATCAAATAAATTTAGAACAACCAATGCTTTTGATAGCATTTTCTTCAAAAATACGAATTACTGAATTGATGTCTGATGGTGTCTAGCTCCACATTTGAATTCATTTCGTGCAAGGATGACGTGCCAAGGCTTGTTGTTGTTGTTGTTTTTCATTTTTATTTTTAAAAATTTTTTTGTAAAGCCAAAAACAACTCAAAGAGTCCAAAGAGACTTTACAACTGTTGGCGGAAGTCTCTTCATTGGAAGATTTCGTACCTTGCTTTGTCGTGCGAACTGAGGAGCATATTAATTTAATTCCTGCTCACTATATAGTCTTGAATATTTCTTATAAAAATAATTTGTTTGTTTTGTTGTTTCTAATCTTTCTTTTTTGAAATACGACATTTGTTTTCATGGAACACCAATTTTTGCGTTTTGGTGCTCCCAATTCTTAACTTTTGATGACACAAAACTATTTCCGAATACCTGCGATTTGGCAAAACCAAAAATTTTTTTTTGAAAAACGACATTTTTGATTTTGGTGGAGCAACCTTTTTGATTTTTGGCCTAAAGCAAGTTTAGTCTCCCCAATTTAAAATTGGGGCCCAAAAATGAACTTTTTGTTTCCATAAAATTAATAAACCAGACACTCGGGTATGAAACCTGAGGCTGTATTTATGCGCTTTTACACGTAACAAAGCCAATAACTTCTCCAAACGTGTTCGTTTCGTTGAGCCCGGCTGTTCATCAATATCCCAAGAACTCTCTTCTTCTGTAGAATCGTAGTCACTGTTATCCTCTTCTGTCGACTCCATGGCGTCATGCAAAGCTGACTCTTCTGAATATGAATTGGACATAAAATTTTTAAAGCTTGGCGGTCCACTCACACAGGCGCCACTTGTGGATTGGGATCATTGACATTCACTTATAGTCATCATGGCCAAACGAAGGACACGAAAGGTGTGTTAGAAGAGATATCAACGAGTTGTTTTCGTTGTCTTCATCCGATGTAGAAATTTCTCGATACAAGTGTTGTTGATAACAAGCTAAGGACATGGAGGAGGGGATGGAACTATGAGTTTTGGAATTTCTAATTGTTGTTGTTGACCACTTGGAGTGGTTGATGATGGATGTTCCAAAATGAACAACTTCTCATTGAGAAGGAGGCTATTTCGACTTGAATATCATCTTCAGAGTGGTACCAATAATGTTGAAGTTGTCTTTGAGTAACCATTGTCTTTTAGGATGTCTTGGGTTGAATTTGGTAACAGAAAACAAGACGTTGTCTCATGAAATCGTTAGAAAAACTCTTTCACGTCCAGCAAATAGTGGTGGACAACAATGAATTCGGTATTCCTTCCATCAAGGTACTATTAAAACGGAGTGAGTTCGATAAAAGTGGCCTTATGAATGAGGTGATAAACGACTTTGAACGAGTTCAAACGAATTTAAACGAAATGAAAATATTTTTATCGAAAACAAACGAGTTTCATTTTTTAGCGTTCGAGGTGAAATAATAATGACAAGATTTCGTGTTGTTGATCACTTGACGAAGAGAAAGTAATTCCGCGTGATGAAGAAGAATTGTACATGTTTGAACAAATTGTGGAAATCATCAATGTTCAAAAATCAAGATAATCATTAGTTCATGATCAAAAAGTTACTTGACAGATGTAACAAATAGAAAATTGAAAACCTTGATGGATTCACTCCGTTTGATAGAATTGTAGTATTACTCTGAGTCCAATGAGGTCTTCTATATCTGGGTTGGATTTGAATTTCGTTTTTTATTCAAGTTGTTCTTTATCATGAATGGCTATTTCTCAAATTATGTAAAGCGGAGATGGTTAAGCTTGCAGTTGTAAAGTTGGTGACACTTTAAGCTTTCGGTCACTTGATTGCTGAACTTTTCTTTTACCCACCCCTGTTCACACAACACTGAACCACAAATCTCACACAACATTACTGTAGTGGGAGAAGACGCAAAGCGCCCCTTAACTTGTCAACTCAATTTGGAAAGTAACAAACCGTTGACATTTTGTCTTTCAAAAAAATGAACATCACACCACGATCCGTCCTCGCTGTCATCATCCTTGTTGCGGTTCTCTTGACATTTTCACATGGTCTTGTTGCTGCATCTCCATTCCAACCTCTTCAACCACAATTCCTATCCACCTTGTCCGAACATGCCACCTCTCAACAAATAGTTGAATATTATTTCTATGAAAATGTGTACACAGACGCAAATTGCACTCAACGCACAGGAGCCAAATTCTTAAAAGCAGCAGCAACCACTCCATGTGTTGCTGGTCCTCCTCAGGTCACCTGTCAACAAATTACCGGTTTCAACTTGTATGGTTATCGAACTTGTGTTTCCACTCCACCAAAAGTTGAATCTGGAATGGGAGCTCTTGCTTTTTATAACAATCAAAATTGTTCCAACACTGCTTCAACAACACTCACTTCAACAACATTACCACCCTCTTCCACTATTCCACACAGTGTTGAAGTGGTTGTGTATTATCCCATGTTTGAATGTACCACCGATGTGTTTGATGTTTCATCCAGAGTCAAATTGGACACTTTGAAATATCACATGTTTAAGGGAGATTTGACATGTAAACAAGAGACGGATTCATGGGAGGTGGATACTTCATGTGCACCCTATGGACCTAGTGGTTCCATGTTGTTTGTGATTAATCCTGCAATGGTTTATTATGACATGTATACAGATGCTTCATGTACCAAGTCAACCTTGTCACTCGTCGTTGCGAATGCTTCGTGCACTCCAAGTCAAACATGTTCAAGAATTGAAATGTTTCCAACTTTGGAGTTTTATGGTTATCGTTCTTGTCATTCAAGTGTTCCAGCTCCAAGACAAGGTCAAGTCATGTCAGTCAGATATGGAAATGCCACTACATGCAAATTACCTAGAATACCCATGATTTCTTATTTACCAAATGGTGTCTGTTCTCCTTTTGATCCTTTCATCACTTCAATGACTAATTTTAGTGCAATGGCCACTTGTTCTCAGTACACTTCCTACTATGGTGAAAACTGCGGGGCTAGTAATGTATACACTCAATATACTACCACGAACAACAACAATAATGGAGCAATCTGTTCAAAAACTAATGACGCGACAGGATTTTCATTAAGCTGTAACTCACTTCCAATGGCCAATGGATATATCTCCTATGACTTGTATTCAGACAATGTATGCACAAAGAGAATTGGAAATCCTTCATCATTCGCTCTCATGAAACCAAGTCAACTTTGCATTCCCAATACAAATTGTGTCCTTGTTCCAGGAACGAATAACATGTATGGTGTTTCAAATTGTTCGAACACATTGCCAACTCCACCACCAGGACAAATGGTCATGCATTCATTCGCTAGCAATGATTGTTCTTCAAGCTCTCTTAAATATTCACAATATTATGCAATTGGTGTCTGTACGGCCAATATGATGGGAACTGGAAGTATCATGCCAATATCATGCTCCTCCTATATTTCATATTCAGATACAAAGTGTCAGAACTTTATCAGCCAACTCAATTACACTGCAGGAGTTTGTACACCCAATGGTGCTGGAAATACGCTTACCTTTGCATGCAATCTACCAAAACAGAGTGCAAGTACTAAGAGAGGTGTTTCAATGGGTGTTTCCACCATGATGATGGAGCATCATTGTGCAATCATGATGTTGTTCATGTTGTTACTTGTATTTATTGCTTAACAAAATTAGAGCTCTATGGATTAAACCTGAAATAAATGTTGTGAGAGGTGCTTGTTTGGTTTGCAGCTTTTAGATTCAAGTGATTGACGACTGACACTACATCGTTCACTCTTTGACTTGATATACTACAGTGAACTCCAAACTTATTTTATTTTCGCATTACTACGTATTTATGCGATTTTCTTATGCCAATGTGTCCTTTTTCTCTGGACTTTCAGTATCACTCTCTTCTTAGAAGCCACTACGATCCTCTTCTGTAGACTCATTGCTTCTTGCTAGGCAATTCAAAAGTCGTCATTTCTCGTTTCTCTCAAATCTCTGCAATTTATGAGCTGAAGAAATCAGGCCACACGTTTTGAATCATTTCCTTGATCTCGTCCTCGGTGAAGATAATTCCTCCTCGTCTAGAAATTGTCAATGCTTGTTCAAAATCTTGTCGTGCCTTCTCTAATAATTCCTTGCTTTTCACATAACCCAGTCCTCGAATGAAATAAGCCAACTCCGAATCTGGAAATATCTGCAAGGCACGATTGACATGCTCCATGGCATTCTCCATCGAGTTTTTTGTGAGGTACAGTTGTCCCTTTAAAGAGTACAGTGTAGAATAATGAACGTTCCACGAGTGGTTCTCTCCTTTGGACGAGCTGGAATCATCTTCGTTCTGTTGATCGCTCGTCATGGAGGTATTTCTATTTAGTTCGTTCTCTGCTCGATCCAGCAACTCTGAAATTTGTTGAAGAACATTGCTTCCTAGACCACTAGATTCCATTCGAAGGTACAACAAGGCGAGTTGAAGGAGTGCTTGAATATTATTGGGTGAAAACGACAAGGCTTTTTCCAAGTCTCGTATCGCTAAATCTTGTCGTTTAAATCGTTGATGCCATAGTAAATTTCCTCTATGATAGTACAGCATGGACATGGAATGGTTGTAGTGCTCCTCCGTGGATGGATGATCCTGTGGTCCATGATGAGAACCATATTTAATTCCTTGATGAGCCCAATATAATGCCTTTTCATAGCGATGCAATTCGTAGCAGCACGAGAATAATTCATTGTACAGGCTGAGAGGAACAGCTTTTCGTTTTTCAGTCAAGCTTCGAAGAGCCTTTTCCATATATTCATTCGCCTTTTCAAGATTGTAACTTTCAGGTTGAGAAGCGTCGGTACAGAGATGAGCCACACGAAGGTAATAAATTTCTATGGATTCCATCTTGGGTGAGAGTTGAAAAGCACGTTCAAAATCTTGAATGGCTTTCCTATTATCCTTAAATTTCAAATAATACAATTTGGCTCTCTGAATGTAAGCGTCTGAAAAGTCTGGATTCATCTTCAATACCTTATTAAAATCTTGTAAAGCCTTTTCCTTTTCGTTTTGCGAGCTATAGTACAGCCCTCGTACATAATACGGTGCAAATGCCTCCGGAGTCAACTCGATCATTTGAGAAGCATCTTCAATCGAGTGCGTACATAACGATCGTTGAAGATACGCGTCGTATAGAATGGCTCGATCTTCAAGAGAGAAATCTTCACCGCGAGATTCTTGTTGCATGACTCCCAGCCGTTTTCTTCTCATGGTCAAACAATCAATGATTCGCGAGTAGAGTTCAACGGCTGTTGGTTGGTCATTGCTAGCTAGTGCTTGTTTGGCGAGTCTCTGCAAGAGTTTTAAAGAGGCGTAATCATGTGCATTTTCTCGCTTGGGTTGAGATTTTTCGTTTTTATGCGATGCCCATACGTGATACACTCTAAATTGATCAATTTTCAAACTCCATTTCAGCACGTGATCGTTTCCTATGAATTGGAGATGTTTGATTCTAGTTCTTGTTCGGTTAGTCTTCTCACTAATTATTTTGCTGGTGCAAATCAACCTTGGTGTTGCTATTTTTTTCATTCTTCAACTGGATATTTTAGGTAAAAAGTCATTTTCTTTTTGGAAGCACACTTGTTGTGCAATTAGGCCATCTCTCCCACAGAAGCCAAATCTTCACCATCCAATTCTTCCCAGACGTGAGTGGCAGTGGAGGCTCTTGGGGTTAGCCCATCTCCACCAAGAGCATGTCGATTCTCCCCAATATTTGTGAAAATGGTTGGAATATTGGCCATGAGTGGTGTTGAGCCTACACTGGATTGAAATGTGAAATCGTCTACTTCTGAAGAAATGTCATTCTCAGTGTCCAGACCAGCCTCTTCGTCGTCACTAGCAATCACCTCACCTGGATGAGAGAAGGAAGAATCTCCTGGAAAGTATGAGTTATATTCTTGATAGGAGGAGTTTGTAGTATTGTTGGTAATAACATTATTACTTGTGAATTGGTGTTCAAACGTGTCGGGAATTGATGACGATTCTGATACTTCTCCCATCAAATCGTTTTCTGTAGGATCCTCAAGATATTCGTTCTCTTCCAACGGCTTTGACAGAACACTGCTATTATGCTTTTCAATTTGTGGTGATGCATCACTCTGTTCTAATGCGTGCACATTATATGGAAATAAGGATAGATTCTTTCTGTTGAGGAAATAGGTGTCTGTCATGACTTCTCTATGATCATCTGCAGAGCTAATGGAATCTGTTTTTATAGCAACGCCCTGTTTGTTGTCTTTCTTATTCTTTTTCTTTGGTTTTTCAGCCATAATTAAATTGTCAGCAACTTTTTGCCAACGGAATATTTCTTCTTCCTTTTTCTTTTTCTTCTTTTGATTTTTTAGTAATTTTTCTACTGTGGGTTTCTTGACTTGAGTTTCTTCTTTCTTGGTCTTTTTGAAAATTTTCAACAATCCCAAGGTTAGAGCTGTTTTTTCTGTTTTCGTGGATTCCTGTTTTTGTGGAGGTAAAATGTTTGTAGGAGAGATTAAACCAGTCTTGGTCTCTTCCTTGGGATGATCTTCATCGTGATGGGGAGATGTGTGAGGTGATATGTGGGAGGTCGTTTCTGTCGTATCTACGGCCAGGTTGTCTTTCTTCTTTTTACTGTCGTCCGTTGAAGATTTGTTTTCAGGAGAAAGAGTAGTAGAGTGCAAGGGAGGACTTTGGGAGTCGTGATGCTGGTTGGTAGCCTCGTTTGGAGATGCTGAATGAGGAGTATTTGAAATTTGTGGAGAGAGTGGTTTGGTTGTTAGTGCATTCACAATGCTTTTTCTATAAAAATCTAGGCAGTATAATCGATAGGCTTCGAAAAATATTTGAGGAATATTGGTTCCCAACCGTGTATCAAATTCGACAATGTTCAGTCGCTGATTTTTCTTGTTTTGAAAAAGTGGAACTGCTTTTTGATGAAAGTGATAGTAATGTTTTGGTTTTTGAACTAGCCCAACATTGGCTGCTGCATCTTCCACGTTTCTCCTCAATAAGGCTATTTGTTGTTTCGTAGATTTGTTCAGTTCAATATGGCCTGCCAGCATGAAATTGCCTTGCGAGAAAAATGTCGGATAGATCGAATTGATTTCTTTCATCCATGTCATTGCAGTATTTTCTAGAGAACAAGAGGAATTTGTATAGCTGAATACAAAAATAACTACTGTTGGTGCTATGGTTTGATTTTGCTCTGGTTTTTGTTCCAATAGCATTTGTTTGTACAGAGCTTGACGTAGTGACAAGGCATGTCTAGAACCTGTGTGACAAACTCGAAATAATAATTTTTTCTTTTCAGGAACAGGCGGTATTGATTTTTCCAAATAACTTTCAAAAAATTCTTCTTCTTCAATAGCAATCAAATCTTCCAAATGAAAACCAGTGTTTAACAAGTCATGTGAAATATTGCTCAGTTGGCTAACCTCATTCTTTTCAAAAAATTCGTCTAAATGCCTTAAATAGTCAACGCTATGCTCCTCAATATACCATTCAGTAACTCTCTTGTTTTTTCTCAAATAATAATTAAGTTTGTTTGAATCTTGCTCTGTTTTTGGTTTGGGTGGCACTGTTGGCGGTATCGTCTTTTTACCAGTCGTTGCTCCAGTTTGCTGTTGAGGAGGCACTGCAATATTGTCCTGCAAATGCAATTGTTGTTGAATGTGATGTTGAATATTTTGAATACCTGGTATTAAATCCTCGTTTGTTGTTGAGCCAGAGGCATGTACATTCTTTCTTGAGCCAGATCGGGTGACCCCTGCCAAATTTTGTTGAGGTATTTGAAAGGACACTCCGAGGCTTCCACTGCTCGACTTGTGGTGATGATGTTTTGGTCTGCCTGATGAATGATGTTTGTTGTGATGATTTCCAGGAGGACTAATGTCTCTGTGATGTTTCGACTGACCATCTTCTTCTGTGTTAGGAGATGAGGAGTTGTTAGAAGATGTAGACGTCCTTGAATGTGACGATCTTGGAGAAAGGTAGTTATTATACACAAGAGGTATTTTAGGTTGTTGTTTTTGCTCATTTGACTCGGCAGAAATTGCTTGTTGAGACATATCTCCAATGGCTGTTGTGTGTTGTTGCTGATTAATATTGTCAGAGGTTGCTAATTGATTCTTGTCTAACTTTGGAATTTGATTTGTCACCGTATTCAAACTACTATTCAGAGAAATTTTCAATTTGTTTTTGTGAGTTGATGACTTTGCTCCTTCCGTGTGGTGAGGTACACAACAAGGAGGGGCTTGTTTCTTCAAATGCTTTCCACACGTATAAGTTCTCAATAATTGATCTACTTCTTTGGGAAGTGAGCTCACTATGAGAATGGGAATTACAAGCCATTCATCGGTGGCAGAAGAAGAATGAGGATGTTGTTTCGGTTCTGTAATTGTGTTCTTGGAAATTGCAACAGAATGAGGCTCTGTGGATGGAGAAATTACTATTGGTGGAGGTGGTACATGGGAATCGGTATTGAACAATAAATTGTTGGTTGAAATCGTTACATTGGATGCTGATGATGGAGAAGTTGATGACGTAGGATAAAATTTGAAGTTGTCAACAACAACGCTAGTAGGATCATTGTTTTGTGTGTTACTACTGTTCATACTATTTGGCACGCTTGAGTCGCTCACACTTCTTCTCCTCGGATCACTTTGTGATGATATTTCATAATTGTTGCCAAAATGATGTTCTAAATTATTATTCAATAATAATACATTGGGTGATGTTGTCGTGTTGTTGTTATTAAATTCTTTGTTATTATTTCTTGATGGAAGTAAAGAGGATGGTTGGTCAGAAAAACCACGTTGTCTTGTTGCATTCATATCACCACGTTGCTGAGCAACAGAAGGCACATTCGGAGTCATCAACGCTGCGTGTGTGGTACTTTGGGAGATTCAGAGACTTGCGATGATGACGGGTTGGTGTGATGATGAACAATTTCAACCGTTTGATGTCCGCCAGCCCAGAGTGATACTTTTTTCAAAGATAAAAAGGAACACCGATGATCAATCATCGCTATGGAAGAGAAGGAATTTTCAAATTCAGAACAACTCCTGTTGCAAGCGACGATACGAGATGGTGTTGTTAGATATCGTGTTGAAACCGATGATGAATGATGAGGTACGGATTGAACAATGAACAACACAAAAAACAAGAGAAAAATGTCCTTCTTGAAAAAGTTCATCAAGCATAAGAAGCAAGTCATGATCAATCTCAACACTCCAGCAACAATAATGCATCTTCATACGATCAACAGCAACCAAATACTAAAACTGCTCTTATTCCCAACGCTTCTCATTCGGTTCAAGATGCCGATTTTAGTTTCTCAACACTTGCCATCTGTTCTGATCGGAAAGTTGAAAAGGTGAGTTCTTGATGATGAAATAGCATCATTTGCTATTTACATATTTCAATAGGTGAGCGATGTTGCACCTCCCATTCACTTATCGACTACATATTCCATGGATTCCGATGTTTCTGATGGCATGATTTATTCTCGAGTTCGTAAGTGTCAGATTTCAATTTGATGCAATTTCACAACAGAGCTCTTGACTCAACACCTCCATGAATAGATAACAAAACACGTAGTCGTGTGGAGGCTGTAATTGCAAATTTAGAAGGTTCTGATGATTTCAAGACGGTCACTTTTTCGAGTGGTCAGGCTGCAACCTCTACATTGCTTTTTACCTTGAGACCAAAACGAATTTTCAAGAGAATGGTTGAAAATACAGAAGGAGATGATGAAGCTGGTTATGCAGGAACAAAGGATTCAATGGCAACTTTGCGGGCCTTTGCAAATTTCTATTGTGGAGTGGTAAAGAAGGAATTGCTATCAAAAATTCCAGCCACATCTGAAGAGAATGGAAAGAAAGTGGATGATATTGAAGATAATGTGATGAAAGTCATTGATATTACAAAAATTGAAGAGGAAGTGGATATGGATCAAGCCATGCAAAATCAAGATCTATCTCCCAACTCAAAACCAATTTATAAGGGTGACATTATTTGGTTAGAGACACCTCTTAATCCGACGTGCGATTTAACAGATATCGAATATTATGTTAAGATTGCTCACCAAATGGGAGCTCTTGTGATAGTGGACTCCACATTTGCATCTCCTGCGTTGCAACAACCATTAATGATCGGTGCTGATTTTGCTCTTCATAGTACCACAAAATTCATGGGTAAGTATTTTCACCAAGTTTTGTGTTTTCACATCAACGAATTCGATCACCCTTTAATTATTTTAATTTATATTACTTCAATTAATGAAGGAGGCCACTCGGACTGTCTTGGAGGATGTGTCACTACCAAATCCAATGGCTATGCTTCAAGTTTGAAATCAAACCGATCTGTACTAGGGTGTGTGATGGGAAATTTGGAAGCTTATTTGTTGCTGCGTTCATTAAGAACTCTTCAAGTGAGAGTTTTACATCAATCCCAAACTGCTGAGGTCGTAGCAAAATGGTTACATGGTCAAATTGGAAATGAAGAAACCAATATGCAAGTCACCAAAGTACATTATCCAAATCTTGCTCCCGAACAGTCCTCACAAGAAGGTCTTACAACAACAGATCAAGAAACCGCTGCATCCACACCAAAGTACAAGAAATTAACGAATTATGAAATTTGCCAAAAACAAATGAATGGAAAAGGACCTGGAATTCTGAGTTTTGAATTGAAAACAGCTGAAGGATCCAGAAAATTACCACAGCTGCTTGAGATTATTGAGCATGCAACATCTTTGGGTGGTGTCGAGTCGTGTATTGATTACAGATTCCAATGGGACAGGAGTACGGCTCCCACTCTTTTGAGACTGAGTATTGGATTAGAATCACCAAAAGATCTTATTGCAGATCTTAAAACAGCGTTATTGAAATTGTAAAACTGAATAATGGTGAAGCTTTATTTCACATCAGGTTTGACATTCCAAATGTAGGGAGAACCGCTGCCGTCCGTGAAGGACAAGTCACTGGTGAAATTTGTCACGAGTAGATACGGAAGCAAAAAATGCCATGACAAAGAATATTGAGCACTTTTAATATTGCTCTTGGTCTTAATAAAGTAATAGTCAAATTCAGCACTGTTGTTATAATCAGTTGTGATAGAACAGTGAGTGTGAGACGGGATCACAATATGATCTCCTTTCTTCAATGTGATTGTTTTGTTTGATAAAGTAAAACGAACATGATTTCCTTCGATTAAAACTAGCAAACAAATTCCAATATCTTGAAAAATTTGATGCTTAGCGTTATTCTCCATTAACCATTTTCCAACAGAAAAATAAAAACAAGTCATGAATTCTGTAGTGTTGAGCTACCTGTTCGATATTCCTTTGGTCTTCCTGTCTGATATGATATTGACTCAAGTGGCGTGTTATGGTGTTCAAACAAGTGGTCAGAATCCACTAACCTTTGATCAGGTATGAACCATAATACTCTCAATATACGTGATTTCGGAGGGAATATTACCATCGGATTGATTTCGAACGAGAAAACGGACACCTCTTCTGTATGGCTCTCTGGCAATTAGTTTTTCATGATCACCAGTCTTCATCGTGAAAACTTCAGTAGATGATGATTCTGCGTTGAGAGTTTTGAAAAATCTGGCTACGCTCTTTTTATTAGACCAAACTCCATCTGCATTACTCTTCTTCGTCCTCTTCAAATGTGAACAGGCCATACTTCAAAACGCTCCTGTACCTTAATCTGATATCTTCAGAACTGTATCGTTCACTTTCTTCTAGGTTCTTGTTTTCTTCTTCCATTCTTTGCTTTCATCTTCTGCTTGTTTTTGTCTCTCTTTTGCCACCTCTGGTCCTGCTTCAAATTCTGCAACACTCATAGACTTATATTCCATAGATTTAATATATTGTCCCTTGACTAAACGTGAGTACAAATCGGGCCTAACTTTAGAAATGAGTTCAATAATTTTGCTTCTGCAAGGGTTGGGTTGGATGTTTTTGGTGAGATCGCTGTTGGCCTGGTTGATATGTTCTGGATCAAAGTCTCCGGTAAGAGAGAACACAACAAACGAGGTATCATCTTCAAATGTAGTTCTATCTAAGGTCAATTTTACATTTTTGTTGACTTTGAGGTAGTATTGTGTTCTGTGTACTTCTATCGTGTATCTCTTTTCATTAAGCAAATCTAATAGGCCATAAATTGTACGTGCCGCATCATCCAGACCCATACGTTTTTCTTTGTATGAAAGAATACCACTTTCCATATCTTGGTACGTTTGTTTGATTGAAACGATCATTTTGCCATCTTCTCCATATCCGTCTACCACCTTTACCCATTTGTTGTTTTGCATGAGAGTATTTCCTTTGTATCATAAAAAGTTTCAGTGTAAGCGAGTTTTTTTGGGTCTTCATCGAACAATGGTTTGAGTACCCGATCAAACTCATTCATAGGTAAAACAAAGTTGTATTTTGAAGTGACCTTCTTTGTGTTATGGACAACGCTGTCCACATTACATTGCAGCAAGAAAGAAGGAAATTGGTCGAGTTGATGAACAGGTGTACAGTCCTCGAATATTGTTTCGCCAAAGCGGATGAGGTCGTCTCCATTTTTTTTTGAGTTGTAAAAAATAGAGGCCCTTTCAAACCTTCAGCCACAGCAAACAGCCATTCAGCCAGGATAGTCCTCGCTGCCGAAATTATTTTCAGATGCAATCAACAGAATCCTTTGGCATCTGGTTGAAACAGGATTTTTGCGGCTGAGGTAGGATTTTGATCAGGTGATCAGTTTATTTTGCTGACTAAAAAACCGTTCTCCACAATGACGGTTCTTAAAATATTGCGTAAAATCTTTAGAAACGTCCATCCAGGCAAAGGTTTTTGTTCTTCTTATTCCTTTTTGTCCACTGTTTGATTTGCTTAATTTGGCAGATGTAGACATGATATTTTTCATCTAATTGGAGAACATAATCACCAATGCTTAAATATTCGGAATTGAGAGTCATTTGCTTCTGGTTTTTCAATTTGTTGTTTGTGATAGGTAATTCCTCCAATGGTGATATGTGCGTTGGATTGTTTGTTTTTGAAATTTTGTAGCATGTTGTGTGGTTGATGTGTTCTGTTCCATTGCTGCTCCAATTTATCAAATGCCACAATGTCATTATTGTTTCAATTTGAATTCTTTTGTAAGTAAAACTTCAACACCAGGTATATTCAAATTAAACAATAGAGTATGAATGGTTGGATTCATATTCAGTATCTGAAAGCATGGAAAAAGTGCGACATGCTCTTTCAAATTCACCAATAACAATATAATTAATATGTTCTGGTGATGGGAAGCAACAATAATACTCATATGGTAATCTTGTGGATTGATCTTTCTCTTTGTTGAATTGTAAGCCAACAATTAAGGCACTTAAAAAATTATTGAGAGCATTCAAGAAATTTTCAGCGTTCAGATTGGTGTTGGAGCCACAATATTGTCGAGCCACTCTATAAAAATTCTCGATCATATATTCTTGCAGTTGAAAAGGCAAAAATACTCTGTTGTTGGGTGATGATTGAACTCTATACATTGTCAAACACAAACCGATCATTAATAACAACAATAATGGATAATGACAATTTATCTACCTTGAAGTCGAACTATAAATTGACTCATCATCATCTTCGATGTCAGTATTGTTATGATTTGTTTCTTTTTCTTTGAGGAAGATGCGAGCGATTCCACAAAGCTCTTTTGTTATGAACATTTGTTTGACATCATCTTCAGTCATAATCTTGTTTTTACGTGAAATCTTTGGTTTGGATTATCATTTTCGGGTTGCATTCGGAAAGAAATCACTTTGATGATGGATTTTGGAAGTGCAAATGACATGATCTCTTCATCATCAAATAAAAGACTTTAGAACAAGCAATGCTTCTGATAGCATTTTCTTCAAAAATACGAATTACTGAATTGATGTCTGATGGTGTGAATTTTATATCTGGAAGATAGTCATAGAGAAGATGAAGATCAGAATTCGTTTCGTGGGTGTAAGTTGATGTGGATTGGTTGTCTAGCTCCACATTTGAATTCATTTCGTTCAAGGATAACATGCCAAGGCTTGTCCGGAATTGTTGTTGTTGCTGTTGTTGTTTTGCATTTTAGAAATGAATGCAATCCCGTCGTTTGAGGATTCCCTGCCGAAATGTTATGTGTGGACCCTTTGCCAAATGAGAATGGTAAGGAAGGGATCTTATCCTTTTCATCCTGATGGGTCCTTGCTAAAAGAATTAGACGTCACAGAAACCACAAACAACGTAATGATGGCAGCAGTAGAGAGTGATGAATTCACACTTGGGAGATGGAAACAGGCAATCCATCAATTGTGCAAATCAGAATCGTCTAAAAAGTTCAAAATAGTCATATTCATCGGAAATGATAATGAGGAGGGCTATTTCTGTGAGTGACGAATACTTTACATTTTCCTTTGAAGCAACGAAACGAAAGATAAAGCGACAAGCAAGAGGAGCAAGAAAAAGAAAACTATTCATAAGGAAGAGCGGAACGGCTCAAAAACAAATGAATGGAAAAGGACCTGGAATTCTGAGTTTTGAATTATCATCCCCTGAAGGAGCCAGAAAATTACCACAGCTGCTTGAGATTGTTGAGCATGCAACATCTTTGGGTAAGTTTTGTGATATTTCAAAAGTAGTCTTATCATTTCTGTAAAGGTGGTGTCGAGTCGTGTATTGATTACAGATTCCAATGGGACAAGAATACGGCTCCCACTCTTTTGAGACTGAGTATTGGATTAGAATCACCAAAAGATCTTATTGCAGATCTTAAAACAGCGTTATTGAAATTGTAAAACTGAATTATGGTATTCATGGATCAGCTTTTTTTCTCCATTTTTGACATTTTGACAAACTCCCTTTTTTAGGTCTCATCATCAAACACTCAACACAGCTGCGAAAAAGTGCTGAGACCAAGACAAAAAAAAGACATATTCTCGTCTAGATGACTTGGTTTACGACCCTACAAACGTCACTTCTTCTTGTGACACTTGTCTCGTACACTCTCGCTTTTGATATTTTACCCCATCATCATCATCATCGAGCTTCCCATGAAACGCTTGATGCTTTGGCACCATCGCCCTACTATTCCACAACTCAATACACCATTCAACCTAATAATTATGTGGCTACTGCTGTCACCATAAGTTATGGACATTTTGACGTTCTGGCAGTGGGTGCTGTTGGTTCGACATTTGAGGTCCAAGCCTGTTCCACTACTGTGAATTTACAAAATGCATGGGGAACTTTTTGTTTTCTACTTGCAACCTCATTCACAGCCAATGCTTATCGTCAACAATTTTACAATGAAAAGTCTACACCTCTTTACATTGTGTTAAGAAACACTGATTCCTCTCAAACTGCAACAGTTAAGGAACTGTTTGTGAATCGAGTTTCCGCTCCTAGATTTATCGGAAATACATTTTCACTGAGTATTCCGTTGAATTCAGACTACTATTTTCATGCAAAAGATTTAATACAACCTTATTACAAGTATTGGAGAGTGACTGTGGCAGCTTCGCAATCAGATTCCTCCTTACCATTTACTTTACAGATCGATGCTGGTTTCAATCAAAATCGAACAGTCGATCAAACTCAACAATTTACCATTAAGAATCTCTCCGAGAGTTATCCATTCATTTATGCACCGAGGAATATTGTGTACCCAACCAGTCCTTACACAAGAATTCGTTGTACTCAAGCCACCAGTGACACCTGCCATGTGGCTGTAAGTTTGTATCAACCATTTGATGAACAGCCACCCACAAATCAAACAACTCCCACCTCTCCCGATAGTCTGGGAGCCATAATTGGTGGTGCAGCCGGTGGAGTCCTTGTTGTTGTTGCTGTAGCTGTGATTGTCATTGGTGTTGTTTTATATTGTGTTTGTTCAGTGATTCCAAAGCGAAAAAATCAAAAGAAATTAGAAGCAAATAAGAGCAAACAAGGGCAACTTCATGAAGACCATCACACGAATTTGCATTTACTGGCCGAGCATGAAATACATGAATTGGATCAACACGTGATAGACATGCATCACACTGAGGATATGCTCCATCATGATGCTTCCAATCAGGTAAATTCCAATCGTCCCAACACGAATAATTCTTTGGCAGAGGTCAGTAAAAAAGATGATAAGAAAAGAGAACAAACACCAAATAATCCATCAGAATCAGACTTTCCACATGACTCAGTGTTTGATTCGTTTGAAACGTTTAGAATTCGAACCACACAACAACCACTCCTGACAAACAGCCATGATCCAAACTCACATTCCAATAATATCAATTCAACATCCTCAACCAACTCGCAGAATGACGAGCAAGACGATATGTTGAAAGGACGATACAAATGCATACGAGAAATTGGATCAGGATCATTTGGAAGATGTTATCTGTGTGAAGACACCAAACGAAATAATATGCAAGTAGCCATCAAGTTAATTCCTGTTGAAGAGAGTAATCTGGAAGCCATCTTTCAGGAATGTTCAAAAACACTTGGAGTTAATCACAAGAACTTGGTGAAAGTTTTTGAATTTTTCTACGCCAAACATTTACGAGCATTAGGAATTGTGATGAAATTTTACAAATTAGGCGATTTGGAAGGGTGTTTAAAAAAGGGAGTGATTACCAACACCATGCTCGTTTCTCTGATTCAACAACTTGGAGAAGCCTTAGATTATTTACATAACACCCAATGCATTCTTCATCGCGATATTAAACCCAAGAATATATTTGTGGAAGAATTTGATCCAGAACGAGATCAAATAGATGTCACTCTCGGAGATTATGGAGAGAGCAAAGGTAGGTTTGCGATCATGATCATCATTCTCACCTCAACAATAATTATTCAAAGATTTGTTCGAAAGCGGACCAATAACTCATTTAAAGGAACTTTGTTGTACATGGCCCCTGAAGTACTCACGCACGAGCATTATGGAACCGCTGCTGATGTGTTTTCTCTTGGTGTGACGTTGTATCAAATTGTATGTGGCTCCAACAAAATTCCATCGGTAGTCGGCACGCGAATGTTAAAGAATGAAATTGAAATGGATCAAGAAATTTCACAAAATTTAAAGGAGAAGGGAGTGGATGAGAATACCATTCAATTCATTTTGTCCATGCTTAATGTTGATCCAGACAAAAGGCCCAAAGCTCAAGACATTAAGAATTTTAGAAGGAACGTATAATGAAATATATAATAGACATTGCTTATCTTTGTGTTGATGTATTGCTCAATAGAGGTCAAAGGCTCTTGATTAACATACGTGTCCCTTGATTTTGTACAGACCTGCTGTCGCTAAAAAATGTGGTGTACGACAGAGAAATCATTCTAACTGCTGTGAAACAAAATGGTAAAGCGCTGAGTGATGTTAAGGAACATTGGGATAGTGATCAAGAAATTGTTCTTGAAGCAATTAAACAAAATAAGAAAGCACAAATTTTACTCAGAGATGATAATTTCATGTGCAAAGTTCTTCAATTGTCTATCGTGAAAGGATGGAACATTGTTATTATGGTGCTTATATAGGTCACAAGTGAATAATTAAATTCACAGTAATTCAAATTCAAACCTTCTCTTGCTCTTGGCATTGAATACCAAATCCAAACTTTGAATTCCAAAGCACGAGGAAAGGCTACAGAGGTATTTTCACACTAAAAATATTGAGTGTAAGCTGGAACGATTGGTGCTGTGCTCAAGAGCAAATCATTGTGCTTTCAAATTGAAAATCACCACGATCATCACGATCCATCTTCAAGATTGCACTCAATAGTTGATTTACATTTATTATTTTCAAACTGATCCTACATTGTCCGATCATCATCAAAGAAATTAAAATTAATTTGGAAAATGATTGGTGGTAGTAGTGCCTCAAGTGCTCTGCAGAGAAAATCTCTCAATTTAATTTATTATTGTTCAATTGCTTTATTCGGTTTGATCTTCATATTGTTGGCATCATGGGGTGCATATCGACTACAATTAGCTGGAAAAGGAAAGCCCATCGTTCAAGATGAATTTCCATACCGTTTACCTGATCATCTCTCTCCAATACATTATGATATTGAGTTAGAACTTCAATCCGATAAAGACAGTACATTCAACGGACGAGTATCGATTGATCTCAAGGTTAACGAAGCAACTAAAACCGTCGTTTTGAGCGCAGAAGAGTTGCAATTTGTCGCCTTGCTCAAAGCAAATGCAGATCAAAAGAGTGAGCATAACAAAACAGGAATTGTACCTGCTGTGAATGGCAAGATTGAAGGAGTTTCACTTGTGAATTCCAAGACCAATGTAGCCATCGAGCTGACAGGCTTTTCCACAGCTGATTTGGTCAAGTACAGAAAGATTCAAGTGTATTCCAAACAGACTCTGGAAAAGAATGGTCAATATCGCTTGACTATCGATTACGTTGGATTGATTCGAAATGACATGAGAGGTTTTTATCAAAGCAAAGCAGCGGATGGATCTATTGTTTTATCGACACAAATGGAATCTGAAGACGGAAGGGCTGCAATTCCACTATTTGATGAACCAAAGTTTAAGGCATCTTTCCAAATGACGATCACAACCCCTGTTAAAAACGACAAGACTCGAATTTTATTTAACACAGATGAAATTAGTAGAAGCACACTTCCAGATGGAAGAGTTAAGGTGAAGTTTGACAAGTCACCCCTCATGTCCTCTTATTTGATAGCTTTTGTGATTGGTCAATACGATTATATTGAGAAATCAGCTGATGGTATTCGACACCGAATTTATACCCCAGTCGGAAAAGCAGAGCAAGGAAGAGATGCTCTAGAGGCAGCTGTAAAAATTACCAAGTTCTTCACTGATCTCTATGGAGTCAAGTATCCAATTAACAAGATGGATCAAATTACCATTCCTTCGTTCGCAAGTGGAGCAATGGAAAATTGGGGCTTAATAACTTATAGAGAGACATATTTACTGTTTGACAATGCTACTGCGTCACAATCGGATAAGGAGAACGGTATTGAAGTTGTTTCTCATGAAATTAGTCATCAATGGAACGGTAATATTATCACTTGCGCTTATTGGACTCAACTCTATTTGAATGAAGGTTTCGCAACCTTTATGGAAACTTATGCGCTTGATAAAACCTACCCATCATGGAAGAGAGGCCTTAAAAAGCTCACCAACAGTGTGATCTATGCTGCCGATGCTGACTCTGTAGCTAGCTCAGATCCCATTGTTCGAGAATACAAAAAGATTCAGTCGAAGGATGAAATTGATGGTCTTTTCAATTCTATTACGTACGATAAGGGAGGAGCTATTTTGAGCATGTTCTTTAATTATTTAGGTGAAGAGACCTTTGTGAAATGGATGAGGGCTTATTTCTCCAAGTACCAATACACGAACACTAACACCACTCAATTACTAGATCTTATTCCAGTTTCAGATGTTAAAGGAACAGCTGAAAAATTCTCCACATGGCTCTATCAGGCTGGAATGCCAATTATCAACGTGGTCAAAGAAGCAGATGGATCATTGACTCTGACACAGAAACGATTCTTTTCCTATGCCAACTCTTCTCAAGTCGATCAATTCAAAAACAGCAAATGGTGGATTCCTTTGACCTATGTGACAGAAATGGATGATGATGCTCCAGTGAAAAGAATTGAATTTCCTTCTTCACAGGCCACTTTAAAAATTACGGATAAGGCTGTGAAATTTAATCACCACAAACACGGTTTCTATCGTGTGAATTATCCAAAGAGCATGTGGACTGATTTAATTTCCAATATCAAAGAATTCGACACACAGGATCGATTTGACTTGTTCAATGACCTCTTCTCCATTGCAACCTCCACAGTTGAAACCATTGAGTCTTCTCTCATGTTTGAAATGTTACTCGCATTGAAGGAAGATGAAACGAGCATCTTGTGGGAAAGCATGTATCAATCGGTTCTCAAATTGAATCAATTATTGGCAGGCGAGAGTGTTTCTCTCTCTTTCAACCGAATGGTATTGGATTTGGTTCAAAAACAATATGAGAAAATTGGATGGGAAAATCATGGTAATGACGATGATGATCAGGATGTAGCAGAACAGAAGGAGGTTCGTCCTTTCATTTTGAATTTGGCATGTCGTTTCGGAAATGTGGATTGCATCGATCAAGCTCTGAAACGTTATCATGAAAGAAACACGACAGCGATTCCTCCTGAGTTGCGTAACGTAGTATATCGAACAGTGGTTTCTAAGGGTGGAGAACGAGAATATTATCAAGTCTTGGAACAATTCAAAGCAGAGCAAGATTCTGTGAAAGAACCAAACTCATGTATGCTTTGGCATATAGCCCATCTATTCCACTCCTTCAAAATACTTTGGAATTGTCTTTGAGCCCGCTTGTTAAACCTCAGGATAGTATATTCCTCATTCGAGAAGTTGCAAGGAATGTCCCTTATGGAACAGATGTTGCTTGGAATTTTGTACGATCACGTTATGATGCGATTTTGAGCAAGTGTGGTCAAGATCAAGTGAGCAACAGACTTGTATTCGGAGTTGGATCGCTTTTCAATAATTTACACAACAAGCAAGATATAGAAACCTTCTTTGGACCTCGTTTGCAAAGTATTAGTTTGATGCATTATAGAAATACCTTAGAAGCCATTGACAAGAATGCAAAATTCTTAGAAAAGCATCTTGCTTTCATCGACTCGTATTTGAAAAACAAATATCCAGCCACCTTTTAGTACCAAAGACGATCATTGTTTGTAAATATATGTATGTTAACAAATTATCATTGAGTGAGTAATAATATTGTTCTTTCAGAAAAAGTGTGTTGATGATTGCGCTCTTTTTAAACCGAAAGCACAACCGTATCAAAACGATCCACACATCAATGTTTGGATCGCTCTTTCTTGATGCTCCTTTCGGACGTGAACTTGCTGGTGAGGTTGTAGTTAATGTTGTTACTGCTGGGCAAAAATATGGTGGTACTTTTGTTTGAACTGCCACTGTTACTACTTAAAAACAATGGTAGTTCAAACAAAAGTGTTTCATGAAAAAAATCAACACCAGTCTGTAGTTCTCCAAAACCTCCACAACTCCCATGCAACCACATCATGGGTCCTCGTTTCGTCCACAACACAGTTCGGAAATATTTGTAATTGGCCTGCTGTGGTTTCTTTCATCCTTTTTGGCCTTTTTTGATTCCTCAATCGTCCATAACGATACCACCACTATTCACAACAAATTGGTGCAGATACCTTTGGTGGTAGCCTTGAATAATTTGATTGTGTGGGCGATTGTTTCATTCCGAGAAAAGATTACATCATACACGCAACATAGCAATGAATCAATTGAACAATTTACTGTCATAACAACAAAGTGCTGGATGATGAAAATATTATAAGGGAGGAATTACACGACGAACATTCAACAGTTGTGCATTTGAATTTGGAGAAGCAATGCGCAACTGAAGTGGACGCTATCACTCACCTCAAACATCCTTCTCAAATATTGGACATCAATGAAGACGATGAGATAGTCTTTTCTGAAATGCACACCAATAAGCTAGTAGTGTGTCATTTACTACATCAGTATTTGAGTTTTGAAATATTATTTTGGATTGGAATTATGAACAACAGCATTTCTGTGTTGTCCATTAGAAATTTGGAGCCTTCGCTGTTGTTTTTATTATTTTCAAAGCATCCAAAGGCTAAAACGGATGTTGTTGTACAAGCCTTTTCCGCCATGTCCATTGTATTTATACAATTTTGGACTAATTCTTCGTCAATTGCAAAGCTTATTACAATTTTATTGAATTCTGCATTGCTGGGTTATCGGAACTTGCTATGGAGGAAATTCTATACGGCAACTCAAAGAGAAACTTCCAACGAATATACAGAACTATCTCACTTTACTCTGGAATCATCATGGTGGTTGTATATGTCATATTTCTTCGCATTATTGATGTTACCGATTGGAATTGGCAGTGGATCGTGATATCTAGTGTTGGAGGAGGAATTTTTTTAGCAGCTGACGTGATTTTGTTAAGGTTTTGGGACATTCCATTTCATTCATCTTTCTCCCTTATTAATAGGACACTAATGGCAGTTGTGTTGTGCATATTTTCATGGTGTGCGGTACAGTATAGCGAGACGTTGCACATGTGTATGGGAGTGTTGGGAACAGCGTCGGCAGTTTACATTCTCTTCGTTCATTCGTTTTCAATCACGAAACGAATGATCTTGGCGATCGTTGCTTTATCCTTCATTACTTTTGCTGTAACATCCCACTTTCTCAATTTATATGGTTCTTTTTTAGATACCGCTTCGTCAACCATTCACACCAGAAGTGAGAGCATTCTTTTGAGAGCTGAACGTCCACCACTGCGTGTAGCAATATTTACAGCTGCAGGCAATGGCAATCTTGGTGATAATTTGCAAATACATTCATGGACGAGCCATTTCAATGCGTGGAACATGAGAAAGTATGGTGGTAGAAGGAAGATTGATATTTATTCGTTGTCAGGAGAGTTTTGCTGCTATCCTTTCGACGACAGGAGGAAATTGGTTGTGGATTCGTTAGAGTCCTTAACTCAGTTCCTATCTAAACACCAACCACATTATATGATAATTGGTGGAGGTGGAATATTTGGTCATCCTCATAGACCATTTGACACACGCAATGTTACATGGAGTCAAGTTGTAGCACAATTTCCCAATGTCAAATGGATCATTGCTTCTGTGGGAGCAGGGGAGGACATCAGTGAGGATTTGACAGCAAGGGTTTCATCGCTCATCGATCATGCAAAGGTTGTGACAGGAAGAGACGGGCCATCTCAACAAATGCTGCAAAAGCACATTTCCGACAAGAATCGGCGTGTGACATTGTTACGAGACCCTGTATTAGTTGATGAAGAGCATTTCCCGTTTCCTCCCATCTCAAATGATTTTGAACATGAGGGTGCCTCTTCGAAACAAACATGTTGGATATTAAGGAAGCCTCTCACTGAGGAGTTAGTTTCCTTAATGAAACCCCACATTAATCTTGAAAAAGATTTGCTTCTAGCAATGGAAGAGCAGGACAAAGTTTTAGATAATATCTTCCACAGAAAACATATTTCTGTTTTTCCCACCGGTGGCCAATGGCTGTGGGACAACTTGCAAAAGCATTGTGCATACGTTGTTACTATGCGATTTCATGGAGCAATTTTGGCGTTCAGGTCACAAGTTCCCACTTTAGCGATTGAGCCTCTGTCTCGCAAGATTATTCAGCTGTACCAGGATGTTTATGGAAACACGGATTGTGTCATGACTCATATCAACGAAAAAGAGTTTGCTGAGAAATTTCACAAGTGTCGCTCCGTTAACCCATCTCCAATCGTTCCTGTGCTTAAAGAAATGAGAAAACAATTCGACCAGTTTATGGACACAACATTTGACTAACCTTTCGATAAAGAGTTGATTGAGGGATTTAAAAACACTCAGACTGCAGTCTTTATAATTATTATGTTTTATTGGGGTAATGGAGGAGTGTTTCGGAGCTCAGTTCAATGATGGTTGCAATCATATTACTCGCTCCGAACAGGAGATATCAATTTTCGGAATTGGGTGATCTCAGTTTCTTGGACAAGTGCATCGTTTTTCAGGTTTAATATTTCTTATCACACTCTCTTTATGAAGTCCGCATCCTGCCCATGTTTGCTTTCCGCATTTGCTGCAAGTGGTTTCGTAACACATGATGGCGAGAAAAAGTGTGGTTGTATGAAGGTGTTGTGTTGGTATTGTTTTTTTGTTTGGCTCGCTTTATCACCATTCCTTTTTCAATGGTTACGGCATTTGACAAGTAAAAGCGGCGAATTAAAAAGAGGAGAATAATTGTCACATCTCCCCAATAACAATTTACAACATAATTTAATACTAGCTCCAAACCACTGGTTACAAAATTAAGAAACACCACCGAACGTCAACAAAAAACATACAAAACACTCAGTGGTATTTTCTTAATTTTGTAACGAAATGTTTACCTCAGTGACCACTATTGCTCGATGCAGAACTTCGATTTTGAATTCGTTCGGTCAACCAATCCATGCCAGGCATTAGACCATCGCCAGTCAATGCTGAACAAGCCTGTATGTGCCAATCATGACTCTTAATTGCTTGTAAATTCAGTGCTTTGGAAACTTCGGTAGCAGACATGGCTCCTTTCACATCTTGCTTATTGGCAAATACTAAAATGGAAGCTCCTTTCAACTCCATACATTCTAAAATCCTAAATAATTCTTCTTTCACAATGGAAATTCGTTGTCGATCGGTACTATCCACGACTAAAATGATTCCTTGTGAATTTGAAAAATAGATTTGCCAAGTAGCTCGGAGAGACTCTTGACCTCCGAGATCCCACATTTGCATTTTGATGTTTTTGTAATTGACTTCTTCCACGTTGCTTCCGATAGTTGGTTGAGTTTCAACGACTTCTCCTAAATGTCTTTTTCAATTAAATATTAAATTTCATGACCAAAAATGTATGAATGATATTTCATGATATTGTCATTGGTATCATCAAAATTATTAAAAGAATTATTAACAAGTTCAATATCCAATGCAAACATATGGATCCATCAAATTCCGAATTTAAAATTCCAAATTGCCATCATCATCAACACTTCTGAACCTACAATTTATACAGCGTTGTTGTCTTTCCAGCATTATCCAATCCAACAATACAAATTTTCACTTGTTCATCTCCAAATAATCGTTCCCAAAGTTTACCAAACAGTATTCCCATTTTTTATATTGTTGTTGTTGTTGTTGATTCATCCCTTATGACGTCATAATTGGTCGAATATCCAACGGTCATGTGGTGAATGTAAACAATGACAAGGTGAATCAGATATATTTGTGTTGTGTCTGAATCAAGAAGGTTCTCATGAGCACTCAATAATAATTTTTATTCAAAATTTTAATTTTGTAAACACATCTTAATGAAACTTTCATAGTGAATTTGTCCCTTTCTTTGTGGATCAGCTTCCTTCAATAAATCTTCCACTTCATGATCACTCAACTTTTCTCCCAAAGTTGTCATGATATGTTTCAATTCTTCAGTGGAAATAAAACCATCTTGATCTCGATCAAAGAGACGGAAACTTTCCATATATTCATCAATATTTTGATTTTGAGTGGTTTTTGAGAAACGATTACGCATTTCATTGACGAAATTATTTAATGAAATGTTACCACTTGAGGATGGATCGAGAATGGAAATTAATTCACGGAGTTCATTGTCGGAAGGAGCAAGACCGAGAAGACGCATGACAGTGTTGAGTTTGTCGTGTGGGATGACACCCGAGTTGTTGTCGTGGAGAGAGAAGGCTTCACGGAATTCAGTTTCAGTTAAGTCAGACATGTTTGATTATTTTTTTTTTGAAAATGACAGCTGGATGATGATGTGTGAAAGATGACAGCCGAAATTGTTTAAAAGAAAACCATTTGTTTCAAAAGAACATCATCGAATTATTGCTATGATTTATTAATGCTCTTTATTTGCAAAGCTCAATGATTCATTCTCCAAATCAACAACCACAACTATTTTTATAATTATGCATAAAAATGACCTCTGTGGATGCTTCTTCAACTTGGAAACTCTTTTGAATCATGAACATTTGAAACAACTCGGAGATGAATTTTTAAGAGAAAACATTTCATCTTCAGCCCGATTGCTCTATATTACTGTGGTAGGATCCACGTTGTATAATTTAAAAGAAGAAACTCTATCATCATCGGGGATTTTGATTTACTCATGATTTACATGTTGAGTGGAGAACAATTTTTATCAATGCCTTCGTTTTCAATGAAGAACCGGAAATAACATATGTGGATGTGAATGCTATTGGTAGTTCAAAAACAAGAGTGTTGAATTTGTCGGAAAAGGGACTCACAAGTGTTACAAAGGATGGTCATGATATTTCATGTTTTGGTATGTGTCAAGATGATCGTGTCGTTAATGATCAATATTTTCATTGGAAATGCAATTCTGAAATTTGAATAATATTGGATGCATCTTCGTTGTGAAATAATTTAGAAATTGGAAAATTCTTAGAACTATGTTTACATGGAAATCCTTTTGTTTTTCAAGCATTGTTTGTTCCTGATCATTTTGTTCATCAATATCAATCGAAGGAATGGACAGAATTAAAATTGTTAAACAAGTATTTTCTGAACAAGAAAGTAGTGAGCTCACATTGTGCATTTGCAAAACGGCAACTTCAACAAGGAGAAGGAAAGATCAAAAGAGCATATCAAAAGAATTATTATCACTCGCTGAGACTATGTTATGAAACTGAAAGACTCATACAAGGGCTGGTTCCTCGTATACGGTTTGAAAAAGATACGGCAGAACGAGAAATGCTAATGGAAATAAGAAACCATTTACCGTCGGAAGAAAAGAGGAGTGAATATCATCGATTCATTATGAATAAGCTTTCAAGTATTGAGAAAACAAAACCTTGGAATAATGTACCAAATTTGCATGAAATTAGAATGAATGACGACAGTGGACAATATTTCGTGTACCATCTTAATAACTGGTTGATAAGATTACGAGTGAATGATCTCTTGTCAAGAATAGAAAAATAAATTATGTTCAATTATTAATCGCTCTGTAAATATTTATTACAGGTTAGAATTCGAGGGTGTCCATACTTGAGTTGTTCTTTGCCTTTGCAAGAGCTTGTACATGCTCTTTGAAAATCTTGAGACTTTCATTGAACTTGCCATTGTCTGTATTGGACAGCAGGTTTTGCAAACTAACGCCATGAGTATCAGGATAGAATTGATAATGATGTCGTCGAATTGGTACACAAATATTGCCTGTGTCTGGGTGCACACAATATGGACTCTTGAGCAAATGGTTAAAACCTTTCGAGACGTTCACGTCAAGACGAGGATACACAAACGAGTAGACAATTTCCCACAAAAAGTGTTTGTTTTTCTTATCTCTCAATAAAGTGTCTCTGAGTTCTGTGTAAACAGCGTCACCACTTTTCCCCGAGTTGAGAATTTCTTGAATCGTGTTCTTTACATCATTGATATAAATAAGGTTAAGAATGTAAGGAATGGATGTCTGCATTGTTTCTTCGTCATCAAAAATACCCATTCCATTCACAAATACATCCATAAAGTATCTTTCACATATCGTGAAAACTTGCGAGTCAATATCAAAAGTGGGATGAGCAGTTCCAGAAAGATTCACTCTTTTCGATTGTTTCTCACCAACCACCGAGTTGTTTTGATAAATATGAATAAATCTAGAAATGGCTGATCTTCCTTCATTGTTGAGCTTTTTTAACAATTCATCACTTGCCCAACAGTGAATTCCTCTTCTACCACTGTACACCCAAATCAAATGCTTGGTCCCAAAAACATCAACCAACAAATGGTCCAAAACTTCCATTGCACAATTCATCAATCGCCAACATTTTTCACAATATTTACCACCTCTACAGCCACAAAATCTGACATCATCATAATCGGAAATATCAATATCAATGCAATATTCCTTTTCAGTAGGAATGAGAACTGAGTTTGAAACTTGATTCTTCTTTGAGACTGCCATATTATAAACAGGTCCAATATCAAGTTTGACTGGAGCATTGGAATACTTGACCACTTGCTCTTTCAAATCATCTCCACTCTTGACGCACTTGTACCGAGAGAAAATAACTTCGGATTGTTGTGTTTTTGGATTTACTACTTTGAAGGAATAGGAAAATTCTCGGTTGATGATTTGTTTTTCATCTCCTGGATGGAGCCATTGGGCGAGTAGTGAGAAAGGAAAGTATTTCTCTGAGTAGTGATAGAACAAGTTGAATCATCATGATGATGATGATTATTTCCAATCATCAAACATTTTTGTTCCGGAAATGAATCCATTTGGAATGATGATTATGCACACTCACTCACTTACCATAGTATTGTTTGAGTTGTTCGTTGGTGATGGCCATTTATTGTGAAGTCAGAAAGTTCAAAAATTGATTTCAAATATTTTTTCTGTGTTTAACGTTCAGCAACAAAATTTTGGCGGTTTAAATAATTCTTTTCACAACACCATTACTTTTGGTCAAGTCAATCACACCCCTCAAATACAGCGCTCGTACTTGCATGTTGAATAGAGATTGAAGCTTGGGGTTTGTTTTTTTTGAACCCTTCATTTGAGCAAATCGATCCAACCATTCTTCATAATCAATTTCATATCGAGCATTCATTTTGCATTGCTCCAACGTTTGTTTGGCCAAATAAATATCTGGAGCTACGAACTTTTGAGTTTTGTTTTCAGAGAGGAATACGACAGGCTGGCAAAATGCAAGGTTATTCTCATAGGTTTCTCTTCTTGTCATTGGTCTTAAAAATTGTTCTAATGATTGCCCAAAAGCTGGTTGAATGAAAAATAATTCATTTCCAACCAATCGTTCAATCCATGGCTTTTTGTAATCATCCTTATCATTGAAAATAAAATCTACCTTGTACACTGAGGAAGGTGAAGCAAAGAGATCCATAAATAAATTGCGCAAACGATTTTGAATACTTTCCCACGTAGTGGACGCAACATTGTGCACGGGAACAGAACTGCCAACTTTTTCTGCGACATTGGATCGTCTTCGTTGCGTTTTTGATTTCTTCTTGTATTCAATTTCGTCATTGTATTTGTGGCAGCAATCGTCACAATAATACTTGTGTATGGTTTCCACCATTGATGGAGTCAAATTCATGCAACCAAAGTGATAGTGACGCTTGCAACGTTCACAATGAATCATTTCAAACTGTTGCCCAGATCTACCACATTTACAGGTCGTGTCCAATTTTTGTACATTCTTTCCTGCTTGGTATTCCATTAAGGACTTGCAGTATTTGCAGAAATACTTGACATCTCCTGGATAATCTTCAATGTTTTCTCCAACACATGAACAATGGAACCATTTGTTACAATTGTCACATTCGACCATGTCACCAAAAGAGTGTTGCTGACAAAAACAATACAGCGTATCCTCAGTTGTACGGCTTCTACATGAATCGCAATAGTAATATTGAGTTGGAAGCTTGGCAACCCCAACACATGCCTTATGGAAAGAATTGCCACACGTCTTGCATGTCACCCTTTCTTTCGGTTTAATCATGACATTGCAAAAGCAGGAGTCTTTCGTTTTTGGAATAAGCTGGTCTGTATCAATTGAAGGAACAAGATCTTCAGAGTTGTCACTTTCATTGTCGCTCTCTTTATATTCCTCAGCTTTGGTGTTAAATATTTCAATTGGAATAATGCTATCTTTTCCAAACGATGTGTCATGATCTTTCGGTACCGTTACAGTTTCAAATAGCTCTACAATTACATTGTATTCATCCTCAAAGAATTGTGGTTGCTTGCTTCTTATCTCATCAATTATTACTTGGCAACATCCCAAAAAGTCTATAATATTGCTTTGGGGAATGTTTCCTCTAAACAATGATTACAGTGCCATATGAAATCATTGAAAAACATGAGAAAATACTTACTTGAGCGCTTGAATAATTTTTTTAAACCAGCTTTGTTCTTTAAAAGATCGAGCACCAATTAAGGATTGATGAATACGAACTCTTAGTGCCGTAATATCGTCGCTTTTTGTTTCATCCCGTTGTTCAATCTTTTCTCGCACAGAGTTCTCCAAAACAACAAGGCATCTCATTGCCACCTCTATGAGTTCAATGATGTACGGATGTAAATAAAAGAAAAATCGAAATTGGTAAAGACAGTTGTGGGCTTGATCTTCAGAAATTGTTTCTCCGCTAATAAAGTCAGAAGCAAACAAGGTGGAATTGTTTCGTTACTTACAAATATGAATTAATAGAGGGAACTCGCAAAGCATGGGGTAGAGCTCATCAGAAAAAAGAATTTTCAAACACTTTGTGTCGTCCAACGTGAAAAATGCTTTTGAGAATACAGAAATAGGTCTGTAAAAGAAATGCCTAGTATATAGTTGCTATATTCGAAAAGGTTGAGTTTATCAATAGCATGTTGAAATTTTAAAACGTACTTTTAGAATGTTTGAAAACTTTCTTATCGTAGAGAAATTAGTAATCATAAATGTTGTAAGGTCAAAAGTTGGTCTCAGGTAAATATTAAAATTTTTTTGAATAAAGAGCTGTTTGATAAATGTTTCAAACAAATTTTGAAAATCCTTCTTAAATTGAATTGGGACTTACCTCGTCCATGCACCTCATAAATAAAGGCTTTGCCATCGATTGAGTTTTAAACACCTTGATCGTGAATTTACTCATCTTTGAAATGAGAAAGCGATCATGATGTCAATTAATAATAGAGAATACTTACATCCGTGATCAGTCCTTCCAACACGTCTTTTCCCTTTTCATCTACACGTAAAATATTAATAATGGGCATTAGATGGGTATAATGGCTGCACAAATCAAGCCATTGAGCAATTGGCTCAATAACATGAGCATTTTCAAATATAAATATAAGTGCTGATTTTGAGTTTTGTTTGACCTGTTCTACAGCGTCAGAAAATTGAGATACGTCATATTTTGATTGTAAAACGCTCAATAACGATTTTAAAGTTGCGTGTCTTGACTCTGACCTGAAAACACAAATCTCAAATCGGTCCAATGCTTTCAACTCAGATGTTCGATTTCTGTAATAGTCATCATCTTCTTCATCGTCGCTTGAGATGTTCATCATTTCATCGTATATATCGTTTGAATCCTTGATAAAAAAAGGGTCCAATAGTTTGCCTAAAATCATAACATCCAATTATTATAAGTTATTTCAAATCAATTTTCAAAACTCACTTTGAGTGGTTTTAACAATCAGAATCGGAGAAATGCATTTCAACATGCCATTTTCAAAACTTTCATAAATATTCTTCAATTCTTCAACAATCAATTCTTCAGTATGACTACTTTCTTCCATTGCACATCGCATGTTGATCATTTCTTCAAAAGCATGAATTGATGATTCAATAATTCTTTGGTATTTCTCTTGTTTTAAAAATTGATTTCTAACATCCGATAATGAAATGTTATCCTCATGAGTAGCACCATCTTCTGAATTATTGGAGTTTGGAGCCACATCGACGTCTTCGTCTGTCAGAGGCTTCTTTATCCGATGCCGAGCAATTCTTTTGGTCATTTTTTTAAAAATAATTATTGTTTTCACATCAACAAGGTACAAACTATTTCTTAAATTTATTGATAACAATCGGAAGTTGGAACGATGTAATAGAACGTGAATGAGCATTCAAACAGTTCTAACAAAACACCATCTAGTTCAGTGGTATTGAATATACAAAAGGTTATTAAAAGAATCCTACAGGTGTTTGGATATTGGTGGTTTGATGGAATGTTGGGATTTGAGTTGCAGTAGGTTGTGCAAATGTGTTAGATAACAAGCTACCGCAGATTTTGTTGATGATCCTTAATCGTCTGTTTGCAGTGACCAAATTCAAAAATTCATAATGAGGATTTTCACAGCTCAAAATAGACATCAATTGAATAGCTATTTGGCTATTATTTTGTTGAGAAGCAAAAATTTCAACAATTGGAACGATATAACTCTCTTCCTGTGTTCTTCAATATTCGATTTTACCCATACGTTGATCAGGTCTAAAATGGTAATGTCACCATGAAATCCTTGGCAAGACATTTTCAAATATCCTTCAATAAAGTAGTAGTCTAAATTTCTTAATACTCCTTCTATCTGATAGGAAGATCCATGGGAAGTAATTCCTCGCTTGATACACGATAAAGACGAATATACCAAGCTCAACAAGGATTCAGAAATTTTTGTGAATGGAACTCTTTGAATGTATTTGAGGCATTCGAATGCAGCATCTTGATTTTTCTCTGCCTGGTTTCTCATGTTTGAAATAATGACGTCGTTGCATGAGCGAATTCCATACTTCTCAAAGAGATCATACAGGATAAATACATCTTGAATCTTGACACTGGTCGATTTGTAAAGACATGTAATCATGGTTTGAGCATAAAAAGCTCTGTGATATCGGAACAAACAATCTCAATAACATTCTTGTCACCTTTTGGTTTCGTCATTCGAGACAACACTTCACTTGCTGCACAAACAATAATTCTATGAGCAAAGATGGAAGTATAAATATTGACAGTCCATTAGTATTGATCAGAATTTCAATGACCAGATCAGAGAAATGAGTTGGGTCATTGAACGGAATGTCACTTGTTTTCAATGGATTGCTGATGAAAGTAAATTCATTATTTGAAAAAGCTGTTCCAAAGCTAAATCCAAAGCCAGTAGTAGGAGCTTGGAAGGAGGGTTGTTGTTGAGCCTGTCCGAACACTAGTGAATTGTTTTGAGTTGTTGCTGTTGTATTTACATTGGTGCTTGAGGCAAAACCACTTGTTCTTTTTGAGGTGCCAAAGTGGAAACCAGCGTTGGATTGGTGGTTGTTTGATTGATCTTGAGTGGAAGGAACATTGAAATTGAATCCACCATTGGATGTACTTGATGTAGTAGTAGCTGGTTGAGTAGCATCACCAAAGTTGAAAGAAGTTTGTTGGCTGTTGTTGCTGGCTCCAAGACCGGTCGTTGTTGTTGCAGAGGTATTGGTTGTGCCAAAACCAAAGGCTGATGATCCATCGGAAGTAGTAGTATTGTTGGATGGTTGTGTTGTGGATGATGCTAACGAAAATGACATTTTCTTTTGTGTTTGTTGTGCTGTTTGTGACACACTCTCATCTCTCTTTAAATTCGCTTCTCGAAGATGGCAATTCCATGCAATGGAATTTCTGGTCAATTCCAACTTGTGTACACGCGAGGAATTCATTCAGCAGAAATTGGCTTCAATAACGTGTTGATCCAGCAATGGAGAAGCCGATGTAACATTCACGAACCGAAATCACGATCATCAACGCCACGTTTGAAACTTTTTCATCACAAGAAAAATCTACCTCGAATCTCTCTCCCAATTTTCATGTTGGTTGTTGCCGACGACAGGAACAAATTGTGGTCGGACTGTACTTGTAGCACTGCATCAGCAAACAACAACTCATCATCAAAATAATCAGCATCCTCATCGACTGATCTCCACACTTGTGGCTAACAAATTTTGGCGTCGGTTATTTTAATCATCGCTCGTTTTTCTTCGCGAACTTGTAAATAATATAGTACCACGAAATTAACATGAGTGCAATAGAAGATCCATCACAACAATTCACGAGTAAGAAAGATTTATTGGTCAAATGGACCAACCAACATCAAAAACTTTGCAAGCAATTATTATCAAGCCAGACCATCCAAGAAAATGTGCTTCTTCAAATTATCGAATTGTTTGAAGAAGATCCCAGATTCGATTACGGAGGTCTTACCATTGACCACAACATTGGTGTGATCGGATTGGAAGAAACACAGAATATTACAAAGAAACGACTTCAAGCAACACAACTTTTTCTCGATGTTTGGAGATATTTAATTACTCGAGTCGACATGATCAGCATTTCTCTTCGTATTTACTGCTATCAATTGATACTTCTCATTATTAAACGAAGAGAGTTTCATCCGAAATACTTTCAAAACATAATTCTAAATCAGATAACCAATTCAGCTACTACCACTAACACACAATCCTTCAATTCATCCAACACAAGTGAGCTTTCCACATCACCTCCAGCAGCAACATCAACAGCAAAAGATTTATCTTTTCTCAAACTAAGCCCTACCTTTAACCCTAACAGTCAGCCACAAAAAAAAGGTCTAATAAGCAGTATTCTCGGTTCCATGAAGAAAGGAGACAGTAATGATGAGTTATCAAAAAAAGTACTGTACGAATATAAGGAATTGTTGATACGAACTCAGGATTTTGTTGTCAACCAAGTTCTAAGAACCAAAAAGCATGAAAATATTGTTGTGGAGCTGTTTAGGTTTTGTGCTTCAATACTTGCTGTAAATTGTTTTAGGTTACTGTCGGCAGAACAAACCGAGGAGTTTGTTTCTAATTTGTGCTTCAAACAATTTGGGCACGACTTTGTTGAACCAGAGACAGTGGAGAACGTTAATAGAAATTTGGACATTAAGAACGCTAATTTTATCAAGAAGCTCAAATATGTTCCATCAATGGCAGGGTTATCGACCTTATTGGATGACAACGATGAAGACGAAACCCCTGACGAGACTACAACTAGTGTTGATGACGAAGAGAAGTCCTATGTACACAAAACTGTATTTTGCTATTTTAAGTTTCTGTTTGAAATTGATCCATTGAACGACACCTCAAAAACGAAGACCATGTTGTCAAAGATTCATGGTTGGATGAAGGACTCTAGCTCGTGGCTTCCAACATCAAAAGTGTGTGGTGATTTTTTCCATTACTTTTTCTCTGATTTTGTAGATCAAATTAGCAAGATTATGAAACATGACACCTCTAACAAGCATTGGCAAATGGTACCAGGATATAATACGCTGGTAACGAATTTCACACAACTCGGCGAAATTTATCTTACCCAGCACATTAATCTCAATTTTAACGACGCCATAATATCTTCCAGTGATACATCAAACAAGCAAGAACAAAAGATTCAAAGGTTGGAAGAATCAGCTAGAGGTGAGGATGGTCATGAATCTGTTGCCTTCAAACAATGGCTGTCTTGCTCATTGATAGCCCTTAGAAATCCTCGAGTCATTAATATTCTGTTGGAAATTTTCTTTTCCAACACGAATGGATATAGTCCTGATCAAGTATTTTACACTCTAGATTGGGCTGACAAGTGGTTCGAAGAAGTTCGACAGCTAGAGCACAATTTCCAACAATACTTGATTTATAGAAATCAAAAACATCAACATACATATTTTTATTTGGAATCTAGCGATTCCAATATTGAGTTGTTTATTGGTTCTCTACCAGAAAAGTAAGTATTTGTTGGATGATTTACTAATTCAACTTATTTCTTCTAATGAACGAACCAATTCCATAGCTTCAACTTTGAATTTTTCGAGACAGCTATTGAAAGATTGCTTGAAACAGATCACTTCCAAATCATGTCTAGAACATTAATTTTCGTTTATGACATTTTGGATTTATTCAACGGAAAAGCTCGTATGAAATTTATTGGTCACGATTTATTAAGAGACCGTTTCTATCATTTATTCCTTCATTGGAGCGCGGATATTCGAAATATTTTTCAAAGAATTATTTTGTTTAAATTACAAAGATATTCTTCAACAGTCTTTAGAGAGTATGGACCGCTCACAGCAACTTCTTCTCAAATCTCAAACAAACGAAAGGCAAGCACTCCAATGCTTCAGAGAGACAGATCCAATAGCAACTCACTCACGCCACCAGCATTTGAGAAGAAGAAAGTTTTAATTGAGGTTGAAGATTTATCGGTACGACGCAGCTTGGAGGATTTTGAACCAAGAAGAACATCTATATCAGGAACAAGACCAAGCATTGAGTCCATTGTCTCCTACTCTTCTTCTTCCAAAAAGAAACTTGTAGGTGGTATCTCGAACCTTAAAAAGAAAAATAAGGAAGCTGTCAAGACCGAAGAATCAGTTGCAACAAGCGAATTTCAAAGAGTAGAAGAATCTATTGATTTGTAAGTAGTTCTAGAGATTTTGTTGGAAAATTTCTCACCATTATTGAACACTAGAGTTTTGAAAAGCAAAGTGGACACCTATCTGCAGGTCCTTAGAACGGTTGAAAATGATCCCTCTGCGCTCAGTGACATGATCAAAGATAATCCATCGCTTGAAATTCCTCCTTCCCTCGTTGTTTATGTGAACACTGCCATGGAGGAATTTGAAGCTCTTGAGAAGGAATGTGATTCATGGAAACGAGAAGTGGCATCATTATTGCTGGCGAACAAGAAGGCATCCAAAGTTAAGCTAAGCCAGATTCCATATCCCAGAATTAACTTCCCTCGGTTCACATTGCAATCCGATAAGCTATTGTTTTAATAAACATGACATTTTAGTAAACATGTTGTTGAATTTGTTTGAATATTTTTGATTGACTCAAAAAGAACGAATCAAAAAAATGTCTCACAAGCTCGCACCGATTATCTGCCCATCAATTCTCAGCGCTGATTTTGCAACGTTAGCTGCTGATTCTAACAAAATGCTTGAATTAGGAGCAACATGGCTTCATGTCGATGTAATGGATGGACATTTTGTAAATAATATTACCATAGGTCCACCCGTCGTAAAATCACTCCGAAAACACACGAAAGGATTTCTTGATTGTCATCTCATGGTTTCTCATCCATCCAAATGGATCCATGATTTTATTGAAGCAGGTGCTGATAATATTACATTTCATTACGAATCGGAAAATGGTGATTTAGCCTCTACACAACACGTACTCTCTCTCATTCACGAAGAAAACAAGAAACAAGGAAAAGATTGTAAAGCCTCCATTGTGGTCAAACCTAAAACACCTGTTGATGTTTTGTTTCCACTGTTAGATGTCAACTCCTCTTCTCATGAAAATATTTTCATGGTTTTAATTATGAGTGTAGAGCCAGGATTTGGAGGACAAGCATTCATGTCGGATCAAATGGAAAAAGTTCGAGTCTTGCGAGAGAGGTATCCTTCATTGAATATTCAAGTGGATGGAGGCATTACAGAAGAAACTGTTGTGGAAGCTGCAAAAGCTGGTGCCAACGTGGTGGTGAGTGGATCTGCCATTTTCAAATCACCAAATCCACAACATACCATGAGAGTCATGCGGGAAACCATACTCCAACACCTCGGCAACAATCAGTAAGGAAATTGGATTACCCTCGCTTAATTAAAAGAGAGATGCAACAATGGGTAAATTATTGTGTTGTATTTTGACTGTGGTTATTGCTCTTAATCTTGATCAAACAACCACCACTGGTTGTGATATCTCTGGTTGTACTATGTATCAAGTTAGAGAACAATAACAAACAAAGACGACTGTGTTAACGTACTAGCAAAACACAGTGGAGACCTTTAGAGGCAAAAGTGCATCTCCTTAATGTGTTTGCAAGGAGAATACAAGCACGGGTAAATTATTTGACTCGGCCCAATTTTGCACCTTGGCCAAAAATGAGTTTGTTCATGCGGCACGATTTCGCCGTTTATCTACAATCAATACGAAACAACAGAAAAGTAGCCATTTCACGAGGTATTTTAACAGCCTAATTTCTCCTTGTAATTGGTTTTGGATTGTCCTAAACAACGTGGCCATTCTCTTGTTCATGGTCTGTGTGGCTCCGAGCGCTTCACATCATCAACAACAACGCCCAAAAAATACCAGCACCATCTTCAGGCTCACTTTCGCCATTCTTCGTCGAGGGTATTATTAAAAAAAGTCCCAACATCCACAAACACAAAGGTTCATCACAGCATATTTTCTTCTTGTTCTAGCAATCAAGTCCGCCTACACTGATTCCTTCCCTCGCATCTCAAAAAGTGCGTGGTCTGACTACTACTCCATCATCAAAAAAACGCCATCTCAAAATTATCTGACAGTGGAACATCTTTTCCAACGCCAAAGCACACCAACATTTATTCCTTTAGCTTCTCATTTAACTTTGGACTAGAACAACAGAATGGACCAAGACAATTCGAATATTCCACCACTACAAACAGTGGTTCACCCTGTACAACAACAACAACAAGACACCCGGCAATACTCCACCATAGCATGTTTATTATGCAGGTACGTAGAATTGATGATACAATGATTCTAATCAAGAAAATTTGATATTCCCTCGCACGCTTCTTAATTGCGACTGTACGCAAAACACGCCAAAAATATTTGGTTTGTTGTTGTGAACAATATTTGATTTCATTCGGTTGTTGGTGTGTTTGAATGGTACAAATGAACAATTTCCATTATTGCTCACCACTTGATGAATATTTGGAATGAATGCATGCTCACATGCATCTGTCATTACTCATGACGATCTATTTGAATGTTGCATATGCATGTATGGATGTGTTTCATGTAACGGTAATTATTGACTCAACAACATGCATGAACAACAACAGAAAGGCTCATCGCAAATGTGATCGGCTCTATCCTGTCTGCAGCGAATGCAATTGCAGAGGTCTGGCAGACAAATGTTCTTATCAACAACCAAAGAAGCGAGGACCAAAGAATGCTACGTCCTCGGGGTCATCTCCTCCTCCTTTGGATGGCCAACATCAACAAGCAGTTAGTGGTATGGGTGTTATGTCGACCAATTTAAACATGGGCTCTCAACCACATGCATCTTCCACACAAAGATGCTCTCCAAATCGATCTTCTACCGTACATCAGTCATCAAATGGAACATCTGCATTTGCTACTTCATCATCACGAAAATCTTCCCCATCCCAAACCTATCCACAAGCAAATACATTACCAGCACTAAATACTCTAGAACATTCTCCATCGTATTACCAACAGTCACCAATATATAACAACAACCAACCACAACCTTCATACTTCAATCACATGCAATCCAACAACTCTTACCAGTATCAACAACAAGATATATCGGGAAGGCAAAATGGGCAAATACCATCTTACACAGAACAATCAAAATTAGGTCAACACAGATATCACCCATACGTAACATCCACAATTGCAAATACCACTCGTACAAATAAGGAGAAAGAGGTTTCTCCTCGCGAAATTTCGATTGCTTTATCTCAACTGAAATCTTTAACAAGTGTGGAAAGTTTCGATATTGGTGCTCACTACCCTTATGTCCTAGATTTATACTTTCATAGATTTATTTTGGCATATCCTCTTATCAAGAGAGAAGATGTTGAAGAAGTGGTTGTTAGAAGATTATTAAGGAAAAATTATGCTTCAAAAGTTGAAGACAAGGATGACTATTTTTTGTGCTCGTTCTACGCTATTTGTATGGCTTTATTTCAAAGGCTTGGCAAGAGAGAAATTGCTCATCATTTCTATCTGCAGGCAAATAGAGCTGTTTCTTCTCTAATGCTTTATGAGGAGGATGATACAAACGAGAATGCAAATAGAGTTGGTCTGAATTTCGAATTATGTTTAAATATTGCATTAATTTGCATTTATCTGATAGGAAACGGAGATCTTAAAAAGGCATCTATTTATTATAATATTGGAATGGGTTTCATACAACAAGTGAATTTATTTGGAGAAATGCAACGAGGTTTCCTTATTGCGTACTATGGTCTTTGCGAGCTAATGCTCTTCAGTGGAGTGAAGGATCAGATTAAATGCTTTGCCATAATAGTGAACAAGCACTTGAAAGGAATGTTAAATTTTATTCAGAGTGCTCAATTTCAAACCTTGGAGTCATGCTTGCATGTTCTTCATATCCTGCAAGAAAATCAACAAAATTTGATGCAGCCCAAAAATTTTGACGTTCCCGAAGAATATTCACACACATTAGAAGGAAGATTTGACCTGATTACCTCTCACTTTAATTACATAAGGCAGGATTAGAAATTAAGGCATACTTTTATTTCGGACAAACGTCTCCAAACGTGAAAGAGAGACTCCAACAAGTGGCTGATTACATTTTGTCATTGACTTGTCTGCCAGTATTTGAGGACCTTTCTGTATTGGTCGTTGAGGCAGTAGTACTTGCATGTCGAGTGACTCTTGAACGTACTGAAGCTCTTTACGATTATCAAGGAATTCGGACGTGTTATGTAGCATTGTGTAGTCTGGACCGCAAATATGGTCTCGTTAGGAAGATTTATGGAGAGGTATTTAATGCGATTGAGGCACGTTTATTCACATATGATCAAAACAATAATGGCAACGTCACTACAACAATTTTGCTCCAATAACAGACAATACTACTATGTCCAATAGCAAGTTGATGGCAAACAATTCGACCATTTCTCAACAGCCAAAAGTCACCAACCAAGCAACACCAATATCTCATCCAATATTGGCACCAACAACCCCTCACAAAGATGACAACCCAAAGTAAATAATCATTGTCTCTCTGTTCGATGCTCTATTTTCTTCTTTAATTGTTGAATAAATGTTGTAAAGACCATGAGAGCTAAGCAAATGCATTTCAATGTTGTCCTTTTTCGCTTCTCAACTCGAGATCACACAAAGGCAACATAGTGTCATGTACGACGAATATTTCCTCATCATGAAAACGATTCAACCACCTTTGAGCCCATAAAAGGACTCTTCATGATCAAAGAAACAAGCACAAGAATTTCTCGTTTTTGGTCCTCATACAACACTCACAAACAAATTACCACAACACCTAACCTGCGAATCTGCACCCTCACCATCACTATTTGAATTTACCATCACATCTGACACTCCTGATTGAATCCGGAGCACAATTCGCCACAATTCCAATTCAAGCGAACACTATCAATTTGTACCTCATCAAAGCCTCTAACAATAACAACAACAATTCATTCATTATCAACAACATTATCCACCATGCTCATCGGTACCTCCTCTCCACCAAGACTCACCTCAATCAATACAACAAGCATGTCTGATCATTCAACATTGATACAGCACTCGCCAACAACAACAACAGGAAGAGGTTCCACACAAGATCTCCTTCAGGAATTACAAGACTTACATCAGTCCGTTCTCGTTTATCTTCATCATAACTATGGAGTCATTCCATCCACAGTAACTGTGATCAATGACCATACTAACAGTAATACGCGATCTCCACTTTCAAAGGTTTCCATCACATCGTCAACCTCAACGAATAAGAATCAATTCTCGAGCTCAGTATCCTCCTATTCCACATCTGCCGTTTCGTCAAGTCCAAAGAACCATCCTCCAGTATCAAAACAACGTAGTTTCATCTTGTTAGAAGACGATTGTGTCTCCAGCCCAAGACATACCTCAAGCATTAGTTTTGGAGATGAAATACCCAACTCCTCACCAAACTCTTCTGGTTTCTCTCCTCTTTCTAGAGGTTCCAAGATGTCAAATAGTATGAACTCAATTAGCCTAACTAACACCTCTCCAACCTCAATGAATTCTCATAGCACATCATCGTCATTGAATTGCACCGAATGTGAAACGAGAATGGTTCGGTTGGAACGACTAATTTATCAAGTTCTGAATCTCATCTTGCGGGGTGAGTACAAACCAAAGCTCAATATTTCGTCAAACAAGTCAAGTCCATCCCAACCACAAACCCATTCATCGTCGGAACCTGAAACTCCGCGAAAGATGGTTCAGAGTCGAGTGAAGAGTGCTCACTTGATGAATGTAGAACCTCTCAAAGAAATGATTGCATCAGTGGTACAGTATGAGCCCAAACGATGTACCATGGGATATGAGATTTTGTTAGAATTGAAGAGTGAAGTGGCTTGCTTGAGTCAAATTTTGTAATGAATAAGACGATATAAATGTGTTATTGTTTCGTTCAACACAACACCCACAACAACCAAATAAAATTACACACCAAATTGCTGTCAATAATAACCAGAAGCATCATTAATTTCCCAAACACCAAGTAGGATAGTCCATGATTATCAGCTTCTCACACGTGTCAATCACGATCCTCGAGGTTTTGATGGATCCAATCGTTGAAAGTCTTTTTTGTAAGTCCTCAAATATTCCAGTGAAGCCACAAAAAAAATCCTCGTATTCACAGCTCCCAATTGCTGAACTCAAAGATGACATCACACGCTACCATCGATAGAGAACACCTCAAGAAGCTCTACGCTGAAGAAGAAGCCTTGTTCTTGAAGAACCATCCAAAATGTAAAGAAGCCTTTGAGAAAGCCAAGAACAGCCTTTTAGATGGTGTTCCAATGCACTGGATGAAGAAGTGGACCGGAGGTCATCCTCTCTTTGTACAACAAGCAAAAGGAGGACACTTTACTGATTTGGATGGAATTAAATATATTGATTTTTGTTTGGGAGATACTGGATCCATGACTGGACACTCACCCGATGCTGTGGTTGAATTTGTTTCTCAACAATTACGTAATGGTATTACCTACATGTTGCCCAATGAAAATGCAATTTGGGTCGGAGATGAATTGAAGAAACGTTTTGGTCTTCCCTATTGGCAAGTAGCTGTTTCTGCTACCGATGCTAACCGATTTACTCTCCGTATTGCTCGTCATATTACCAAGAGACCCAAGATTCTTGTGTTCAATTATTGCTATCATGGTACTGTGGATGAAGCTTTTATTACTTTGGGAGAGGATGGACAAGCACAATGTCGTTCCACAAATATTGGTCCACAAACCAATCCTGTGAATACAACCAAAGTTGTTGAATTCAATGATGTGGAAGGATTGGAAAAGGCTTTGGCTGACCGTGATGTTGCTGCTGTGTTATGTGAACCAGCCATGACAAATATCGGAATTGTCATGCCACAACCTAGATTCTTGGAAAAGTTGAGAGAACTCACTACTAAATATGGAACTCTGTTGATTATTGATGAAACACACACCATTTCAGCTGGTCCTGGAGGTTGCACATCGGAGTGGAATCTCAAACCAGATTTGTTTACTATTGGTAAGGCTATTGGTTCTGGTGTTCCAACTGCAGTCTATGGCCTCAGTGAAGAAGTGGCCAATCGATTGAGAAGTGCTCTCAATCTCGAAGGTATCGATGTTGGTGGTATTGGTGGTACTTTGGCAGGAAATGCACTTTCTGTTGCTGCTATGAGAGCAACTTTGGAAAATATCTTAACACCTAAGAATTATGAATACACCATTGGTTTGGCAAAGAAATTCTGTGAGGGTGTTGAAAAAGTTATTGCAGACTATAACCTTCCATGGATTGTCAAGCGTCTTGGATGCAGAACTGAATATTGGTTCAGAACTACAGAACCAGTGAACGGTGGTGAAGCTGCTGCAGTGTGTGACTTTGAATTGGATCAATACATGCACTTGTATGCCTTGAATCGTGGTATTTTGATGACTCCTTTCCACAACATGGCTCTCATTTGTGTTGATCATACTGAGGAAGATGTTGACGTTCACACCAGAGTTTTCCGTGAGAGTGTTGAGGCTTTGTTGGGAGTTAAAAAGAATTAATTGGATTTTTGAGAACAACAATTTTGAAATAAAAGTAATTACATGTAAAAAAATTAAGAAATTAGTAGTTTATTTCACTTAAAAGCCGGTTCATTCAAACATCCATTACCAGTAATATTTAATTTGCCTTGTTTTGCTTATTTTGCTTGTGGGAGTTGACAACATTTTTCATGGTGTGATACCAAACACCAATTTGTGGAACTTCCTTACTCAAATCGTTAAATGTTCTTAGTCCTTCTATTGAGCTCAAAATTCCATACACAGCAAGATCTGCAAGATCTGGTTCGTTTCCTCCATGAAATGGTCCTTTTGAAGAATCAAGTGCTTCATTGACCCACTTTTTTCCACATGCGTAAATGGCTTCTCTTTCGTTATCAATTCCATATTTCTTTTTGAGTCTCTTTGCAACAGCATACATTGTGAACGATCCTCCGTACAGAACGGCTTGTTTTTGCCACCATCCAAAACCATTTTGCTCTGAAATATATTCAAATGCTTCTACTGCTTCTTCATTGGATCTGTAAATATTGGGAGCGAGAGTGTGTACAAAAGTGTCATCCACCCATTTTCTCCACTTTACAACGTCTGCTGTGTTCATCTTTCCAGATGTGTCAACAACATCATTAAGGTGTGTAATAATTCTAGATGAGTCATTCAATTGATTATTTAAAAGTCCTTCAACCACTACAATCGGTACCTTTTTGTAGTCTTTGGAAAACTTAATTTCTGATTTGAACAATGGATTAACTTCTACAATTTTGTATGGAATTTCATTGTAATCCAAGAAAGCTCTCACCTTGCAACAGAAAGGACATACTTGATATTGGTAGAGGGTAATGCTATATTGGCTCTTATCCTTTCCCTTCAGAATTTCTCTCAAAATATTGATACCATCTTCAATTTCATATCGGTTTTTAGATTCCTCATCACGTACTGTGCTTTGTGGATTTCCGATTTCTGCTGTTGCTTGTTCTTCTGCTTTAACATCATCAGCGAGCATACTAGATGCCACGAGAATGGAGGCAGCTCCTGCTAAAATTACTACAAGAGCCTTGATTTTTGTGTTTCCTTGCTTTGATTTATCGGAAGACTTATCTTCTTGTGGTGTTGTTGGTGGAAGGAGTCTTTGATGATGATTGATAGAAAATTCTCTTCGGTGGTTGTTATAGGTTGTAAAAACTCCAAAATTTAATGATGATTGATTCATGGCCATCATGACGGAAGAGGTCAAATTACGATGAGTACCAGTAACGCTGCGGTTAGCAACGTTCAAAGCCTTGGAAGACCATGAACATAGAGAACGTTTCAAAATGGACATTTTTTTTTGCAGTAACAAAATTTGCGCACCAAAATCGGACTTGCTTGGGTAATTTTACAAATAAAATTCATTGAATTATGAATTGATTGAATGGGTGACTTGCTTGGGTAATTTTACAAATATCCAGTAGTAGTTGTTAATCCAAAGCTTGAAAGAAAATATCTGTTAAAGATGTAATTTTGTGAAGGTGTTTTTGTAAGGAATGATGCAATTTCTTGGCAAAATCCTTTCCACGAATGACAGTCATGAGTTTTAAATGTCCTCTTTGTTCTGCAAGATCACACGCAGTTTTTCCAGTCTTTTCAAAAGTTGACAGATATTAATTGAAGAGAATAATTTTGAAGCTTACAATATCTTTCAAGGTCGTGTCACAATTATATTGCACTAATAAAGAAACAGCCTCTAAATTGCCCTTAATACAAGCTACATGTAATAATGTCTATAATGGAAATAATGCATTGACATGTTCAATATTAGGTACATACATTCTGAATTGTAATTTTTAAAAAATTTCTGAGTAGTAATAATAATAATCTTACTTTTGTCTTTACGAAGAATAAGAAATAGACATCAATGTACTTTCTACGAACCAACTATTATTGATGTGATCTTTCACAACTTTGGATCTTTTCAACATACATCTTGAGCGTTTACATCCACATATCCTTCTTTTAATAAATATCGAAATATATCATTTCGATTGGTCCATAATGCAAACATTATTGGAGGCTGTCGTTCATTATCAACAGGATTTGTGTTTTCCATGATAAGTGACATACTTGATGAATAAAAAACCTACTGTCTAAATTACCGAAATTATCGAAGAATCAATTTCATTAATTTCTGGAGTGTACCCTTTCATACATACATTCTACATTCAAAATAATCCATCATCTGTTTTAAAACCAAACAACTCTTACATTATAAGTCTTTAGTCAATTGATCATTAAATTCCGATCAATCTTCCACAACAAACGCAATTAAAAACTCACTTCATATTTTGAACAATTCACTAATACCGTCCGATCCACTTCTACGACCGATTCCAACAACTCTTTCACCGTTTGTGTTTCACCTCTTCGGCAAGCACCTTCAAATGCAAGAATATCCTCTGTTCGTACGGATCGTTTCATTTTTTGTCAAATAAATTGTTCATTACAATTTACAATCAAATTATGTTTGGAGTGACAGAATTTTCCATGTTGGAACCTGTGTGGATCCACGAGAGAGTCAAATGACGAATCGTCTTGTTTCTTCAACTTGAAAAAATGTTTAAATCATATCGAATCATGCTGCCGTGCTTTTGTTTCTTATCATGATCATGAGTGTTACATTGGTCAGTCCGAATTCCACTACTACTATGGAGAGTTCTTCCGAAAATAATTTATTCATCATGATGGCCAAGCCATCCAAGCAATATCGTGGAAGCAATATTTATCCAGATACTGTTGAATTTTCACAACGAATGCAATTCTGTTCGAATTTATCCATCGACATGATTCATACTAATTTTTATCAAGACATTACCACAAATATTCCAAATTCATTTTCATGTGAAAAAGTTGAATTTCCACAATCATTGTATTTCATTCGACCCACTGTAGGAGGTAAAGAAGTATTGTATGAACGATTTAGTCCAAGTCACGACAGAGACATTTGTCAAGTGGTCCACAAGTGGGAACAGCTATTGAATTTAAATTGTTCGAGTTTATTATGTCATTCTCGTGAAAAGTATTTAGAAAGTTATATTCATGGAAATACCAATGGTGAAACGTCAATTTATGATTGGATTAATTATTGTAGATATTGTAATATTGCCACGAAAATTAATTATGTACAGGATGGATGTCAAATTGCTGATGCAACAGTATCTAATATTCTAACTGAATTTCCGTCATCGATCAAATATTGTGGATATTTACAATTTGGAATTCCAATTGTTTTTGGCGTTTCATTATTTGATCGATCCTATACCATTATGTGTTATTGTGTGAAAGACAATTATTTTAGTCTTTATTGCTCGTATACTAACCAAGAGGAAATTCTAAGTGATGCCATGGTTTACATTGGCTTATTAGCACATTTTTTATCTTTCTTGGTATCTTACTTTGTGTATGTTTACCAAAAACAGTAATAGCTGTAAAGAATCGCAAATGGCGAAACACCTATACAATTTCATGTGTATACTGTTCCCAAACCTTCTCAGTGATTGCATACATTTTCTTAATTCTCAACATTAGTGGCATGTTTGTGATCATGCAACATGTGAGTCTAATTTGTGCCTACACCAGTCTACTCACTTGGATTTTGTATTGGTTTTATTTGGTTCGATATTTGAAAACTAAACAAACGACATCAGCCTACTGTAGTTATCTATTACTGTTTGTTGGATTTGTTTTCGTTTTGACAGCAATGGTGGGCGCTTCTTTGGGACTTTTAGCTGATTCTTGGTCATTGAATGCGTACAATATTAATGTTTTGAATTATGTTCAATCAGGTGTAGGAATACTTGCAGTGTTGTGTAAGTAGTATTGGTGAGAATTTTAAGAATTCACATCAAGTGTCATTTTTTTTGACATTTACAGCATTTATTGGAGTTGCCATTTGGATGAACGTAGTCATTTCAAGAATGTCTGATATTAAGCTCATACACACCTCAGTAAGTATACCTCATCATCATGATGATGATGATTTCACAATTTTTTTTCTAAACAATTCTTCCAACACAATGTCAGTTTTTACGATTTGTTATATTCGCATCTCTCATTCTCACCTTCATGAGTGTATCATTTTCAGTGACAGCATTCATGAATGCACCTTTAAATGACACTACGAATGGAGTTTTTATTTTCCTGACGAATGCATTACTTGTTTCCTTAATGATTGGACTTTCTGTGATCGAATTCGACAAGAGTGAATTATTAGAATTTTATGGATGTTGCTGCCGCTGCAGTTATTCAAGAAACAAACAAATCAAGATCTTGCAGATCTGTTAGCAAATCAAGAACCAGAAATTATGGCTCTGAACAATTAGTAACTTTTCGTATGGATAAGGATGATGTTGTATCCATGACGAATTCTACCACCTCTGTGAACGTTTCTGATCTCTGAGGTTAATGAATTCCAGTCATTTTGATTTTTGACAAGAGACAAGTTGAAAAAATCAACAAAAATGAATCAAAACCAGCAAACTCCTCCGAGTGCTAACACGCCTACAACACCAGCCACAAGCTCGAACATGAATAGTAACGCCCCAAGTCAAGCCTCCAGAATCATGACCAACTCTTTGACTCTTCCAAACAGTCATCATCATGCGAGTTTGTCTTCATCATCACCGCTCCAGAATTCTTCAAACTTGGCCACTATGAATTCATCTCCATCTTCAGTTAAAAGTAGTAGCCTCTCTCCTCTCGCTGTGGCTCAGCCTTCATCGATCGCAACAACCTTCATCAGTACCAACAGCAACAACAACAACAACAACAGGCCAGTATCGACCCCTGTGATCCCACCATTCAACCAAACATCGATGAAGTATAGTAATCATCCGAGTTCAATCATGGTTGAAACAACAACACATGACGACAAGAAAGATGACACAATGACCACAAACTCTCCCTGCATGAGGATTAGCTTGCCCTCAACACCATCATCATCACTCTTCACCACACCAACAACCACTTGCAGCTTTAGTAGTAATGGCTTTTCACCCTCATCGATCAGTACGGACGCGTTAGTTCCAATGACGACAAGTTTGTTTTCAAACACTCCTCTTCCCGTTGCGGCTGGTACGTTACCAGTACAAGTTGCTACTCGTACATGCATGGCATCCTCCTCAACTTTGGCTGAAAAGAAGGTCAAGAAAAAAAGAAACAAAAAAGAAAAAATCGAAAGAGGATGATGATCAAGACACTAAAAAGAGAAAGAAGAAATCTTCTGATTCCGTAGATATAAAGAAGGAATCCACTCCGAAAAAGAAGAAAAAGAAACAAGCGGACCAACCTCAAGAGCCTTTGATTCCATCCAGCTCTCCCACTGCAATGGAAATTTCCAAATCAAAAGATGCACTCTCGAACACTGAAATGATGAAACAAATATATTTTGGTAAAATACCAAAGCAGCTCACGCTTCGTATTTGTTGCCTCATGGATGGAGAAACGGAGGTGGATAAAGATATTGTATCAGAGGAAAACGGAAATATTTTGATCGATGGAAATAAGTTTTTGAATGAATTGATTGAATGGAAAGGAGCACTGGATGATTCCAAGAAATTCTTTCGATTTCATGCTGCATTTGTGTTAACTGCCATGTCACCAGATGACATCACGAGTTTTGCAGACCTTGTCGACAGCATGAAAGAAGCTTTGCAAAGCTGTGAATGTTCTGAAGGCCTGTATGATTTAAGACGTGATACAAAGATTTATAATGAAACCCTGGAATATCAATACAACACTGAATCCTCAACGATTCAAATTATAATGAAACGTAAATCTTTTATTGAGGAAATTGCAACCATTATTTACAAAATGGTGTCTAGACAAGAGGAAGAAGAGATGGAAGAAGTCATTGAGCAAGAAACTCAAGTGAAAGAGACAACAGAAGAACTCACTTTGATATTCACATTTTCTCTTGAAAACAATCCAAAGAAGAAGTATAACATTGAATTGAAGACTCCCAAATCCACAAATTACAAGAAGGTTATTTGTGAAAATTTGCGTCTCTTTGAGAATGACATTCAAAAGTACACTGAGAAAGATGAAACAACTATATATGCAAGCGGAATATTGCCAAAGAGCTTTATGAATGCATTAGCCGGTCGTGTGGATGTGAATGTTGTGCATAGACATGTATTCTATGAGCAAAGAGTAATTTCTCACACCCTCTATGAAAGAATGAAATCCATCATTGGCCAAACCAACTTTGAGCAATTCAACCATTTATGCTTCCTTGTTTGCACTCCAGATCAAAACACTCTTTGGTATCAAACCATGGAAAGACTAGAAAGAGCCAATATATTACCTCCAAACACCAAGCTCACTTCTGTTTCAATCAAGTACAGAAAGGATCATTTGCCAATCTTCGAGGCCTTTAGAAATAGGATTGAAAAGGAACAAGACACATTGTTCATAGTCATTGCCGATGAATGTCATTTTGCTATCACAAAAGATGGAGCTCACGACAACATTGTAAATGACGCATTGGCATTGAAACACAACAACTTTTTTGTGTTGCTTGTAAGCGCTACACCCTATAATGTAATTTCAGTCGATTCCAATGTTCCTGAAGTGTATGAACTGAAACAGCAAATTCTAAAAGATACTGGTGTATCAATTTCAAAAGGCACCAAAGTTAAAGTCATCAAACTGAATTTAGAGAAGCTGGATTTGGATATCTAATAAGACCTCATTTAGGAAATCATAATGGAGTAGAGAATATTGAGCTCATATATGATAAAGAAGAATATTTGCAACAAGTGAAGGTATTGACTGGCAAAATTGGCGATTTTAGTGTTGATGACATTGTTCACTACGACGAATCGAATCACATGCTCATCTCACATACCTCAGACAAACAATTACAAATTGAGCTAAGTACGAGAGAAAAAAAGAAAATTAACTATTCAAAGAACATTTTCAAACTGAAAAAACCAATAGGGAATTTACAAGTGGCAGACAAATCGTTTGTGGAGATTTTTGACACTGTCAAATGGATGGTAACATTTTGTCCTGTCGATAACCCTTCGCTTCAAGTTAGCATGAATGATTGGGAGTTCAGAAAATATACGGAATATGAAGAATATAATGTTATTTGTTGGCATGACGTTCAAAAGAGAACAATTTTGGAACGAACTGCACAAGATTTTCAAACAAAACGATATTTCAGCAAACAAGATTACATTAATTCCATCAAATCCGGTGAAGATCTAGTGTTAAAAGGTAAGTGAAATTCATGTTACAATTATGACATACATTTACACAATTATGGCAGATGTGGAGTTTGAAAGTATTTTGCGAAACGTTAAAGCTGCTAGTATCACACTTCGACCCATTATGCTTGCTATAGATTATCATTTTTGGTTTATTTTTCAAGCAGTTGATCACAAGTTGTGTACTATCTCTGAAGCATTTAATCATTTTTTGAGTATTGACACTATTTCTACTACTGATGAACACAAATTATACGTTTCCTTGTGCAAATTGTTGTACGTGTTTTACATGGCCCAAAAGTACGGAGGCCTTAAAAAAGTAGAGAAAGTATTTGAAAATGAATATCTTGACGATGAAGACAATGTGTTTGAGGAAAAGAAAACAAAGAAGCAAAAGAAACAAGATTTGAAGTCAGGCTTAAAATTGATGAATGAAAAGTTAAAAAAGTAAGTTGATGGTTATTAATTCATGATGTAACATGCAATTCGATAAATAACAGAACTTTTGAAAGAAAAAAGAAAAAGGTTAAGGAAAGTTTTGAAAAGATGATGAGTGTCCGAGTTAGTGGTAACAGTCACACAGGCAAACTTGTTCATGATCTTTTAGAGTCAGGAAAGATCAATGGGTCTAAATCTATTTCAGGCCAAATGAAAATCCTTAGAATTACAACCACTGAATTTGCAAACACTGTCGTTTCCATGCTCAAATTTTCAGTCACAAAGTTAGCTTCATTATCAGGCTATATCTTGCCTGACGTATTGATTGACACTGGCGAAAAACCTCTCACATTGGATCAGCTATCCGTTGTAACTAGATTGAAATTAGCAGAAAAAATCCTATCCACAGAAGATTATGAACTCTTTCAAAAGAACCCAGCAAGACTCTCAAAAGAAAAGAAATCCTTAGAATACATCAATCTTCAAAACTTCCCATGCATTCTAATCTTGGTTGCCAAAGGTCGACAAGGAGATACTTTCCCTCAGAGTTTCGATTGTTTGGATATGAGAGCAAAAGGAGACTCTTTACCAAACTATTCTTCCTTTACACAAGAATTCGGTCGTCTTTGTCGATATATTGATGATACTGATAAGAAACCTATTGCTCTCGTCACTGATGCCATTTATAAAGATTTAGACAAGTGTAAGAATGGCACTTCCATGGGAAACACAAACATGAAACTCGATGCTTACATGATCAAAATGAAGAAAACGAGCGGACAAAAATATTGGATATGGTCACACATTGCAGAAGAACAATGCAAGCTGTGGATGGAAAGAAGGTAAAAGGAGACAAGGCAGTTCCACCTTCATACGACTGTGGAAGAGCTCCAAAACAAGACATTTCACAAAAACAATGTCATCAAAACAGATTGGTTTTATTTGCAGAGCCTCAAATTGGTAGGTATTTCAATCTTTTTATCCTTTATTACAACGACTATGACAAACTACTCGTTGATCTATTTAGGTAAAACTGACAGTTTCCTGCATTTTCTTGAAAGAGTGATTAAGGGCATTGAAGAGAATCGAATGAAAAGAATGATCGATGTACCAGATGCAGGAGAACAGGTTGAAGAAGATGAAACACTTATTGTTGATAGTGTACAGAGAGATCAAATTGAATGGATTCTACCATATCATTATTCTTGTCAAAACACACTCCTTCTTATGAATCACTTACTCCTGGAAAGTATGGAAAATTAGTTCTCAAAACAAGAAGTGACATTTATGAAGAATACAAACACAATCCTCACGAAATGATTCACATGCTTTCAAGGGTAGAGAGTTCTTTACTGAGCTCTGCTCTTCATTGGGACAAATTATTGGCGTTAATCAGACGTATAGAGGGTCAAGTAGCTATCGATCGCTACAAATTCCAAACTTTTGATGGAAGATATCATGATTTATTGAAAAGTGTTGCCAGCTATAACATTTTGAAAATGGGAAAATCATCTCTACTACCAAACGCAACATCACTCAATCAAGCTCTCATCCATTAGTCATAACAAGCAAGAATAATGGACTGGCTGATATGTCATACACTAGAGCAGTTAACATTGTGCAACATACAGAAATTTATGAATTTGACATGCCATCCATTTTAGATGACATTTTCCCAAAGGTAAAACCAAAAATGTCTATTCCAAACAACAAAAAACATTGGTTCCGGTTTAGTGACCCACAGAAGATTTGTGGTGTGACGTCATTGACTGATCGCAATGATATTAGAAGCTGGATTTTCATGCCTTCCTATAATCGTTCTGCATGTGGCCTATTTTATCTTAATAGCATCTTGAACGCACATTATAGACAAGTGGTTGTAGTAAGAAGTCAAGAATTCAATTGTTATCGAGACCTTATTGGAAGCGATTTTGTCATCATGTCACTTCCTGACGTGATTGATTTGAAGAAATTAACGTCACTTTGTAACAAAAAAGAGATTATATCACGGTCAGCTCAATACACCAATAATGTGGAAGACAAAACTATTGTGGATTATGAGTTAAAAGATGATATTGGAGGAGCTGGTTTCTCTCGACTCACCATTCAAATACTGGCCTATGCTATGCAGCTCGAGTTTGTGTGGATGATGGATGATAATTGTCATCATTTTGAAAAAGTTACCAATACTCAAAAGACACCATGTTCGCTCGAGGAAGTATTGCTACCCATTGAAAGCATTGTTTATGATGAGGCGCAACCTTTAAAGAACTTTACACAAACACTGAATGGCAAAGTTTCTCGTAACGACCCCACGCAATTACTCACTCTCAATGATCCTGTTAAATATTTTACTCCAGGAAAAGAAAAAATTGCCATGATTGGTATTCGAAAAGATGCTTATAGATACAACCCAGGCCTTCATTACAAACCCTTCCTTAATAGTACAACCATATGCTCCTTATTTTTATTGAATGTGAAAGTAACCTTTGATCATGGAATACTCTTTCCATGTCGTAAATATCAAGAAGATATTGAATTTGAATATTTATGTGCCGAGAAGGGACTATATTGCATCAAATCCCAAAAGTATTTTCTTCACAAACCTTCCAATCCAATACGTATTGAATCAAACGCAAACAAACCTTGCATGTATGCATGTGAGAGCAATGTTGTAGAACAGTATTACTTAATTACAGACAAGCCAAGCCACAACCTCAACCCCTTTCACAAGAGTATCAATTATTAAGGAATGCAATTTCAACTGGAATAGATTGGACAGACGGTCCTGGCAAGTTCAGTAATTTAATGACCAGTGAAAATGATATCGGAAAAGAATTTTGGTTATTTTTAACAAATGATTACTTGATACGATACAACAAAACCATTACTAATGCGCCTGAAATTCTTGAACAACAATATCCAGAGTTATTGTTTGACGTGACCTATTTCACTCCTCAGAAAGAGAATATTCAAGAATTAATTATTAGACTTGTCATACGAAGAAAATGATCATACAAAAAATTATAAAATTGAATTCAACATCACATGTTCACACATGATGGTTCATTCAATGCCAGAGTTGATTTTTCTTTGGTAACTTCAAATTCAAAACAGAAATTCAAATTGATTCAACAAAAAAATACTTTTTAAAATATTGATTATCATTGGACCGCATCATTAGTGAGATGGGTAAGAAAACATCCTCATCATCATCGACATCATCACCCACCGTATTGGGAATATCCTTGGCTTCTGCAAGAACTGCTTCTAGTAAAGCTCCAAAGGAGTACCTTCCGCATGATGAAATTTATTCTCAAATATTGAAATATACATCCGGAAGAGAAGATGAAACATTAATATCGTGCTTAAACAAGTATCTTTTTCAAGCAAAGGATTTTATGTATTATTATTATGATTATCCATGGAAAGATTTTACAAACGTGAGAAGAGCCTTTCATAAATTAATTCAAATGCAAACGTTACTGACGCTTTTAAAAGGAAAGTATTACTTGGAAATTTCCAATGAAAAGCATGATGAAGAATTATCAAAGGTTCTTCAAGAAGACCGAAAAACACAAAATTCAGAAAAGACTTTAAAAAAGAATCAAAAAGAATTATTACAATCGCAAAACAATCCATCAGAGGACGAAGCAAGTGGTATTTCCACTCATGTCATTCATATTGATTTTAACTTGTTGAAAAAAACCATCAAATCCACACAACGTATTGACTGTTCCAATTTTCAATCAGTCATGAATATTGGAAAAAGTATTCCAAGCGCATCCAAACAAAACAAAAATGTCCAAAACAACCATAGTTCCTCTAATTCAACCATTATTCAAGTCATTGCTGGAGATTGTTTAGAGACATCCATTGCTTTAAAACAAAAATTGAATTTAAATCCACTCATGTTAGTGAACGGAAGTTTGTCTCATCCTGGAGGAGGGTATGCCAATGGAAGTTTTGCTCAAGAAGAAGACATGTGTCGTCGATCATCATTGGCCCTTTGCTTGGATGATCCTTTCAAGATGGATGATTCACGACAATGGTCATATCCTTTGCCTCAATTTGGAGGTTGTTATGTTCCTCAATGTTTAGTGTTACGACAATCTGCCAAACAAGGTTAGAGTTGAGGTGTCTATTTATTCACATTGTTCATTAATGTACAAAAATACAGTTAATATTTACAAATTCATGATCGGAAATGATACAACCAGCTTCATTGGTTTCAGATCAAGGTTAATGCAAAAGTTTTGACATGTCAGCACTTTGTTTGCGTACAGAGATCATGATCATCCAAACAAACAAAACCAAAAACAAGGAAGTGAAATAAGCTGCTGGTTTTGTATTCATGTTGTATGAGAGTGAGGTATTGGCTTTTTATTTGATTTGTCATGTCCACATCGCGCAATAATAATCGAACCATTGGCAATGATCATGAAGAAGAGGAAGTCCCCATTATTAATAGAAAACCTTATTTTGAAAAGATTCTTTGCTAATGGTCCAACAATCCTCTCATGGTTGCAAATTTGTCTAACAACTGTTCAAAGCTTGGGCGTGACACATCATCTGCCGACCAACATTGTCTCATGAGGCGCACATAGTCAAGAATTACTTGTGCCAAATGGTGTGAAGAGAGGTTTGTAGAAATGCCATTATGCTTGATGAACTCTAAAACTTGATCATTGTTCTCCTCGTCAAAAGGAATGGATGGTCTCAATCCACCCAAAACTTTCAAAGCAAGTGTGAACATGTTAAGGTCTGCAACCTTTTCATAAGGTTTACATTCAAATAAAACCTCATACATGATCATTGCGAAAGAATATACGTCACACTGTGAAAAAGTTCAAGTTGAAAAAGAACAAAATGTTGATGAAATTGGACATACCTTTTCAGAATACCTAATCTGTTGCAAAACCTCTGGAGAGATGTACTCGAGTGTGCCTGTCTGTCCTGTCATTGTATTTTGAGTGTTCTGAACTCGAGAAATACCAAAATCACCAATTTTTGCTGTTCCTTCCTTCGTAAGAAGAATGTTTTGAGGCTTCAAGTCTCTATGAATAATTCCCTAATAACAATGAAATATATAAAACATTATTCATACATGATGTCTTAACATACCTTGTAATGTAAATACACCATTCCTCTGCAAATATCCATCAAAATATCCAATTTCGTTTCCATGTAGAATTTTCCTCTTAATTTTCGCATATATCGGTCAAGACTGCCATTGTCCATGAATTCTGTAATGATGAATTGGTAATGTTGCAACTCATCGCTCGAACCAATACAAACACCAATGAAGGAAAGAACGTTGGGGTGTCTAAGAGATTTGAGTAAAAATACTTCTTTTTCAAATATTTCTTGTTCTTGATCATCTGTATCTGTAATTTTCATCTTCTTAATTGCAACATCAGTACCTTTGAAGCTTCCTTTGAACACAACTCCTGACGCTCCCTCAGATATTCTTTCAGTAAATTGTAAATCTTCAATATTGATTGAAAAATCATGACTATGGAAGAGGATAAACCTGATGCTGAATAATTAAATTCACTTTTGTCAAGCTTGTCTTTGAAATTCTTTTCGGCCATTTGTTTTCTCAACAAAGTATTTCTTGTCTTGTAGAAAATAAATCCAAAAAGTGTGGAAAAACACAAAGAGGCCAGTAGAATAGAGGTTAGCGAATAGATCAATATACCTCTACTGGACGATGTGAGAGTTTCAAGCGAGTATATGTATGACAATTCTTTGTTCAATTCTCCAACTACCACTACACCACTGTTGGAACACAGTGTGAAATTTTGATTGCTCGATGACTCTTTTTTGATACTAAAGGTAGTTTCAGTATAGAGTTGATTAGACCATCCACCAAGTCTGTATCTATACAATTGACCTCTGTTTGTAACTGCAAGTATGGATCTATCATTTTCTAAATAAAGGTCGACAAAACCTTCATCGTAAAAAGTAGGTTCCTTATTCACATCGCATTGATTGATAAAACTTTGCAAATGTAAAGGTTATTTACGTTGTTGCAAAGAAATAACTTACGTAGATGCATGCAGTTCCAATGTACGAGTATTGAAGACATAAAAAACACATCCACAACCCACAAATAAATAATTGGAGGATGAAACTACTTTAAAAATAAATTCACAAGGTTCAAATGATTCCGTAGCAATTCGTTCTACAACAATCTTGAGATTAGGATCAGTAAGGTCTCTTTTTCTAAGTAAAGTCTTTTCATCGTACAGCTCTAAAAAGTATCCCATTTTGTATGTTGGGTCGATATTGAGAGGAATAAAGTCATAGAACAAATCTGTGAAATGCATTGTAGGACCTTCAATCCATGCCATCGAGCTCATATTCACATAGTTCACTCGAAAGCTATTACGTTCATTCTCTTCAGAATAGGAGATTGCAGTTACCATCAACAATTCTTGTCCAGGCACTCGTTTTACGATCGAATCAAAGTAAAAAGCGTTCTGATCAGGATATGCCAGATATTGTTCCTGATTTAGATTAGTTGCGAAAAGTTACAAGTTGAAAGGTTGATCAGTGGTACCTACCTGATTTAAATACAATGCATCGAACTTGTAGACATTCATCAATTCATCAAACATGAAAATGTGATAGTCCCCAATATAGAAAGCTTGAATTCTTTTAGATGGAGCTGGTAAATACAAATCCCAAATTCTCTTAAACTCGCCTTGTACAGGATGCAGTAATGATATCGTGCGCGAACCAATTCCAAATACTGACTTGTCAAATCTACCTATTTCTAAGCGTAATATTTCAAAATTATCCTCAACAGAAAACTCTTGAGCTTCAGAGTTATCTATTTTCAAATTGAATTGCTCACCCTTCGTTTTGGCATGAACCAAAATATTCTTGTACGATCCAAAAAGTGAATCAACAAATATTCCTTCAGAAATAAGTGTGGAATTGTACCAAAAAAAGGTTCCTGATGAATAAATAGTATTTTTAGGAGTTCGTACATCATTAACTCCATAAAAATCCGAAAATTTGGCAATGCCAGGGTTAGAATATAACCATCCGTTTTTCCAATTTGCAAATATACAAAGCCATTGTTCTCTAATTTTGAAAAGCTTGCAGTATTTGAGAGAGCCTCAGAGTCTTCTAGCATTAGTGTAATTTGACCATTCGATATCACGTTAAAGTCCTTATCGAAAACAAAATTGTTGAATCTGGTTTTGTACATGGTCCAAATAACAATGTCAGTATCGTCAATATCCAGGTTTGAGGTGTAAGGCATGACCATAGCTGTCCCACCAACCTGCCAAACCGGCAAATTCAATGTTGTATTTCCAACAATTTCTAAGGTATTCAAATCAACTGTTGACGAATGTATTCTTCCTCAAAGAATTACAGGGAAACTTACTTTTAAACAAATTAGGAGACTGGTAATGAACAACAACGAAATTCCTTTTCACAATTTTAAATGCGCTCACAACAAAATGATTTTTAGCTGAGTATATAAATACATTAGGAAGAGACAAAGTTTTCACTTTGTTAAATGTTAATTCTAAAGTGGACCTGTCAAAAGAGATGTCATAAATGTCAAGATCAAGTGGCACACTTCCGTTCTCCTCCTTTCTTGGATTTACTGTAACGAACGAGTTGGCAACACAGATAAACTTTACAAAAGCACTTACCAGAAAATAGTAAATTCTTGTGTTCCACCACAAAGCAAAATCTTCTACAGACACCATTTAGTGCAATGGTCTGACCGGTATTCAAAACTGTTAATTGATTTTCTAAGGTTGATCCAATAAACACAGTCATATTGTAGACATGAACAATTTCAAACAAATATGTCAGTGGTGCAATACTAAATGATTGAAGGGAACGTTTTCCAAGAACGTCCACAATAAATAGCATGCAACCGTTTCGATAACCAGTAGTCAGGCATGACAAGGCTGCTACTTTGGGTTTGGCTACACTCACATTTACGGAAGCTGTGTTATCAAGAGGGAAAAAAGATAACCATTCTTGCTTCTTTTCCTTAATAGAAAGAACAAAATCTACACTTCGTAAACTCAATGCCGAACTTCCAAAATCATTCAAATAATGAGAGTCATGTAATGATAAAATTGTAATCAAGCCAACAAAGATTGAAATAACAACAACAATCAGAAATATCCCTGTAGCTCCAAACGTTATTTTCAAGGCTTGATTGATGAGATTATCTCGTTGAATAGCATCAATTTTTCGTCTTTTGAACACAGATGAAATATTTCTAAAGTATACCGAGAAATTTTGAGATGGCCAAAATTGGGATTGCGCATCGGCAGCTGTTGAAGGCTGATGTGATGGTTGTTGTATACTGTAATCTCCATTATCTTCGGGAGAGAGTAATGGTTGTGCGAGTGTTGTGTTTAATTTCGTCTTTTGTTTTTTGGATGATGTATGAGTGTTCGTTGCGGTGGTAGTCTCGGTCATTATTGCTGTTTGATAGGATGATGGTGGAGAGTATGAATGAATCGGAAGCACCTCATCATCGAAACTCGCTTTTGGTTTTTGAACAATGTCCATTTAAATGAATTTTTAAACTGTGTTTCAGCAAAAGAATGAACTGGATGATGAACAGTGGAAATGTCAATTATTTTTTTTGTGTTGAAATTTATTGGAATTGCTCGATTTGTGAAAGAATATTAATAACCAGCTGTTGTTGAAACACAATCGAATGGAGTCTTTCCAAACTCCGGCATGCTTCCGTTTGGATCACTTTGTGTGTTTTGGTTGACATTGGAGCGCTGAAATCCAACATGTTGAGTTGAATCAGCAAAAAAAATACAAAGCAAATTTTTCACACTCTTCATCGCTCTTTAATGGACTTTCGGGATCATCATCAGTACTGAAACCAATAATATTATTTTAAATATCATCAAATTAACTCCTAAATTATTTTCGAATTAAATAGAATGCCCTCCACACTTGACGAAGACAACTCGATCATTCATTGTGATCAGTTGCTGAAAGAGTATCTTGTCTGGCGAGGTTTCAATAGAACCCTCACCAATTTTGAAATGGACCGTAAAATGGACAAGAACAAGGCTTTTCAAACCGAGAAGATTGTCGAACAATTATTTCAATATATTCGTAATTACGAAATTCATGCGTTTATGGATTATTGGGGATATTTAGAAAAACAATTCTTCTCAAAATTATACGAGTCATCGGGTTTTTATAATAAGCCTTCATCATCATCAACAGGCCATAGTAATTTATCTTCATCATCATCAACAAATAATTTCGGAGGAGATGGTGGAGATCCTTCAAACACCTCTTCCATCATTCAGAACAATTCATCATCCGCTAGCTCTGTCAGTACCAGTAGCAGTACTCATCTCGATTCACAAAGCACCAGTAATACCACTGATTCTTTGTCTCCCTCTTCTTCGGCCCTTCCAACATCATCCACAACGAATGCTAACAATCATACGAGTAATAATTCAATACCGCTCACCTCCACAGCTCTCCTATTGGCTCGTTATTAGGGCGACACGCTTCCTCCAGCACATCATCCTATTATGAAACCATCCGAAAACTAGAACAATCTCTTAAAAAGTATTACGTGGTCCATTGTGCACAGAATAGAAGAATTAGGGAGTGTAGAGAGTTTTTCGAAAGATACGGTCCAGAACTTATTCAAGAGCAAGAATGGACCAAGTGGTTTGCACTACCGTATCTACTTACTCCCTATAGTGAGAGGAGTATTGTGACAGCTTCAACACCTCGAGGCGGTGCAATTTCTGATGGTGGTAGTACTGACTTGTCCTCACATGCTGGAACGTTAGAGAGAGAAAGAAGAGAGTCCAATGCTTCCTCTTCTTCTGCCATTGTGGGGCAGAATTTTAGCGTGTTAAGCATTGTGGAGCAATGCGTGCCAGAATTGGAGCCTTATTTTCACAACAAATGGGCTGAAATGCTATATGTGAGTGTACAAAATTTTGTCGCCACTGCTGTCATGTCTGTAGAGAAACCAACTTTATTATTGATGGAATCTGAAAAAAGAGATCGATTGAATGTTCTCAAGAAGAAGTTGGACGTTCTTATCAGTGAAAATGAAACATTGAAAAGCAAATTACTGGCTGCAGAGGCATACATTTCAAAACTTGAAACTGAAGTTGGAATACGAAGAGAAGGAAATATTTCACACAGCGATTCTCCTGTTGGAAACGTTGATTCATCATCAACTGACAATCATTCTCGTCACCACAACGAGCAGCAAACTCCGAACAAGAGAATACCGTCTTCACACTCATTTTCCTCACTTATCATGCCTTCATCAGCCAGACAGAGTGCATCAAACACTACCACTACCCCTTCTCAAAAAGGTTCCATCTCTCCTAATTCTCCAAGTACTGTCTCTTCATCAAATGCAAGCAACAGCACACCAACCGATCAAGGTGGTATTACGTCAGCAAGCGTTTTGATAATATTCAACTGTTTAATGTTAAGCATGTGTATCCAACTAAGGTCTTTATTGGCCACAAAGATTACATTACATCACTTAAATTCTCTTTTGACGGAAAATATTTGGCATCTAGCTCCAAAGATAACACTGTTAGAATTTGGTCTCTATTGGCTAATAAGGAATCTGGAAACACGACATCTTTTGGATCCATACAGACGTATGAATGTGGAACTAAAGCCATGTGTATTGATTGGTGGTCAACATCCAATGGAAAAAGAGGATCTTCATCAGGTTATAATAACGTTATTGTGTGTGGATTAAACAACAGAAAGGTGAAAATATTAGACTTGGATAAGAGAAAATGTACTGCAGAATTTTGTACAGAAATTTTCTATCCACGCGTGAATGCTATTGCATGCTGTGGCTCTTCAATTAGAAATTCTGATTATTGTGTAGTGAGCTGTTCCAGCTATCAAAAATCCGATTCCAGTTCTGCATCCTCTGGTACACCACAAAATATTGGAAACTCTTCTCCAAGCAGTTTATCAGGAATGCTTCTTGGATATAACTTGAATCAGTTGAAATTAGAAAACAAATACCTTATCCAACCTAAAAATTTGCCAATCCTTGACATCAAATTTAATCATAACGGGACCATGCTTGTAACTGCTGGATCTGATGGTTATGTGAGAATTTTTGATACTGCATCCAAGCAGCAACAACCCATTTGGACTTGGAAAGCTCACGATGGAGAGTGACCAACGTTCATTTCAGTGAGAATGAAACATCTGTCTTGACGTGTGGTTCAGACGGTAAATTAATCGAATGGTCAATACATAACACAGGAAAAATATTGAATCAAATTCAGATACAAAATCCAGTTGGTTTTGGCTCAGAAAAGCAAAATTCCAATTGGATCAACACCAAGATTAGTCTTTGCTCTACAAGCGAACGAATGTTTGTCCTTAATTATCCTGGAACAGTGTTCTCTCTACTCCACAACAGTCCAACACATTGCCTAATGACAAAAGATTTTTATTCCAATGCCTCCACCAATACCTCATCCACTACCTCTGTTTCAGCAAGTGACTTCTCACCCATGACCAATGTAGATTGGTTTAATGCTGCATTTGGTGGCTCTTCAGGTAGCAATTATCAATACCTCAACTGGATTGCTGCCTCACATGGAGTGAACAACAACATTTATTTGTATAATATGGACTTGACATAATGTAAATAATATAAGTTCAACTTACGTTGCATTTCGAGTTGCACTCACACCTTCAGATAATTTGTCACCTTCACTTTATCCCAATACGACAGAACAAAAAAATGGAAACCATCTACCCACCGTGTTCGCAAACGATTGGAGTGATCGCCATCGGAACGAGAGGAGATTTTCAACCTTTGCTGGCCTTTTGTTTAGACTTACAACAGCGAATGATCACATCCAATGCACAAGTCTATCTCATCGCTCCCGAAGTATTCAGACAACAGTATGAGAAAGCAGTTCAATCTACCCGTTCATCATTACTTTTTAAGAGTTTGAAAGGAAATCCTAAAGAAACCATGCAAGGTAGGAATTATTGATCTGTTCATCATTTTGTTCATGATATTCACCTTGAACGGAAATGTAACAATACAGATCCACAAACACAAGAAGCACTGAGAACTGGAAATTTTGCAACAGTCATGCAACTAACAGCCAAACCAAATGAAATGCTAATGAGCCAATGCACTCATGATTTATTTGAAATTGCCAAAGAAACTCCATTCAACACCTTGATGTCCTCCTCTATGGGAATGCCCATCGCTTGGATGCTAAGCGAAAGGTATGAAATACCACTCGTGTATATTGGTCTCGTCCCAGAAGCACCCACATCTGATTTTCCATTTTGTGTCCTGTCCCCTGTAAGCTTGGGAGACGAGGAGAAGAATTTGGCGAGTTATGAATTGGTCTATCATGCATCGTTCAAAAGAACAGAAGAAATGGTCAATCAACAACGACAAGAATTGGGACTTGCCCAAATGAAAGACGAGGGTTGGTTAAGCCTCAAAGAAAAGTATAACATGCCAATAATTTATGCCTTCTCCGATGTTGCTTTTGGTGGAAAGAAACCAAAAGGGTATCGAGAGAATATTCATTTGACTGGATATTTCGAACTCAAATTGGAGGATGATCACTTAGATTTGGAAATTGAAAATTTTCTTGCAAGTCCAAAACCAGAGCCAGTGTTCTTATCGTTTGGTTCAATGCCTGCATTGAATCCTTTCCAGTTATTTGAATTGACTCGTTCAGTATTGATGAGAAATGAGAGAGTCATTTTATCATGTGGTAAGTTGTTCAATAAGTCGACTATGAGGGAGCATATAAACCATTCCTTTACGACAACAGGTTGGACCGATATGGACAAGATTATGGAAGATTTGAACATGCACCACTTTGAGATACTTTCCAAGTTTACTGAGGAAGAAATCCAACACTATACAGAATTGTTGAACTCACTCAAACAATATATTGCCAATGATCGTCTGTTAGTGATTAAAGATTGTCCTTATTATTTGCTCTTCCCTCGATGTGCCTGTATTGTTCATCATGGTGGAGCAGGAACAACTGGCACAGCTTTGAAATCAGGAAAGCCTCAAGTGGTGATTCCTGTCTTTATGGATCAACCATTCTGGGCTCACAAAATGTATGATTTGGGTGTTGCTTCGTATCCAGTTCTGTTTAAAGACATTACCAATGAAAAGGTCAATGAAGCGATTGATTGTGTTCTTCATCAAGGAGAGAAGAGTGAAGATATCAAGAAAAAAGCCCTACTCATTGCTCAACAACTACAGGCCAATGAGCATGATTGTGATCCCATTTCACGTGCCATTGAATTGTGTTTGGATTGTATCAAGAATCCTTTCATTGTCCCAAGAATTGAACAATAAACTTTGGAAGGTGAATTTGCTTTCCAGCAAAAAAAATGCAACAAAATGAAAAGCATTTTACGCAAAAGAACATCTTGTTTATGGGGTCACCCAATTCAGGAAAATCAACACTGTGTGGATGTTTGGTATGCCATGATGATATGAGATATGTTGAACTAACAGCGAATCGATTATTTCAAGATGTGGAGGAACATTTACGACCCAGTAAACAACTCCAAATTCTGGAAGCGTATAGACACTGCTCTCATAAAACCAACTATCCTGAGCGTGCGAGAAAAATTCAAATCGCAATTCATCATAAAAGCGATGAAAATAAGAAAGAAATTCTAACATTCATGGATGTTTCGACACGTAAGAAAAAAATAGATTGTTTCATCAAGGCTTGTTTTTTGGCAGATATCGCCGCACTCGTGATCGATGTTACGGAAAACATTTTTGAAAAAGAAATTGAAAACTTTGATTCAACGTTGAATAATCAATTGCGTATAGCTAAATCTGTTGGAATTCCCCACATGATTGTCTGTTTGAATATGTGTGATAAAGCACAACAATTACATTCCCGATTCAAGGAAATAGTGTCATGCTTGGATCCTAAATTACGAAAATTGGGATGGAAAAACGTTCCATATATCCCAGTATCTTCGGTTGATTTTGGACTAAATATTTTACATAACTCTGGAATATTTTCTTTCTATAAGGGAGAATCTTTGTGGAATACGTTAAAAACTTTGGAAATTTCCAAAGATAGTTTGAAATTGCAAGACAAACCTCTGAAAATGGCTGCGGTTGATGTTTTTAGAATTGGTAAGTGTATCAATCTCTCTTTGAGATGTCAATGATTACTATTTGAATAGGGGGTGTTGGTACTGTGATCATTGCAAGAATTGAGAGCGGAATACTGCGGGAAGCTGACATCATCGAAGTTTATCCAAAACCAAACAAGTCTGGGTTGTCAAATCTTTGGAAATTGCATTCAATTCTATCAAGCATGCCACTGTTGGAGATTTTGTTGGGATCGCACTAAAAGGTTGTAGAATTTACGACGTAAAGAATTCAAATATTTTCAATAAGCAAAACGAACGGCTGTCGCCCCTAGATGTCGATTCGTTCGAAGCAACTGCTAAAATTATTAAAACACCAGAATCTAATGAGATTCGAGTGGGATACACGTGCAAGATGCATTTCATGACCTACCGATATCTATGTAAAATTGAAGAAATAATGTCAGCACGAACTGAAAATAATGTTGTTAAGGCATATCCACCGAGTGTGAAGGCGGGACAAGTCATTCAAACAAGAATCCGATTGATCCGCCGAGCACGCAAATTTGCTCCTCTAGAACTTTATTCAGAAAATCCTAGACTTGGGCGAGTCTTATTAGTGGATCGAAACATGTTGATAGGTGTGGCCAATGTCACCAAATTGAATTTCAGTAAGACTTCTTTCGATGAAGATTAATCTTCACGATAATCCTGTGTAATGATCATTCAATACACCATGACCTTTGTAAAATTACAAATTCTTTTTATTCGTTGGTGTCAACAATTTACCACATGTCAATAATTTACCAATCAGAATCAGAAAAGTCAGTATCAGAATCTTCATCATCCGAATCTCCCATGACCTTTTCGAATTTCTTTGACAAAATGTCGGCCACACTCATAGCTCCTCCTTCCTCTTTCTTTGGTTCCAATTTTCTTTCAGCAACAGATTTCAATGCCTTACCAGTTCTAATTTCATCCAACAAGTTGGCACGACCAGTGACAGCCACACGATTCATTTGAGACTTGTTCGATTCGACTGTCTTCAAAATGTCAATATTTCCTTCTCCAGTTGTTGCAGCAACAGGTGGAGGTGTCACCACAAAGTTATTACTTGGTGGAGGAGGAGGTACATTCATGACTTTTGGAGGTGGTGGAGGAACACTTCCAGTATTCATCATTGGTGGAGGAGTTGGAACATTGGATGGTGGAGGAGGAACTCCATAACCACCACCACTGCCACCTCCTGTATTCATCTTTGGAGGAGGTGGAGGTGTAGAATAACCATTATTGGAATTGTTCATCATTGGAGAAGATCCATAACCACCATTCATTGGAGGTGGAGGAGGTACACTTCTTGAATTTGTGGAATTCATCATTGGAGGTGGAGTTGGTACGGCACTGTAGGAAGATGTCTCATATGAATGATTCATCATGGCGTTTGGTGAGGAAGTTTCATAATAGGAGGACGTTTGTTGTTGTTGTTGAGGAGTATGACGTGGACTTGAATCTTGTTGTGGATATCCATTTGAATTGGAATTGGACATTTGTGCACTGGAAGCCACTCGTTGCATTTGATTACCACCACTACCACTACCACCACTACTATTACCAGAATCAATAATTTGACCTTCAGAATTGTACTTTTTACGATGAATTTTCATTTGCTTGACTTGTTTCTTCTCTTTTGTGACTGTTACATTTTGTCGTTCCATTCGTTGTCTCTTACGTTCTTCCTTTCTCTTTTGTTTGGCCTTCTTGAGTCGTTCCAATTCACGTTTGGCCCATTCATTAAAGAAGAAATTAGAATCAGTATATGCTTCAATACACTTTTTGTATTTGGGTAATGAAGCACCTCCTTGTTGCTGTTTCGAATCATTACCTTGCTCATCGGAACCATTCATTTGTTGTTGTTGTGAATTCCATTCATGTAATTGATCGAGAAGAGGAGAAAATTCAGGAGCTGGCAAACACGCATTCGTATATTGTAAATTCAAAGGTAATGGATTGTTCTCTTTCGAAATGTTCGAATGATCCTTTCGATACAAGACTGCAATATTTGCTTCTGTTAATTCATAACCTGAAGCTGAAAAGAGTAACTTGTTGTTATTGTTATGCATAAATTGTTCATATTCAGGTAATTTGTTGTTAATTTGTTGAATACGAGTATTTAATGCATTGATACGATCAAAAGTACCACGAGCACTCTCTGATAATGAATTGAAAATTTCACTAGCGGTTGTTGCAAGAGCTGACAATTGATACAAGACACCTGTCATGGAGTTCATATTTCGACCTTGAAGCATGTGACCACTGATGCGAGAACTTTCAATGAGAGAAGCACCCGTGTTGTTTTGAGAGAAACCACATCGATCAAAGTGTTCGAGTGGACGTTTAATGACGACCATTTTGTTGTTGTTGGTGTTGTTGTTGTTGTTGTTGGGATGTTGGTTTGGGAGAGTGATGTTATTGTGTAGAATAATGAAAAAAGTTTGGAAGAGAGTGATATAAAAACTTGTTAAAAGGATCGAGTTCCAGGATGACACCACTGTGGTGAGAGAAGTGAAAAATTTTTTGATGAGTTTTTTTTGTAATGACATTTGATTGATTTTTGTAAAGCTTGGAACTTGATACTGCTTTAGATCCGAGATAAATGTATTGAAAACAAATTACACTGATGAAACACAGAAATTGGGATGATTTGGATTAAACTATTGATAAACCATGGTTCTTTCATGTTGAACATTCTTCCCCAAACCATTAGTTTTCCTTCCTTCAAATTTTGTCCGATCTAATTACTCAACAACTAACTGATGAGGCATGTTTTTGAAATCAATGTCCGTTCTACCCTTAATTTTCTCCATCGAATTGCCTCACTACTCGCCAAGTGCGATCTCCTTCCTCACAAGTCCATAGCCGTTCAAAAAGAAAATTCAACAAGCACACTTACGGACATTGGTGCAAGTCAGTTTCAGGTTCTTGTTGGCACAAAACTCGAGTGTATCACCCCTCATCCTCTCGTTGGAGCGAAAAACATCTTGTTGTTGTTGAGCGTATTTAACTACTTCTACTTGTACGACCACTCTCTATTTATTGAACGTGTTATCGGAAGCTAGCTCTGTGTTTTTTGGATATCTTTTTCATCATCATCATGAATTTAAAATTCCTTGCAGAAAGCATACGGTTTTATACGGCCTTTACCATCCGTTATCTTCTCATTCCAATCCTTCTTTTTCTTTCATTCATTTGTTTCCTTCTTATCATCACCATACATCCCTATACCACCTGTTTTAAATGTTCTGGAGCTGAATTCATCATTAGTGTTTTACTCAGTGTGATAGCCTTTGTATGTTTGGCTGTGTTTTACTTTTGGGTGGTTGTTTTCAACCGATTGTATCGGAATGAACAGATTTTGAAATCGGAACGAGAACAGACTCACTCCCAAGAGATGAATCAAGTCAAAACAACTCTTTCTTCGATATCTCATGGAATTCATGAAGAGGAACATGAAAAGGTTGCAGAAACATTAAATACCATCAAGAACGTTTCTAGAGAACGAGCCAAATTGAGTCCAAGTACTCATGAAGAGAGTGCTACACTTAATTGTTATCAAAAACATAAGAAAATAGTGGATATTGTGTTTTGGACTTTTTTAATTGTTGGAGTTATTGCATTTGTGTTGAACTCAATTTTCACAATTATTGTCTTGTCGCTGACTCAATCAACTATTGCAACAAGACATGGGGAATTATATTCTATCGGAACAAAACAACCAGTAGTTATTGAACGAGAACCATCTGGTGTGATTCATATCAAAGCACAAACGGATTATGACATGTATTTTGCACAAGGTTATGTCACTGCTCAAGAAAGAATGTTTCAAATGGAATTGAATCGTAGAATTTTTAATGGAACCCTTAGTGAGGTTGTGGGCTCTGCTGGGTTGACCGTTGATAAATTTGCCAGAGTTATGGGGTTTAAGGATTTGGTGAATTATGATATTAATTCAGGAATAATTTCCAAGAGCTCCCTAGATATTATCCAAGCTTTTGCTGATGGTGTAAACGCATTTATTGAGAGAGCTCCTATGGAAAAACTAGGCCCTGAATTTAACCTTATCTTTGGATATCGTCCACAAAAGTGGACACCCATTGACACCATTGGCTGGTGTAAACTCATTTCGTGGGATTTGAGTTTAAACATCAAATCAGAGGTGATTCGATATACCATGCTGAGACAAGGCGTTTCCCTTTCGAGAGTTGAAAGATTATTCCCACCAATGTCAACATTTAGTAGAGATATTAATGGCGTCTTTACTCCGAATAATATTACAACAATTGTAACTAAGGAAGATTTGAATTTGACGAATAATGATACTGCTACTGATTTGGCTCAAGAATATCGATTGTATTTCAATAACAGTGGCGCATATATTCCAAAGAAAATTTCTAGTAGAAGAGTAGAGAAAGAGTCATCTGAAAATTCTCAAAAGGGATATTTCCATTCAATTGCTGATATTTATGAAACGTTTATTTCTGGATTGGGGGATTCTTCTATTCAAAACACACTTCGAGATCAATTATTGAAAGTTAATCAAGATCAACAAGAGTTATTTGAAAGATTTTTAGCGCAGCAAGAAGCTAGTAATTCTTGGGTTGTTCACAAAAATCACACAAACACTGGAAGATCAATGTTGGCCAATGATCCTCACCTTACAGTTTCAGCTCCAGGTATTTGGATTTTACTTCATTTGCAAAGCGCAGAATCACAGACAGATTTGAGAGGAGTCTCCTTTGTGAACACTCCTGGTATTTCTATTGGTAGAAATTCTGACATTGCTTGGGGAATTACGGTCTCTGGTCCAGATAACCAAGATTTATATGTTATGAAAATGGATTCATCAACTAGTATTACATCAACCGATATTACAAAAAATTCATATTTCTACACATATGATGGTGTAGCTCGTCCTTTCCAAGTCAAGTATGAACAAGTGAAAGTGAAGAAGGGGGTAGCTTTGAAATTGTGACGGTTCCCGTATTCAAAACTCATCTTGGACCTGTTGTGAACGATATTGTTGCTGGATTAGACAGTATTGATTGGACATCCTATGACACCATGATGACGAATGGAGATTTACATAGACCCATTGTGTTACGTTGGAAAGCTCTGGAATACAATGATACCACTTTGGAAGGATACTTCAAAACCATGAAGGCAAGAAATTTTGAAGAGTTTAAGCAAGCACTTTCCCTTATTACGTCTGTTTCTTGCAATTATGTCTATGCTGACGCAAATAATATTGGTATGTTTCCGGCTGCAATTTATGGAGCCACTCCAATCCGCCGAGAGGGACATACTGGCGAGTTTCCAGTGCCTGGTGATGTATCCACGTGGGACTATGACGGATATGTGCCCCTAGATAAGGTTCCCTATACTTTCAATCCTTCGAAAGGTTATGTCGTCACAGCAAACAATAGATTAGCCCCCTCCGGCTATCCTTATCAGGTCACAAGTGACAATGCCTTTGAGTTTAGAGCAAAACGAATTACTGACATGCTTGCAAGTTTAGTTCGAAACTCCACCGTGCAAAAAATTGGATACGAACATATGATGGCTATTCAATTAGATGGAAAATCAATGGCTTATGAATCCCTGAAGTTTGCTTTTGTGAAAATGCTAGAAATGTTGAATTCTAAAAACGAAGACAAAACTAGTAATTTATACAAGTGGACTGAAAAGATGACCGTATGGAATGGTTTCACATCCTATGGATCGCAAGAGTCATCAATTTTCCATTTGTTTTTGGCACAGGCTTCATTACTTCCATTCCCAGAAACAAAAGCAAGCTTGCTTAGAGCAGATTATTTGAGACAAATCATGCTGGACAACACAGACCTAGCATGTAGCTCCAGTGAATATTCTTCATGTATTGAATATGGTATCTATGCAATGAAGAAAGTTCTCGAGTTTTGTCAAAGCAAGTTTGGAGGAATTCCAAAGTGGCATCAAGATATTCACTATGTGTCGCTAGAGCATCAACTTCTTACCAAGACACCTGTACAATGTTTTGTGAACCGTCAAATAAGACCTAAGATTGGAGGAGGTTGGCAAGTTCCTAATTCTCAAACGGTCAGATTTGATTTAAAGACTCCAACTGATAGCAACCCAACCTTGACATCTTTTGAAGATTTAAGAACTACCCACAGTGTCTCATACAGACAAGTTATTACTTTTGGAAATGACTATTTCATCATTCCATTAGGTAATTCTGGAAATCCATTAGATCAAGCCTATGACCATTTGGGTGACATGTGGGGTAGTGGTGAGTATCTGCCCATGCTCACTTCAGGTTATGTCACTAAATTTAACATGACCATGTATCCTTAAGTAATTCAATTGTTTTCTTAACTCACGTTTTCATAAATGATTACACATTAATAAAACTCAATGTTAATTTTACACCTCCTTGAATATAAACGACGTTCACAGTAAAGTCGAGTCTACCATCTCGTTCGGTCATAACCTCCAATCGAAATTCCCCTTCTCCTGCTTTTTCATATTCCTCTTTACCTGTTGCGTGCATTAATAAATATTTAATCCAATGCTTGTTTTGAATGGTAGAATATGGAACCAATCCTTGATCGGTTCTAAACATGATATAGGTATCGCCACTTTGTTCCACATATTTGAGATGGATGTGACGAGCTTGTAATAATTTTGCAATATGAAAAACATGGTCCAGTATTAGAATGGATGTATAAGGATAAGATTGTGTTGATGCTTGAGGTGTTGTTGAATTTGTTGACTTTTCCAAATTATTGGACGACGCTTCCGTAATGCTCTCAAATGTGTTTCTGTTTTCATAAAATGATTTTCTTAATTCCAGTCGGAGTGGTTTCTTTCGTTCTAAATGTACTGCATCAGGATCGTTAATAATTCCAGTGTGAAGAGTTCGGAAAGGTCTTGAGAGTGTAATATTCGTGGAGGAGTGTGTTTGAAAATAATTATTATTTTGTGGATAATCAGAAGAATTTGAAGCTGGTGAATTCATGGAAAGATGATTGATGATCGAGTGCAATCGAGACAAATGTCGGCTGGTCAGAGAAAACCGTGCGTCATTATTAGACATTTTTTCCATCAACTCTTGCAGTCAAGCGTTAGAATTTATTGTCCAATTTTCAATTTCAATTCAACTAAATTAAATAAATATTATAATAAGGGTGAAATTGTATTCCATTATTTAGTTTTGACGCTAAATGAAGTTCCACAACTACATCCTGTCTCTGCATTGGGATTCTTTTCCAAAACAAAGCTGTTTTAGCCATGGATTCCACAAAATCGATGGTACTACCCTTAATAAAACTCATTGTAATTTCATCAGCAAGTACCTTTGAATTGGGATATGAAGGATGATAAAAGACTTGATCACCAGGCTCAATCTCTTTTGAAAAAGTAAACTCTACTTGATATCCACTGCAACCTCCGCTTTCAACAATAACTCGGAGCATTCTTCCAGGATCTCCTTTCTTTTCATTCGCTTCTGGATTCTTCTCCCACATGATTCAGTGATCAATAGATCTTGACTATTATTTGTTGTATTGGAAGAAATGGCTGATTCTCGTTTTAATATATTTGAGCTAAAATATCTTTTGTTTTGATTGTATACATTCATCATGATGATGGAATTTGATTGATAGTGTTTAGTGCGAATGTTGTTCCGAATTACGGAAAGTAAAGAGGCATTTGTGCTTTTCAGAGTGAATGCAATGCATCGGAATGGCATAATGCAGCGAGCGGTCTTTATCATTTTTATTGTTTGATTTAATAGGTACAAAAATGGCTTTGAACAAATACTATTCAACACCAAGCCTCAATTTCAAAACTCAATTTCAAATTTGTTCGCAATGTAATCTAAGGAAGATGTGAATAAAACACGTTGCCTAGAGCAGTATTAATACGTCCTGCTGACCCAGTGTTTATTGAGTTGAAAAGTGGCAGGAAAAATTAAAAACTGCAAAAAAATTAACCATGAAATAATTCTCTCTCAATAATTGAATGTGTGGAAGTAACCACAAGATTGCACCACTAAATATTCTAAATATTTGATGATTTTACCGTTAAATTCAATCAGCCAACGAGGAATGTTACTAAAAAGTGATGTTGGCTCGTGTGTCCATCTATTACTAATTTGTTGTCAGTCGGGCCGACACCAGCACACCATAAAAACCATCGTCAAACCCTGCATGCCATCATGATGGACCAGCAACAACAACCGCTTGCATCAGGGGACAAGCCAACAAGTTCTTCTACGAAGGGGGCTGACAGCCACTCCTCTTCTCTTCTGGGTCGAATGTGGGATGGCTTGACTGTCTTGTTGCTCTCTTTGCAAAATAAGGAACCTATTCATGATTGGAGATTGGTCGTGGGAATGGCACTCTTTCATTTATATATGATGATTAGTTCAATGTTTATTCCAACAATCACAATGGATGATACGATAGGATCGGTTATCATCAATAATAACAACACATCATTCTCAAATATTCAAACAATAGATGAGCCTTATTACAAGTGGGGTTTTTATGGAGGTTGGATTTTCAATGTCCTTAATTATGGAACATCTCTCTCACTCGATCGATTACCGTATATTGGTATGGTCGTGCTTGGTTTCATTTGCATAGGCTTTTTAGTATTGTGTATTGTAATGATGATCATTGCTTACCGATACATGTTACTTTCTAACAGTTTTTATGGAAAGATTAAGGTTCTTGTACAAATGGTGCTCGGAATTACAATGGTGATGGCTTTAGTGATGACCTTTGTCATGACGAGTTTTATGGACTGTTGGTATGATTTACAGAATAGCAACAACTCGATACATTATCTCATTAGATTTGGAAGGAACGTGGTTTCTTGCTACTCCTACGAGAACATTATTTATCTTGTATTCAACACTATAGGATGCTTATTACTTTTTTGTATTCTCCCTATCGCCATGTTAATCCTTCCCAATACTCATGCTCTTTCCAAAGGCTTATTCATTGCCAAGAATTCATACATGCAAATAGGATTCTGGACCTTCACTTGTATAGAATTATTTTTGGTTTCTTTTATTCCAGTGTCGTTGGGGTTTGTGCGAGGCATTATACATATCATGGTTGGCATGATGCTCTTATATCTGTATTTCCAGTCATTGCCTTATTCCAGGTTTATAGAAAATTCGATCATGTTTGGTGTGATTTGTGGAAAGTGTGGTGCCTCTGTTGGAGCTCTCATATCTTCATTGGTCAATAATTCGAATGAATGGACACTTGGGTTAGGAATGACAATGATGACGATTAGTATCATTGTGCTATGTTTCATCATTGGATTTGTACTCATGTTTGTTTATCAGCATTTAGTGGTGAAACGAGTGCGAAAAGTGTTACTGGAAGTTGTTTTAGAAAAAGACAACTCCTTGGAAAAGAGCTGTTTTATGGTCTTTCAAGAATTTGAAGACAAGAAGGAAATAAGAACACTTGATTTTTTCCTTAGGTCAAGCACCTTCTCAAAGACAGTCTCAAACGATTACTCGACCTGGAACTTTCTCTTTGTTTTGTGAAAGGGCTTGTATTTAACAAGTCCTTCTGTAACATTGACATTTTAGTGACAGCTTCTATTTTAATGACCTATTTTATTGAAGGAGAAGGGAATGGCATCAGAATTCTAAATCATGCACTTAAAAATCATCCCAACTTTTATCAAAAGCTGAATATTGAAAGAATTAGTATTGAAATTGAAAATTTTGTTGATTATGAAAACTCACGAAACAAGAAGAATATGCTAGAGTTGAGAAAAGTCCTTGAAAAACTCGAACGATATCACACAGACTTAAATTTCTTACATAGACACTTTTTTAAAGAATTGATGAGCGATGCTATCAGTTATTCGAAGATAGAGCAAATTAATCGAAAAATAGCATCCATGACAGAAAATTGCCAAGTTATGTATGAGAATTTAATGCAATCAATGGAAATGTGAAAAAGCTGTTGAGATTATATGGCTACTTTTTGGAGAACTTTGTTTTTGACAAAGAATCATCTCAACAACTTTTGACTGAAGCTTTGTCCATTGAGGACGAGGAACAAAATCGTCGTAGAAGGGAAGTAAGGTACAAAAAACCAATAAGATTGCACCTCTAAAGGACATCAAAGAATCAAGGATCACTCGCATGGTAGTGGTCAAGATTTAATATCGAGCAATGAATTCTCATTGGCAAAAGCAGAGACTGTAACACTTTCAGGATTCGCAAAGAATGTTTATAATTCCTCAGATAATTTAGATATACCTCTCGATGGAGTGGAAAATAATGCAGCAGCCAAAAAAGAATTGCTGTTTAGATCAGCATTGAGCTTACCAGAACCTCATCGACTTCAAAAACTTGGGCTAGGTCTGTTTTTGTTTGTTACAGCAAGTCTAGTTTTGGCATCCATTGTGCTAAGTGTGGTTTTGTCTCAATTTGCAACTAAGGACATTATTATATCAAGAGAGAGTTGCCGACCATTGGGAGCTTCCTCGTTACTACTTGGTGAATTGAGAACCACACAAGCGCTCTTAGAAGTATTTGGTAGAAATGACTCTCAATCCGTGCAAGGGTTCCAATTTCACAAAACAAGATTGGCAGCCTATTCTCAAAGCTTACAAGCATTAATTGATCAAGAAAAAAGTAGTAGTAACAATATTCGAAACTATGTGAACGGAAAGTATGAAATATTAATACCAGCTCTAGATGCTGAAGGTTCCATCTCCTCGACGCCACTTTTCACCACTAGCACTATTCAAAATGCAACAGTATTCGATATTGTGCATATGATTATGAAGCATGAACAAATTATATTCAATTATGGAATGGATGATTATAACAAGACTTTGGAGAGTTTCAGTGTCATGTTTTTAATGTTAAATCGTGACAGAGCGGAAAATGCATTTCAATCCTATTGTCTACAATCTGTTTCTGACATTAAGGTTTCAGCCGGAAAATATGCAAATGCCTATTTAATCTTTTATTCCTGTTCTGTATTTATTTATCTTGTGATAGGATTTATCATAGTTGGTGTTGCCAGATATCAATGTTCAAATTCGAATCAACTCATCAAACTATTGGAATTGTATATTTCCAAGAATATCATTGGTAAAATATATCACTACTTGGGTAAACGAGGAGAGTCCGATGAATATGCTGCAAGAAGTAATAATTCAACGATACGGCCATCTACTATGGTTGTAGGTTATGGATTTGCTTTGATTTTTTGTACTGTCATTTGTCTCTCACTACTTTGTGCTGGAACCATTACGATCAGTAATTACGCAGCTTCCACCATTCAAAGTTTGAGCAGAATTACTAAGACCTTGCTTTTATTACAAAAAGTACAGTCAAGACTTGCAGAGCTGTTTTTGTTCAACAAGATGGATGGATCCTCAGCGCTTAATGATCCCAAGTTGGCTAAACTAACAAATTTTTCAACCATGTATTCAGAAATTCATCCGTTAATCCAAGATTTGCAACAGACATGGAATACAGAATTGAGTGACTTATCAAAACTACCATCCTATAATCAGTACATTTCCTCCTTAACTGGAACAAGTCAATGTAACAATACTGGAAATCCAAAAGCATGTGATGGTCTCAACAACGGAATTACAAACTTTGTTATGAACAGCGATCAACTCTCTGAATTGCTCCAAAGTGATAGTTATATAAGCTCTTCAAAGGAAGTTTTTAAAAACTATTTAGACAGTTTTTTAACTGCAACTGACACTACAAACCTCCTACTTGAATTCTTGGAATATTTCATTTACTTGACTGCCAAGCCTGATATGGTGATAATTATTGTTTTTTCTATATTTGGAATACTTGAAACCTTAATATTTGGTTATTTTCTGTACTCCTCATGCAACTCTCATTGGAGAGATGTTCATCAACTTCGCCTCATGTTAAATTACATTCCATGGGAAATTTTGGATGCAAATGAAAAACTAAGGAATTACGTGTTACATTATGACTTGAGCAATGGAAAGGGATTTTTGGGAAGGTCCAAAATGAAAGACGATGGATCAGGTGGAGATGAAGAAACGAGAGTGTCTAATATTCTTAACAGTGCAGTCGACGGTGTTATTTTGTGTAATGAAAAGGGAGAAATTGACTTGTTCAACCCTTCTGCACAGAAAATGTTTGGAATCAAATCGAGTGATGCAAAAGGAATGGGCGTGTTCACATTATTCGACCAAGAGGCCGTTGGCAAGGTCAAGTCTATCATTGACATTATGTGTAAAAACTTGGCACTAGAAGACGCTAACGAAAAGAAAAATTCTGATTCCATAGATATTGATTGCTTTAGAAAGAATCAGACAAAATTCCCTGCAAGAATTAATTTCTTTGCAACATTGTTTGGAAATAATCCAGTCGTTACATTTTTTGTTAAGGTATGTGAAAACTAGATTTTACTATACACAACAACAATTCACACCTTTTTGATCTAGGATATTACATCAGAAAAGAAACAACAAACCCTATTGGAGGAAGAGAAAAAGAAGTCTGAATCTTTGTTACTGAACATTTTGCCTGAGGCTGTTGCTCTTAGATTGAAAAGTGGAGAAACTTATATTGCTGAAAAGTTTACCGATGTAACAGTGTTCTTTAGCGATTTAGTGGTAGGTTATTGGAATTGTTCAAACATATTGTTAATCTCACTTTGAATGCAAAACCATAGGGTTTTACAAAACTTTCATCGAATATGGAACCCATTGATTTAGTAAAGATGCTTTCTGTAGTTGTGAACGAGTTTGATACGTTGACAGACAAGTATGGATTAGAGAAAATCAAAACGATTGGAGACGCCTATTTTTGTGTTGGAGGGTAAGTGAGTAGTAGTCATTGGATGCAATTCAATTCATACATTCTGCAACAGATTGTAAGTTGAAATGCTTGTTTATGTCAAATTATATAATTAAAAAAACTATTGGGAACATTAGACATAATAACCCACAAAGTGTAAGTAGCAAATTCTTGTGCTGACATTCATCATCTCATCGGCAATAGGATCACCCTGAGAGAGCACTCCGTTTCGCTATTGATGCAATGACAGTTATTCATAACTACAATGTTGAGCAAATTAAAGAAATTCACAACAATCCAGAACTCAAGAGAAGACTCTTTGCTGATGCCAAAGAAGGTGAAGATATGAGCTTGGAGAACAAACAGCTCAACATTCGAATGGGAATGAATACGGGTGGTGTGGTTGCAGGTGTGATTGGAACTAAAAAGGTATGTTTTGAACCTCCCTTAATATATTTTTATTTACTGTAATTTCTATACTCATAGTTTGCCTATGATCTATGGGGAGTAAGTCTTCAAATATACATGATGAAATATTAACCATTGTTTTAACTACAAGGACACCATTAACATGGCTTCTCGAATGGAGAGCACATCACTTCCTGGACGAGTACACATGTCAGAGCAACTTACGAACGAGTACATGACATTGGGTTTGACTTTGAGGAGCGCCGAGTTGAGGTAAAAGGTATGTGTAACACAAGCAGTGTGGAAACATTCTAAACGATATGTATTAAGGAAAGGGAGTTTGTCAAACCTATCTGTTAAATAACGAACATCATCAAAGTTCTGTTTTAACCATTGAAGAAATTGAGCAGTTATTGGGAGGTCAAATGAAAGCCATCATTGAAGAAGTTACGGATCCTTTTGCCAATATCGACTTGTTTAGAAGCGATAATTATTCATTCCCAAAGCTTGTGACAAATGCAGAATTTGTTGCTGCAATGAAAGAGTTCTTAACAGATTTTAAAACAGATATTGCTGAATTTTATTTGACACTCATCAACCAATTCAAGTCAAATGCAAACGTTTCTGAAAGATATGAGGTTGCATCTACTTTGGTTACCACATTTTTAGCAGAGGAAGCTCCAAGAAGATTGAAGTTCAAATTTATGAAGAATGCGTTTGGACCATTCCAGCTTAAATTTAATCAATGCAATAGCTCTTTTTGTCCAGTGGATCTATTTGACAATTTTTCTAATTTATCTATCAAGGTACGTTTCTTTCAGTCAGTTAATAATCATAGAAGTATGACAATATCCCTAACAGACACTGAAACCAGAATTTCCAAAATTCTTAAAATCCAACCCCTTTTTAACATTTTTAAAAAAGTTAAAGAAGCAAGATCCTGACACATTGTTCAAGTATTTGAGAGTAGGCAAAGATGGTTCCTCTACTCATGACTCTGCAGAGGAAGAAGATGAAAAAGAATTTATTCTATTTTGTGAGAAGTGTGGAACTGAAATTATTAATCTTGAAAATCACAGATTCAACGATTGGGAATTTGATCACCGTATTGAAGGCATGACTACCTTTGCCGATTGGAGAATTCACACAGAAACACCTGAAGGAAAAACATATCTATCTCCAGAAGTGGATCATAACCATCTCAGCAACTCGAGGAGACACACTCAAATTAAATACCACTATACCATGGATTGTAGTGCAGAGGCACTTTTTAACTTGTGGATTGATCCTGATTATTTCAAGTGTAGAGAATTAACGATCGAGTCTTCCAACTTGATTGATTTTGTTAAGGTTGGAAAATATGCTCATGCCATCTATCATGAAATTTTAAAGATGAGTTTTCCACAACAAGACAGAGAATTACTTCATGCTTATTGCTGTAGAAAAGATCCAGAGCAAAAGAGATTCCTTTGTGTTTCGAGATCCATCAATAATCCAAAGGTCTCTGAAGGTTCTACCTATGTGAGAGCAGAAATCAAGTCAGCGTTTATGGTAGAGGAAACTGATGAAAACAAGTGTACCTACACGTACACAATTATCTATGATCCAATGGGATGGTTGAATGCAGACCACTACTTTACAACGTTCAAGGAATCAAATAAGGACGTCTTCCATGATGAGCTAAAGAAGATGGTGAAGGAAAGAGGTGCCAAGAAGAGTCACAAACCACCTGAAGTTGGAGGACTTGTGGATTCTCTTCGTTATTCCATTGAGATGAGAAGCAAAAAACCATAAAACACAATAAAGCAACAAATGCACATGCTTTGACCTTTATTGAGATGGTACCTTCCAAAGCCTAATAAATGCGTCGCTCGAAGAGGTGATCAACACTTTTCTCTTTGGATTGAGTTGAGCAACAAGAATGGAAGCTCCAGATTGCACAGGTTTGTCAATCGTTTGTTTGAGCTTGAAAGATTTGCCGTCTCTTTCAAAGAAAACAATTTCGCTGTTCAAGCCAATGCCACAAAATGTTGATTCAGAACACATGAATACTTGAGAGAAGTTAGAAACAACACCATTAGTCAATACCTTAATATCTGCTTCAGCAATGACATAACGTTCAGGCTCTTCAAGGTCAAAAAGCCGAACTATCTCATCTTTCGTCGTTGTGACAATTGCCTTGTCATTGAAAATATCAACAAACGAAACACTGCTCTTACAACCCATCAACTCTCTATGTTTAACCACTGTTGAGGTATTTCCCTTCGATATGTGTACAATTTCCTTCTTTTTCTTGCTCTTCTTGGAATCATCAATATCCACTTCAGTTGTGGATTCAAAGTAGGTTTTAAAAACTTTCAAAGTGGAAGAGAAACCTGCGACACTCAAGTACGAGTCCGTCAAACAAAACATATAATTTTGAAGTTGGCCACTCTTAATAGTTTCACGCTCTGCATTTTGATTTTTCACATTATAAATTGAGATATCATCACAACCATATAATTGAGCAACCAAATATTTTCCGTTTGGAGAGAACCTTAATGACTTGATCATCTTCTTTTCAGGAGGAAGAGAATAAGGCTTTTCATGAATTTGGTGCGACGTAGTGAGTGAGGTGTTGAGTTTGAAAATCTTTACATAATTGTCATAATCAATTGCTACAGCTAGCATATCTCCCTCCTGATTTAATGCTATTGCAGTACCATAATCATTGATGTTACCAATTTCAATGTCATAAAACTTCTTATTGTCCTTGACTAATAATTCATTTCGAAACACTCGCACTGATTTCACTGATTTTTTCAAAATTGCAGTATAATTCTTTGATGTACTCATATCAATGACATCGTCATCAATAATTTTAGTTTTTTTCTGTGCCTTGATGGTTGAAGCCTCGACAATTAACAACTCATGATCAATCACCTCAAGTTCCGATGCTGTTGCAGGAGATGCACTAGAGCCTTTTTGTTTCTTTTTTGTTTCGGTACTTGTACTTGGTGCAGTTGTAGTAGTAGTGGTGGATGGCTGATCCTTTGTTGTTGCTTGTTTTTGATCTGTTGTTGTTGTTGTAGTAGATTTTTGAAGATTAAAATAAATAAAGACCAACAATACGCAAGTTGCCAATAGAGCGGTCAAGAGTAGAAAAGACATTTTTTTGTTCTTGCCAAGAGAAATCCGAGAGAGATGCGCATCATCAACCTTGGAATTGAAGCAGGAACAATCCAACAATATTATCTAGGACTTTTGTATTACTTCAAACAAGTTGAGATGGAAGCAAGTCAGAAGCACTCTAACGATTGGTTGTGTTGCTTGTAAAAAAATGAAACAACAACAGCTGTCGTATTCCACATATCTTTTGATCGTTATCATCGCCATGATGATGATGACGACGGAACTTGTTCAATCCGAAATATTTACATTTACAAACACGAAAATGCATTATGGTTCATTCATTGTAAAAAGGTAAATTGGATTTTATAAAATATTCGGAAATAATGATGGTATTAATTTTTGTAATGATAGATTGGGTATTGCAACAGAAAAATATGCATTTTCATCACTCGCTGTTTTTTCAAAACTAAAAAAGCCATCACTCACGGTGGACCTTTCTATCCAGCACGAACAAAATGTTGAAACTAAAATGTACTGGATGTTAATTCATAGCGATGATTTGGAAACTTTTTACAAAAATACATCTGCTTCTAGTCATAATTATTATTCTCTTGGAGTGGTTCTGGACCAAATTTGTGATTCTACCACATACATTCCTGAAAGATCTCATTTCACAGAATTTACAACAAGAATTCATGCTAAATATGAAGATTTCACAAAAAGTGGAATTTACTATGCAATTATTTTAAACTGTGACACTGATAGTAATACCAAATCCATGACCATTAAGTCTGGATCTATCAAATACGTGAATCCATTCGGTCATTTGAGCGCTGAAGTCTATGATAATTTACCTTTCTACGGATTCATGTCAATTGTAGTATTTGTAATAGGAATGATTTACATGCTCTCCGTTTTTGGAGTAGGATTTGAATGTCAAAGACCTTTTGGAATTCAATTTATCAAAAAGCTGATAATGGCATTCAACAGAAAGAAGGATGAGGCACCTGCTGCTTCAACCTTGCCTGAACAACAGCAAAAGAAACCTAAAGTCAAATCGTATGCCATCATTGTTTGGATTTTCGTAGTTTTGATTTTATTTTTATTAGAAAATTCATTCAGCTTTGCCATGCTTCAACATATGGATGTTTATGGAAGAAACAATAACTTTTTATTTACCATTTCATCTCTATTCCACATGTGTAGAAAATTATTCAGTAGAATTTTTATTATTCTCTTATGCGTTGGTTATGGATCCATTCGAGACTATTTAGGTGGTGTTAAATCTTTTCTATTGTGGACATATGGACTAGCCTATTGTCTAGCAGTTGTCGCATATGAAATTGTTGACTTGTTATTTGTTAAGGTACATGTCATGAGTCCCATTGTTGCAAGTTTACTATCGACTCCAGTTGTTGTTCTCGATGTGATTGCCTTTATTTGGATTTTAGCTGAATTGACCTCTTTAATGAGACAATTGAAGAAAAAGAATCAATCGGATAGGTGGAGAATCTTTGCGCTGCTCACCTCAATCATCATTGCCTATCTCATTGTCACTCTGGCTTGGCTCATTTACACTCAAATATTGCTTGATAATTCAGATCAATTCAAGTTTGATAAGAGATGGGAGACGAATTGGACCATTGAATCTGTTTGGTCTATTATTTTCTTGGTTGTGATGAGTGCCATCATGATAGTATTTAGAAAGAGTAATTTAGCTCAATTACAGCAACATATTGAGAAGAAAAATCCACTCAAAGATACTCTCAAGTACCACAAGACGATGAAACACATGATGACTCGTCGAGTATTCATGAAAAATTGGAGAATGAAGAAGAATTGGATGAAATCATCAATGAAAAATCCACAGCAATGGAAAGTAGCACTACCACTCAAAGTGACAGCAAGCGGCCTGGATTTGGTATTGATATCAGTGACGAGGAAGATGAGAAAGATCCAGAAGCCATGGTCAAAGTTAACTAATGCGAACACTCGGCCTCAAGTACTTGTTGTTGGACTCAACTCCTCACTAGTAAACCACCTCTCTTAACTTATTTGTAGACAAGTTAAATAACCACATTGAGATCCTGAAGAATATTCCAGCATCATTCCAAATCAAGAACAACAAAGTCTCTCCCTTAAACTTTGCGCAATCTATCTCTCAGACCAAGTCAAGTTCACAATATTTTAACGTTGCAACGGCAAACGACAGTTGTACTGGAAGGGCGGGAATTCACCAAGCTCAAAACAAAAATACTTGAAAACCAATACCATCATTGACCCAACTCGTACAACGTTGTGTTAGGGTTTGATCATTACTCTATCTCAGACATTCGTGGATCATATAAATACAATGAAAAAACTTGCCTGCTGCAATAAGGGAGAGAAAACTGAGGATGATTTCGATAAAAAACAAATACCGGCTGAATATGGTGTAAACAGAAAGCGTTCATGCACAGATGTGCTCTGTATACCAGTATTTATTCTATTTTGGATAGGAATGTTTGTCATTGCAGGATTTGGATTTTGGTCGGGAAATCCGGCAGCTCTTGTTGAGCCTATTGACTACCAAGGAAATATGTGTGGTTACGCAATCGGGAAAGGTAATGATAACATGGTAGATTTGAAAAACAAAACTTTTCTGTGGTATCCTTTCGAGTTTCGGCCTGAGCAGATCAAAGATATCACAACGGCAAGACTTATCTCTGCTTTGGGCATGGGTATTTGTGTTAAAGAATGTCCATCGTCCCTAGTTAGTATTTTGAATCCTCTCTCAACAGCTGTGCTTGATTCTGTAGTTTGCAAATATGACGTGAATGACACGAATGCTTTAACTCGTGCAAAGAAAGCATACGACGGAGACGGTTGCTATTTCAATTACTTTACCCATGAAACATGTAAGTATAAGGTTTCATTGATCGTAGACTCAGTGACGTGTATGTCTCCACAGATTTTAAACGATGCATACCAGTTCTGGATAATACAACCATGGACCTCGTAACGAAAACTACTTTCAAGCAAACAATGAAGGTCACAAACGGTTTAAAGCAAGGTTTGTCAGAGGTTTGGAGATCGTGGCTCCCTATTCTTATATCTTCTGTGTTGAGCTTAATTTTATGCTTTACGTTTGTATTGTTTATGAGACTGTTCGTAGGAATTGTTGTGAGAGTCATTCTGGTTGTTATTGCCTTGATAATGGGAGTTGCTGGTGGCTACATCTTATACATTGGTGTGAAAAAGTATCTCGAGTCTGAATCGAACGGAGTGATTGACACAACAATGCGAACTGCCTCTCAATGGTGGATGGGAATTGGAGGTACAATTCTGGGGTTGTTACTCATTTATCTTGTTCTTATGATCTTCCTCTGGGGACGAATAAGAAAGGCCATAGCAATCATTAAGGAAGGTAGTAGAGCAGTGAACAAGTTTCCTACCTTGATTATTATTCCAGCAGTTTCATTCTTATTAATTTGTGGACTTACCGTATGGTGGGCAGTTGTTGCTGTATTCCTTCAAAGCGCACAAAAACCTGTCACTATTGCTGCCAATGACCCCAGATGGAGCTCGTACATGACTGAAATTTCTACATTTATGAACACTACCAAATTCTCAAACACATCCATCACCATTGATCAAGGAACAACTGCTTTGCAGGTTCTTGGCTTGTATAATCTCTTTGCCTATTTCTGGGGAGTGGCATTTATCGAAGCCATTGCCTGTACTACAATTGCTGGTGTTGTGGCAGGGTGGTACTTTGGGGGTATTGGAAACGACAAAAAGACAGAAAAGTTTTCAGTGTTCAAATCTTTTTGGAGAGTTCTCAGGTATCACATTGGTTCTATGATATTCGGATCACTTGTCGTTGCAATTGTTCAAATGATAAGATATTTATTCAAGAAAGCCAAAACACGACTTCAAAAATTAGCCCAAGAGAATACTGTTGCAAACTGGATTATTAAGGTATTTGATGCAGTTTTGTGGGTTGTGGAGAAAATAGTTAGATTCATGAATAAGAACGCTTATTTAATGATTGCCATACATGGAAGCAACTTTTTAATGAGCTCTTCAAGAGGATTTATGATTGTCATGGAGAATATCTTGATTGTAGGAACAACTAATGCAATCAGTGATGTTGTATTATTTTTAGGAAGAGTATTAATTACTGTAGTTAGCTCAGTCATCTGTTACCTTATCATTGACTTGAACAACACATATCAATTCCTTGTAGTTGTTTTGCCTGTTGTTGAATACGGAATAATACCATCGTTGGTTACTGCTGTGATTACTTTCCTCATTGCCTCCCTATTCATGAACTTGTATGATACAGCGATTGACACTATTCTTATTTGTGTTAGCTACGAACTGCACATTAATCCAAACGAAATTAAGGGTCCATACTTTATGAGTGACAGGCTTAGAAAAATTTATTTAGGAAAGCTCAAAATGGATCGTATTGGAGATTTCAGTTGTTGCTGTTGCACTTCACAAGGCGAGAGCTATGATGATGATGTGAAGGTGAAGGACAAGGAGCTGAAAGATGAAAAATCTAAAGATAAGGACCAAAAACCTGCTAAAATGTAAATAACAATATTTAATACATATCAACGTCCATGCAGCCGTTCTCTTCCAGAAATCTTTGATTGTCTTGAAGAATGTCAAAAGGTTTTGTAAACCTGGTTGCAAATTCTAACTTTTTTCGTTCGTCCTCTTCTTTTATCTTTTTATCGTTCATGGCTTTAAGTTGATGTTGCTGAAATTGGAATGCTGTTACAGCAGCTTGGAGCTGACGTTGTTTCAACGTTTCGTCATCCATTTGATTTTGCTGCTTTTTATGCATTCTGCCCCATGACACTCGCACTCTGTTGCCTTGTATTTCAATACCGTTCATCTCCAAAATAGCCCTTTCTGCATGTTCCGTCCTTGTAAAATTAATAAATCCACAATTGCTGTTGGTTGGTATTTTTACAGATGTGATTGGACCGTATCCTTGGAAATATTCTCGCAATACTTTTTCATCTGTGGTTGGAGTTAAATTACCTACATAAACTGTTGTATTTTCTTGTTCCAATGGATCAGTCGATATGATTGTGGTAGGTTCATCTCCTAAACTCGTTGGTTGAGGCATTTGCGGTACAAAAGTTTGAGGAACCGAAGCATTTCCAAAAAGCGATGATGACAATCCAGTCCCCATTCCTTGACTTTTAAAATTATTCGTGGCATGATGAATCTTCACAGGTCTGGATGAAATATAAACTCCTTGCATTTCTGTCATTGATCTCATCATTTCCTCCTCATCAGCAAATTTTACAAATCCATACCCTTTGGAAATTTTAGTTTTTGGATCCAATACCACTTTTGCACCTCTCACAGATGGATATTTAGCTTTAAAAGCTTGTTCGAGCATGTAATCATCCACATCGGGAGCCAAGTCTCCAACAAAAATAGAAACTACATCTTTTCCCATTGGTTTAGGTTGATGGCTCATGGGCATATGAAAGTTTCCAGGTTGTGATGTCCAATTCAATTTATAAATCTTATTCGGAAGCGAGGGTATTGTTTTTCCATTGTATGTTTCAAGCACAGCTTTTGCAATTTCGACAGTTGTAAATTCTATAAATCCATATCCTGCTGATTTTCCTGTGTTTCTATCTCGAATGATTTTAGCAGAAACAATAGAAGGTCTAATATCACTCCCGAAGAGCTGTTTTACATAGTCTTCTTCCAAAATATCATCCAGATCACCCATCCATAATGTTCTTGCTTTGGGATGATTTTTATCAAGTGCGGCTACTGACGATCCTTGTTGTTGATGCGAAGGATCATTTGATGATCGATGATATCGGGAAGTTTGGGTTCTGTTGCTGAAGAACATTTTTTTTAAATGTTTTGAAAATTAAAACTTTATCGTTGAATGTGAAGCAACTTCAATCAATCGGTGACTCTACCTGAATCAATAACAACCCGTACACTTCATTGTTTCTCACCAAATCCGTTTTATCAAACCCTATCAAAATTATTCAATGAGAATTTCCATCGTCCGATGAGTGTACGCACCCACCACTAAAAAATGCACAAGCAAGGCTTGATTGCAACGCTGAGCCGGCATCATTGCAGTAGAAACGTTGGTTCTGTTCAGACACATGGCTCGAGCCGTATGAGCATGATCAGAAACTACTCGACCAACAAGAATAGCAATTACGGAAAGACCGTTAAAATATTCTCAACACCAACCTCCAGTACTTTCTCGAACTCATCATCACTCCCCATTTATTTTCAAAAGAAAAAGTTACTAACAACATCTCCGAGCCATTGTTGCGGATATCATACTTGCTCACAAGTTCGGAGTGAACAAGACACTGGCCGACATCAACATTCAGAAGTATCTCATGATCATCCACTTTTCAAAAAACAACGAATGTTAGATACGACGAGTATGACCATCGACACATCTGTCACACACAATGATTCACCAAGTTATAGATTTAAACTCAGTAAAACATTTGTTGAAAAGTACAAGAATATTCCTCCTCCTTTCGGATTTAATGGGTTAGGAGAAGTTGTTTATAAACGAACATATTCTCGGGTCATTGAAGAAGAAAATAGGAATGAAGAATGGTATGAAACAGTTGAAAGAGTGGTAAATGGAACATATAATATGCAAAAAAATTGGATTGACAATCACAAACTTGGATGGAATGCTAGAAAGGCTCAAAAGTCAGCACAAGAAATGTATGACAGAATTTTTAATATGAAATTCTTACCAAGTGGAAGAGGATTGTGGGGAATGGGAACTCCATTGACTGAACAGAGAGGTCTTTATGCAGCACTTAACAATTGTGCATTTGTGAGCACTGAATCTATGAAAGAAGATCCTCTGAAACCATTTGTGTTTCTTATGGATATGAGCATGCTTGGAGTAGGAGTTGGTTTTGACACAAAAGGTTCAGGATCTATCACGATTAAAGGAGTGGACAATACAAGACAACCCATCATGAATATTATTGCTGACTCTCGAGAGGGATGGGTTGAAAGTGTGAAGGTTTTGCTTGATTCATATTTTAATGGACATGCACCTCAATTATTTGACTATTCTAAAATCAGGCCTGCAGGAGCTCCAATTCGAGGATTTGGTGGAGTGAGTAGTGGTCCAGAATCTTTGAAAGAGTTACATGAAATATTCGAGCATTGTTAGAAACGAATGCTGGAAAACCTATTTCTGTAACAGTCATCGTAGATCTCATGAATTATATTGGAAAGTGTGTTGTTTCTGGAAACATTAGAAGATCTGCAGAAATTGCATTTGGTGAAGCAGATTCTGAAGAATTTATCGATTTGAAAAATTATGAAAAGAATCCACATCGTGCTTCTTATGGATGGACCTCCAATAATTCCATTTTTGCTCAAATCGGAATGGATTATTCAAATGTTGCAAAGAGAATGATGGTAAATGGAGAGCCAGGTCTTGCCTTTCTGCAAAATATGAGACAATTTTCAAGAATGAATGGAATACAAGACAACAAGGACACGAGCAAGTGGTGGAAATCCATGCCTTGAACAAACTCTTGAAAGTTATGAATTATGTTGTCTTGTAGAGACTTTCCCCAACAATCACGAATCACTGGAAGATTATCAAAAGACACTTAAATATGCGTTTTTATATGCCAAGACAGTCACTCTTGGAAGAACTCATTGGCCTGAAGTGAATCGTGTCATGCTCCGAAACCGAAGAATTGGATGTTCCATGAGTGGTATTGCTCAATTTATTACCAAGAGAGGAGTTGAAGAATTAAGGCGTTGGTCAACAGTCGGTTATGACACCATTCAAGAATATGACCAAACATTTAGTGATTGGTTGGCAATTCCTCGGTCCATAAAGACCACGTCCATTAAGCCAAGTGGAACCGTAAGTTTATTGGCTGGAGCTACACCTGGAATGCACTATCCAATTTCAAGATTCTACGTCCGGAGATTGCGATTAGCTACCAACTCTCCACTCGTCAAGACACTTGCTGAAGCTGGATATCACACGGAACCTGCCGTGAGTGACTCTCAAACCACTGTTGTGGAATTTCCAATCGATTGTGGTGAAGGAATTAGGACAGCCAAAGAGCTTTCCATGTGGGAACAATTATCCTTGGCTTCATTCCTTCAACGTTATTGGTCCGATAATCAAGTCTCTGCAACCATAACCTTCAATCCACAAACTGAAGGATCGCAAATCAATACGCACTGGATTATTTCCAATATCAATTGAAAGGTATCAGTTTTTTACCAATGATGGATACAGATTCCTCACCATATCCACAAATGCCGTATGAACCTATCACAGAAGAGCAATACAATGAAATGAAATCAAAGCTTAAAACGACGTGTCCACTCTCACAAGAGCGAACGCTAAAACAAGAACCAACACCAGAACGATATTGTGACAATCAAGTTTGTGAAATATAAAATTGAGTTTTAACATTTGGTCGCCGCGCCTTGATGTTTAGTTTGGGAATTGGTTCACAAGATGCAATTTTCGAATAAATTGAATCAAATTTTTAAAATTGCAAAAATATTTAAAAAAAAATGAGAAGGCCAAACATTTCCTACTTTTATGACGGAGATGTGGGCAATTATTACTACGGACAAGGACATCCAATGAAGCCTCATCGTATCAAGATGACCCACAACCTTTTATTAAACTACGGACTCTATAAGCACATGGAAGTTTATGTAAGTATTTAATGATGAATCAAATCCAATAACCGTTATTGTGATTTGTATTAAAATTTTGATGTGATCAAATCAATTATTACAATGTAACAACAAATATATTTAATCCGCATCAATAACAGAGACCACATCCTGCGTCCGAGATAGAAATGTGTAAATTCCATGCTGATGAATATGTTGATTTCTTGAAAAAAGTTACACCCGACAATATGCACGATTTTCAAAAACAATTACAAGCCTTCAACGTCGGTGAAGACTGCCCTGTATTTGATGGTATCTTTGAATTTTGTAAGATCTCTGCCGGTGGAAGTATTGGAGCAGCAGTCAAGCTGAATCATGAGCAATGTGATGTTGCTATCAACTGGGCTGGTGGTCTGCATCACGCTAAGAAAAACGAGGCTAGCGGCTTTTGTTATATTAACGATATCGTATTGGCAATTTTGGAATTGTTAAAGTACCATGCTCGTGTTCTTTACATTGACATTGACATTCATCATGGTGATGGTGTTGAAGAAGCTTTTTATACAACAGATCGTGTGATGACAGTTTCTTTCCACAAATTTGGAGAGCAATATTTCCCCGGAACTGGTGATATCAAAGATATTGGCGCAGGTGCTGGAAAGTACTATTCTCTAAACTTCCCTTTGAAAGATGGCATTGACGATGAAAGCTATTTGTCCATTTTTAAGCCAGTCATTGAAAAGGTAATGCAAGTGTTCCGACCTGGTGCTGTTGTTCTACAGTGTGGAGCTGATTCATTGACTGGAGACAGATTGGGTTGTTTCAATTTGACAACTAAAGGTCATGCTGCCTGTGTTGAATTTGTGAAAGGATTTGGATTGCCATTGCTTGTCTTGGGTGGAGGCGGTTATACTGTAAGAAATGTTGCTAGATGTTGGACTTATGAAACTTCTGTTCTTCTAGGTATTGATATAGAAAGTGAAATGCCATATAACGACTACTTTGAATATTTTGGTCCAGACTATAATTTGCACCTTCAACCATCAACTATGGAAAACATGAACTCATTGGAATATTTAGAAAAGTATAAGAATATGATTTTGGAAAACTTGAATCATATCAAGGGTGCTCCTTCTGTTCAAATGCACGAAGTTCCTCCTGACACATACTATATCAGCGAGGATGAAGAAGATGAAGATCCAGACGACAGAAAGTCACAAAAGACCATGGATAAATATCGGTCTCGTTATAACGACTACTATGATGACGATTTGTAAATCTACTAATACTATTAAATTTTTCTTTATTTCACAAACATGATCATGGTCTAAATTTTAGGATGAATAAGGTTTTTCAAAGAATCAAAAATTTTTTCTTCTGCTAATTCTTTCGTCACCTGAATCACATTAAACTTTCCAACTGCTTCAAAGTACTGCAAAACAATTTGAAGGTCAGTTATTGCAGAGGAAGGAGGGAGTGAAATGTCTTGAAAATAAATGCACATATCAAACTCCACAACATCTTGTTCCATGTTAATAAGATCAGCAATGTTGGAAGGTGAGTGAAGCATTATAAAATCTCGATAATTTGAAACTTCCATATATTCCTCGAGATCCGTTTTTAGTTCCTGATTGTTTGCAAAATTCTTGGGGTTGATACTAACATCGACAGTTTGAAAAAAACCAAAATTCGTTTCTATTGATACTCACATTTTCATGTTGAAATCTGTCGCTACATGTTTGATAGCTTGGTTGATTTCAAAATCGTCTTTGCAGTCTGTGACAACAGAAATAAGTCTAGGTCGTGGTTGTCTTGGTTTATCGAGTCCGATATCTTTAATTTCTTTTAACCTCTCGATCATGAAGGGAATTGCTTGATTGGGTCTGTTCACTACCAACTCGTACACCAATTTTGAATAGAGTTCCTTCACTCTGTGACTTGATAGATATTCTTGAGCCTCTTTAATTCTATGAAGGTGTTGTTTTTGCTCCTCCGATGTTGGGAGAGAACCATACACCATCTTTGTTGCTGGCATTTTTTTGTAAATTGTTGTTGTTTTGAGTGGCGGGCAAAATTTAAAAAGTTCCTTATTCAATAAATAACGTTTACTTTCTAATATTTCAAATAATATTTTAGTTAGGCCCAAAATATTTTGATATGATCTGAAGAACTTCTGCAAATAGGGCATGTTTTCTTTAGACTGTCCACACATCCATCACAACAAACACAATGTTTGCATTCAAGAAATACAATATTTCTCAACTGTTCTGAACAAACAACACACAGTAAACGATCTTCGTCAATATCCAAATTTTGTAATTCTGAGAATTGCTTGGATCCAGCCTTTTGGTTACCAAGTTCCTCTTTCGTTTTTTTCCATATTTTCAATTGTTTATGATCTAAAAACTCCTTAAAGGTGTGGTCACCAAGATGAATTGGATTAATATCTGCTCCTGATTTGTTGAACTCCTCGAACGAATCATGACATTCTTTACAAAGACAATAATCTTCACTTGGTGTCAACTCAAAGCATGTTTCGCATTGAAAGATACTTGTTGGAATTTTCTTGTTACAGCACTGACATGTATGGTGTGATTGATGTGGATGTGGGTGGTGTTGTGGGCAAGAGTACTACTACTGTTATTGACACTACTTCCGCTTGTTGTTGATGGTTGGAATGGAATAACATTTCCACTTGGTAATTTTACGTTACTAGGAGAGGATGAAGTGACAGTTGGGTTGAGTAAAGGCTTTGGTGGAGAAAAAGTGGTTGGTTGACTATTTGTTGATGGCGGAAGTTGATTGTAAAATACACGCTGAGAGAGAGGCTGTACTGATGGGTTGTTGGGAATATTTGTTGGTATTGGTGGTTGATATGGAGGTGTATAGGTTGTTGATGTGTTCATGTTAGATGGAAGGCTAGATGGAACACTCGATGAAGAATTCATCATGTTAATAGTATTAAACGATGATGATGGAACATTACTTGAAAAACTTGATATATTATTATTCGTCAAAAAACTACCACTTCCTGCTGTTCCGAAGGTTGAAAAGTTATGAAAGGACGGATGTTCGTTTCTTCTATGCTTCCAACAATTCTGGCACATATCATAATCTGTGCAGGAATCACAATGATATCGGATTCCTTGAATAGGCTGCACTTTGCAGACATCACATCGATATTGAGCATGGATGGTTGGAGCAGAAGAACCAACCACTACTGTGTTGGTTGATGGATGGCCACTAAAGGAAGCCGATGAAAGAAACGAAGAATTCATCATCATGTATTTTTTTCGTTGATGATGGATTTATTTTTGGAAGCAAGTTCGAAGATTTGGATGTTTGCGTGTTTCATTGAAATTGTTTGCAAGTTACATTAGCTATCTGATACACGTTTTCATCTTCTTCGTTCTCGTTGTCTTTCCAATTCGACTTCAATCAAAGGTAAATACTTCCTTCTTAATTGTTGAACCTTTTCATGAGTAATCTTTGAAAATCCAAATGCTGTTTTCATAATTTTCTGAACATCAAATTGTGTCTTGACAATATCTTGCATGGTTAACATAATCTCAGAGACATCATTCGTTTTAAGAAGGAGATCTTGATTCAATTTTAACATGGCTAATATGGTTCTAAACATCATTTGACTTCCATAGCATAGGAATGCATCCCAAAATCTCAATGTTGTTTCCACAGGGAAATCCACAGTGAATAATTTCATAAAGAAGGACATGGTGAATGTGGAAATGTCAAAATCAAGATTCTTAAAGTGATGAGCTAATTTGTAGAGATTAACGCTTAGTAATTCTTCAAATACCATGGCATCTACAAGAACACCTTTCAATTCAGGTGAATAATAATTTGCAGGTAAATAGTCCTCACTGAGTTGAGGGTCATGATGTGTGTATAGAGAGAGAGAGAAGTAATGGTAGTAGCAGTAGTAGTAGTAGTGGTGGTGGTGTGTGTATGTCGTAGAGAGCGTTGTAATTTTCAACACAATTCCGTTGCCATTCATTTTAAAAAATTTATGATATCATTGAAATAATAACAAAATATGGTCAAATCTTTTAAAATCTTTAGTCTTAATACTTACAGAACTGAAACAAATAACCAAAAAACTTCTTCTTCACTCAAATGCAATAACAACAATCCAGCAATATAATTAAAGGATTGTGAATAACTCACAAGTGGATTTCTCCAACAATAAGCAATTAATACTCTTCTCAAAGCAGACAATACCTTGTCATCATTAAAGAATGGATGATGAACATAGGTTCTTTTGAGATCCTTTTCAATTTGATCAAACCAAGGATTTTTCATTTGAGAAGTGTGAACGGAGAGAATCTTTTTGTAGTATCCAGTGTCTTATATAAATTGTTGTGTTTTTAAAAAGAATGATGATGCATATCAAATTTGACACACAAATACAATGAAACCAATCAATGAATGTGTGAATTTCACACACCACCAATGAAACATATTAAATGACAATTTTTTCGCACAACAATGAAATTACAACTTTCAAACTTACTCTCATTAAGTTTTTGTTGAGCTCCACTAATTTCCATCCATACTCGAGGTCTAAATGAAGCACTAATACCATACTTCTTAATTAAATTCTTAATTCCACTGTTATTGGAGAGAATTTCTGATAAATTCTTTTTACTCCATTCCTTCTTCACTTTCTTACATTTCACATCATAACTCTTCTTCCATTGTTGATATAATTTATATTCATTAATATTCTGTGGTTCTGGAAATCCTAAATTGTCCATCGTATAATATCTTCTATTTTGTGAAAGGAAATTTCCAGCTAACATTTGACTGAATCGTTCCAATTTTTCCAATTCATTAAATTTGTTGAGACAATGATCAGAAATGGCTTGCATTTGCTCATGTGATTCTTGTAAACATTTCTGATCTGGATAGGTCGCATCTGAGTATTTATAAGCCATTTCTTGAAGCCAATTCGCATAGAATTGAATTCGTTCAACGGGTGATTTGGACAAGACATCAGAGAGTCGTACTTTGGATTTTGTAAAATCATTGTTGTTGGCGCGACCAGGTGTGAGCTTCCACTCGATGCTGCTCCAATACTCAAACGATTACTTGATTTGGATTGGCTCTCGCTATTGGAATGTCCTAGTGTGGTGAGACCTCTTGATCTTGGTGTGATGGCACTAGTGTTATTATTATTATTAAACGAAGTAGTACCACCACCACCACCTCCGAACATTGATGATGTTCCCTGATGAGAGGAATACTTGTAGAGTTCTCTCTGATAGTCTTGAATGACTTCATTGAGTCGATCCAACACATTCTTTTCAAAATGTGCAATATAGTGTACATTGGAGGATTCAATTTCACTCAATGTGTGTAATAACTTTTCTAAATTATTGCAATACGTCTTGTAGAGTCTCAATGTTGGAATTCTCTTGAGAATTAAACGTCCAACTTGAATTTCATCAATTAATTTAGCATCTCCATTGCATTTGGTATAGAGTGTTTCCAATTCATGAAACAAATCCTTGTTAATCATTCGAATACAATCAAAATCACTAAATATTTCAGAATGAGCTTGTCTTCCCAGTACTGTGTTCTTTAAGGAATCATTGGAAACAAGTGTAGAATCAATAATTTCTAAAATTTTGGTATACAATCGTTCAGTTTCGTAGAACCAAATAATTTGTTCCACTCGTCTCTCTTGTGAAATTTCTGAATTGGTTTTTTGAGAAGATTTTGGAGAAAGTAATGGACGAGGAGAGATGGACATTTGTGAAGAGGACATGTTTGAGAGATTGGATAATGATGATGGTTGTAATTGTTGTGGTTGTTGAGAAGATGTCATGGTACTGCTACTACTATTATGATGAGAATCTTCTAAATCTTCCAAATCTTCATACGATTCGACTCCAATATTTTGTAAAATAGCCATATCATCTCGATTTTCAAAGGTTGTCAATTCATCTTCGTCATCTTCTTCTTCTTCCATGACATTCAAAGGAGTAAAAGTATTAAAAGTCGATGCTTCATAAACACTTGGAGTAGCATCTTCTCCTGTATACGATTCTGTATCAATATATTCGGATGTGACATATTCATCCACACCTGAGAGCATGGAATTGGTTGGAGTGAGGAGATTATGTTTGGATGATGTCATGATGGGAGTATTGCCCATATTAGGAGTGAGTGAATCATGATGATGATGATTCGATGAGACGATTGTGCTAGTACTATTACTGGTAGTAGTATATTCTTCTTCCTTCTTTTTTGGTGTTTCCTCTTGTTGAGATAATTCTGTTGGACTCAATTTCAAAAGTGGTACTTTGAATTCTTCAGAAGGTGATTTTACGCTTTTCACTTTTTCAGAAGTTGGAGGAGATTTGACTACAGCACTCGTCATGGCAGATGAAATGATTTGAGAGGGTGAAGGTGGTGAAATCATTAAGAGTTGTTGATCTTTCTGAGTGGTATTCACTTCTAAGAATGAAGATGTTTTGTGATGAGAATCTTGTTGTTCAGATTGTTGTTGTGGAGATTTTGGTTGAGCCTTTGTTGGAGTAGTTACTGAGATGGTTGGTTCTGCGATGGGTTCTTCCTCAACAGGAGTGATAGCCATTGGAGGTTGAGACGTTGCAAGTGGAATATTCATTGAAGTTGTTGGTGTTTCTTCTTTCTTATCTGTGGATATTGTTGGTATTTCAATAACTTGTGGTTCTTGTGTAGGAACAACAACAGCAGTAGTAGTAGTAGCATTCGTAGCAGTACTTGTATTCGAGTGTTCTGAGATGTCAGTCGTTTTCATAGGTGGTAATGATGGTACTGATTGTAAGGACACTTCTGTTTTTTGTGGTATGAATTCAGAGGAAGAAGTGTTCGTAGTACGAATAGGCTTGTTCATTTCATCATGATTGGAAACTTCTTCCACTTTCTTGACTTGAATCACATGACTACTACTCGTTCTTGTATCCTTTGATGTTGGTTTTTGATTCATTCTCTCCTCTCCACTATTGGAACTATCTACCACCACTTGATATTGTTTTTTCATTTCTGAAACAATATCCTCTCGAGAAGGTATGGTTGTGGTATGAGAGAGTAGTGTCGTGGTTGTTGTCGTCGTCGTCGACGTTCCAACAGTTGTTCCATGTGACTTTGGTTTCGTAGAAATGGGTTTCTTATTTCCAAAATCGACCACCATCTCTGGTTTTTGAATAGTCATTTTGAGAGTGGTAGGACCAATGGCAGTATTGCTTGTGGAGGTTGCAGGTATTTCCTCTTTTTGAATACTACTAGTTCTTGTAGTCATGGCTCGTGGTGTTGTTGTTGTCGACTTTTTAGTACTTGCCATTGTTGTTGTCGTAGGGGTGCTTTCCGTAGTTCGTTTTGTTGTATCATCCTCTTGTTGCATTTCTTTCATGGCATGAACAATGGAATCATCTTCACTAATACTTCCCCAATGTCTTAATAAATTTCTAACTTGTTGAGATTGTTCTTTGGTAGGTACATGAGAAGAAGAAGACGCCACTGCATGAGAATGTTCAGTTGTCATTGTACTATTAGCCTCTTGTTTCTGTGAGGCTTTCTGGGTTGATGGTCGTGATTGAGATTGGATGGAATCCTTGGTTACATCATTGGTCATGAGGTTGTTGGAAGGCTTTGATTCATCCTTCTGTCTGGTGATGGATGGATGATCCACTGCTTGATCAAAAGAGTGTTTTTCTTCTTGTTGTTGTTTTGAATTGATGATTTCTCTCCAAGGCCATGACTTCTTCATCTTCAGGTGATGAAGTGGAATGATCCGAATCATGTAATGTTTTAGAGGACTGATCTACATGTTCATCTTCATCCTCACTACTACTACTACTATAGGAAAGAGCATCATCCTCTTCTGCTTCTTTTCTTCTCAATTGACTCTCTACTAAATCTTCCAAATTGGTTTGAGGTAATAAATGAACCAATGGTTTCAAACCTCCAACTTGTTCAATTTTTTTCAAATTTTCATCTTGAATCATTAAATTCCAAAGAGTATGAGCGGCCTTCTTTTTCACGTGATTGACTTGTTCTTGTGAAGGTGAAACTGGAGAGATGGTTGGTTTCGTATACTAGTAGTACTAGTTGTAGTAGTAGTACTCACAACATTACTTTCCAAAGACACCAATGAGACTAATTCTTCAATTCCACCCTCTTCACGAATACTATTCGAAGATTCATCATCAATGGCCATATTGGTCAAGACATTGGTGGCCTTCTCAACTAATTTCAATTCATCTTGGGCTGTATCTGCTGTTTTAAGGAATTTAATCATGGTTGGAATACCTTTCAATTCATGAATTTGTTTTCTATTTTCTTCACAATCGACAAGTTATTGAGAAGTGTTAACATATTTTCTAAAAGTGAAAAATTTTGAGCTTGTCCAGTATTGAGTATTTGAAAAGAATTCAATAGAGATGGAATGACTTGTGAATTGGATGAACCAATTTCAAGAGCATTTTCTTCATCGAGTGAGAGAGAAGCCAATGCTCCTGTTAATTTGTAAATGACTTCTTTGAGTGCTGTGGGTGGTGAGGATGTGATTAATTTTTGAGTTTGACTCAATAATTTGAGAGAGACTAACAAGACATTAACCAATACTTGAATTCCATCCAATTGTCTAATTTTAAGTCTTGCTTGAGCACTTGAACCAGCCATATTCCACAAAATACCACTCGAAGTTTTGATTTGTTCATGATCCATGATTTTTGAAGAGGATGCAGATTGTTTCACATCAGAAATCAATTTTTGAATCATTTCAGAACTTTCAAATAAATTTTCAAAATTTGTTTGTTGTTGAGAGGATGAGGACGAAGAGGATGACGAAGAGGATGAGGACGACTTGATGGAATCAGATCTGAATGTATCCTTGTTGGAAATGGTAGTAGTTCCTGTCGTTGGAGGAATCTCATTCTCTTCAGCACTGGTATTGGAACTGAGAATTTGAATAATGTGAGAGGTATTTCTCTTCACATTGGCATATTTAGAATTTGATAATTCAATTAACTTTTCAATTAATTGTTTTGTATCAATCTTCTTTTCACAACCTTTCATGACAAACTTCTTAATAGAATCAATTAATAATAAATTCCACAAAGATGCAGTGATACCTTCAATAATCTCTTCAGGATAATCCTCTCTCTCTGTTTTCAATTTAGTAATTACTTGACATAAAAATGTCACTCCTCCTAATTGCATAATTTTTTCACTCAATGTTTCTTCCAATGCAATGGAACTGAATGCAATCAATAAATTGTAAATTGTGGAATTATATTGTTCATCCATAACACCACTCTTCATCATTTCTTCCAGTGTTTGAATCATGAATGTTAAATATTGTGAAGAATTTTCACATTCTTTGAGCCATTCTCTATTTTTGGCATCAATAAAAGTATTTAACAAGGTACTTGTAATATTTTCTAACACAGAAATATCTTCAGCTAACTTGGGATCCAATCTTTCACACAAGATTTGAATACAATGATGTTTTCTCATCACTTCAGAACATGTTTCAAGTGCTGAAATGTTACACAATGTAGCAAACGCTCTTTTACGAGTGAGTGAATCTTCACTCATGGCGAGTTGTTTCAAATGTTCAAAGCCATTGAATTGTTCTAATTCTCGGACATGACTCTCTGAAGAAGAAGAAGACGAAGAATATTCGAGTGAATAGTAGTAGTAGTAGTAGTGGTGGTGGAATGATTCATGTGCAGCAGGTTGATGATGATGACCATGAATGAATATAGAGTGTATAGGTGGCCATTGTAATAATAACGATCGAGAGAACAATGAAAAACACATCGCGTCAGAGGAGAATGTGTGAATGGTTATTGTTGTTGTTTCAATAGAGTCCATTCATGTGTGTGTTAATAAAAAAGAGTGTCATCATGTTCGAACATTGAAAACAACAACAACAACAATATGGAAGTAGTAGTAGCAGTAGTAGTAGTAGTAATAATTGGGTATCGAATCGATCAAAATTGTCATTTAAATTCCATTCTCTTTAACATACCTTCTTTAATTAACTTTTGAAACATGCCAGCAATTTGTGATCGTTTTTTGTGATCATCAAGAGGTGTACTCTTTTCAATACTACACAGTTTTTCAATATTCATCTCTCTAACGATGAGTGTTGTTGTTGTTGTTGTGAAGAGAAAAAGAGTGGATTCAGAGTTGATGAGGAGTCGGTAATAAATGTTCAAAACACACTGTGGATGATGAGAGATGCGGAGCTATGAGAATGTTGTCAGGTGATAATTTGAGAGTGTTCGGGTTTGTGTGTTGATGTTTTTTAATGTAATGACATGTGAAGGACTTTAAGCAGAATTGGATACCAAATTTGTTGGATTCATAAAGTTACAGTTTCAACGCACTGTTTAGAGAGGAATTGCTTTTCACCACATCTCAAAGAGAATGCTATTCTCGCGTATAATTTATGAATCTCATCGATGTTTCACACCCTCATAGAATCACTGCAATTCATGAACAGCAAAATTCAACAACAATTCGTCTTTGCAGCAACAAAAAAAATTCCCTCTTTGCTCTCTCAAAATGCCCAGCACTGTTACTTCAACAGCTTCAACTTGGGGAGGAAAATCATCATCATCAAGACTCAATACCGATTTAAATGACCTTCTTGATAGGTCCCAACAATTATTACCTGCTACCGATAATTTCATTCAAAAGGATTTGGAATCTATTCATGAACAATCCAAAAAGTTAATTCAAAAAACTGCTCGCGGAGATGCCCAATCTAAAGGCGATTATTTGTTAGCAGCCAATGGATTTGATGTAGAAAAGTATAGAAGATCCGTGAGTAGATTAGACTTAAAACAAGCTTTTGAGCCTCTTGAGCCTATCGGAGAGACTGATATTGAGGGATACTTGAAACACGAACATGATATGATTTTATTATCATCTATTGAAGAATCAAAACGTCATACAAGTAATTGTTTTTACAAAAACTTTAATGATTATTTAGAAAAGGATTGGGCTTTGGCTAAAGATAACCTCATCAAAACATTGGATTTACACAAAACTTATCACGTTCAAGCCTTTAGACCAACATCAACCTCTATGAATGAATCTTTTCTTCGAACTACAGCAAGACTTACTCCTTCTTCTAGTAATTTCAATGTTCCTTCAACTCCATTTACTCCATTGGGACCAACACCAACACCTCACGGTACTCCACGAAGAGGAAAAACCAACATGGATGAGCGCATGATTGCGTACAGCAAAGTTATTTATGACTTTAATACAAGCCTCAAGAAAGACACTCCATTTGAACTGATTAGACAATTTTCTGATGTGGCACATTACATTGATGAGCCCATTTCAAGGAAAAGAGAAGTCATTGAATGCTGGAAATTACTTTCCTTCATGATTGACGAAAGTAGAAGCAGACATAGCCAGTCAGACCTTTTAGAAGGAGCAAAAAGATATATGGAGGTTTCGTATGTTCAATTTGTGATGGATACTCTTGAGCTACACGAAGAGGTTAAAGATAATTTAAGATTAATCAAGGCGTTTGTTTCTAAAACCCTAAAACATGCTGATGTAGACAAACTAGGAGAGTGTGTCGATGGAGTTTATATTTGGCCTGTATTGTTTTACTGTTTAAGATGTGGATTTTTGCCAGAAGCTCTTGATTTTGCAAGAGAATACAATTCTGCATTCCCCATTCAAATTATTAACGCCTTGGAAAACAAGATTAACACACAAACAGCATCTATTCAAGATATTGAAAATCAGTTGAACGAAAAGTACAGAACCATTCCTCCAACAGAGCTGTTCCGTCATGCCGTTTACTTGGTTTTAGGAAGATGTGATGTTAAAAAGACTATTCCACAAGTTTTCTCTAAAACTGAAGATTTTATGTGGTTGAAGCTATCGATTATCAGAGAAGGTACCAAATACACCCTGAAAGAGTTACAAACAGTCGTGAACAATCACGGACCAAAACACTTCTGTCCAAAGAAGAACTCTCTTCTCTTTTTCAGATTGCTATTATCTACTCTTCAATTTGAAAATGCAATTGAATATTTATGCAGCAGACAAAGTGAAGGTTATCATGTAGAGGCCGTACATTTTGCATATGCTCTCTACTATTATAACCAACTGAGAACACCAAAAGATCTCTCTGTTCCACTTTTAGTGGCCACTCCTCAGCCTCAACTTAATTTCTATTTCTTAATTAGAGATTACGTTAGAATATTTGCTCATACTGATCCAACATATGCAGCTTCTTACTTTTACATTTTCTATAAACGATTGGAAAAAAGAGAAGAAAAAGAAGCTATTTACTTTAGATCGATTAGAGACCTTATTATTGAAGGAAAAGATATTTCAGTATTACTTGGACAAGTAGAGTCTAATGAAACTGTTAAGAAGGGATTTTTAGAAAATTATCTTTCGAGCTATGACTTCTTGGCACTCCTGGAGAGCTGTGCAAAGGAATACAAAGCAATTGGTAGATATAGAGATGCAGTAGAACTCTATTTCAGAGCATTGAAGTATCACATTTCTCTTTTGACAGACTTGTCTACTGATTATCAAGACAAATCGACCGAATATCTTTATTCTATTCTCAACATTATGGTTGATGAACTAAGCCAAGTTCTATCTGGTGGAGAAAACAGAGACGAAGTCAAGCAATCTGCACAAAAAGTTTTCGAGACCTTTACTGGAGATAATATTATTATCAACAAAATCAATGAGTCAAGCAAGCTTTCGAGCGCACTCAGAACTTTCAAGATTTTAGTTAAATTAACAAAAGTATTTGATAGCTTTATGAACAGAAATTACGAAAGAACTCTAAGCGAGCTCAAAGAGTTGAAGATTATCCCATTTGAACTCAGAGAATTGGAAGAAAAGGTGCAAAAGTTTAAAGAACTGGATTTCCAGATCCAAAAGAAGATTTCAGATATTTTATTTGTAGCAATGAGCACTTTGTGCCATTTGTACAATTCTCCCAAAACTTACACCGCTCAACAAATCAAGGACATGGCTTCATGTGTCATGAGTTTCGCAGGCGAAAACCAAAATATGATCAGCAAAGATGTTAATTCTCACCTTATAACATTCCAAAATAGAATTGGTAAATAAATTATTGGCTCTTCACTTGTTAAAGTATTTCATGTTTTATTCAACAATAAATAAACTTAATTATTTATCTTTGAGCTTCTTTTGATAGAGAGCATTGGAGGACTCATCAAAAGATTCGTGTTGATCTCTCTTTCGTTTTACATTGTCAGTGTCTGTGTCGTCTTGATCTGTTGTATGTGTTTCCTGCGTTGTAGTGGGTACAAGATTGTATGATGTAGAAGTGTTGAATGATGAATTTGGAAGAGCAACAGCTCCATATGTCATTGTAGGTGTGGTTGTGTAGAAGTAATATTGTGGGTGAATCATTTGCATTTGTGGATAAGAAAAGAAACCTTGCGAAGAAGGATCCATGCTACCTTGATTTGAAAGCGTTGCGGTCGTATTTGCAGTGTAAGCCCAGGGGGCAAATGGAAAAATGGTTGGAAATGATTGAGGTGTTGCCGTGGTGGATGCTGTTGTAGTGACAGAATTGGTGGAATTTTGAGATGTGGGTGTTGGTAGAGTGGTGGTACCTGTAGTGGCAGTCGTAGTGCTGGTTGGAAAGAGTGCCAAATTACTTGCAGTAGCAGCCTGAGCAAGATTAGCTGGAATTGCTAAATGTCCTAATGGAACTAGTCCTGCATTTGTAAAAGCAGCATTACCAGGAGTGGTGGGTGTGGATGTCAAGTGGTGAGTGTTGTGATGATTCAATGGATGGTGTGCGTGGTGAATCAAGGTGGTGGTCGTACTTGTCGATGAAGAAGAGGGTGGTGGTGGTGACGTGTGAGAGTTCAAATGTAATTGATTCAATTGATGATGAAGTGGAGATGGAGGTGATGGATTAGATGCACTTCCAATTCCAATCATCATTAACTTGTTCTTCGAGTATCCAATGGGTGACTTTGATGGGCTTACCTTAATTTGTTTTACACTTCCAGCTATGGTACAACCTGTTAATCTCAGAGCTTTCAATGCAGATTGTTTGTCTTCAAATTCAATAAAGCAAAACCTCGTTTCATAGGATTCAGTGTCTCCTGCCATTGCAATTCTATGAACAGTTCCACATAACTCCTCAAAGAATGCTTTAACACTATCTTGTGAAAGTTTAACATCAATTCCTCCAATATGAATCGTTCTCTCAATTAAATCTCTATATTGCTTGTCGATCAATGACTTTTTTGGAGGAGTTTGTATGGCTGTTTTAGAATGTGAAACTTTCAATTTTGATTTTCCCCACAAGGTTCCATTTACCATGAGAGCTTTAAGTGCTTGATCAGCTCTAGCATATTCAATAAAAGCAAATTTTGTAGCGTGTTGGTTATTAGAGTTTGTAGAAATTTGATCATTGTTGCACAATCTATAGTTTGTAACATCTCCATAAACTCCAAAATACTCTAATAACTCATCCTCAGTAAATACAATGTCAATACCTGAAATATGAATAGTTCTTGCAACCACATTTTGTTCTGTAACTATGGGTTGTGACAATGGTAAACCAATGTACATGGATGATGGGCTTGCAGGAGTCGGACTGCCTAAATACATTGAAGTTACAAGAGGAGATGAAATAACACTCATTTCATCCTGTGGCATTACCATGTTGTTATTATTATTCAAAGTAGTGTGGTGGTGTTGATGTGTTGATTTATTTTTAGTGGATGGTGATGATGTGTTGATTTGTGGATGGTGGGTGTGCTGTTGTGTACTCTCATTATTGTTGCCCGTACCATGATCAGTAGTTGTTGGGGAGATGGATTGTGTCATTGTTGAATTGTTCGTTGTGGTCGATGGCGACAAAGATGAATGAGCTATTAAATTATTGGTTGTGTTGTTCTTTTTAGGGGATGACGAATTTGAAACTGTAGTGCTATTATTACTAGTAGGAATTTGGGGTAATGACGCTGTTAGTGATGAAATATTAATGGATGATGTTGTGGAAGAAACGTCCGAGTCAGTTGAAAACTCGCTATTCGTTCTATAATGATGGGGAGTCGTAGTGATTTTGTTTTGATTCAAGGATGATGATCGCTGATGTTGTCTACTATTAAAATCATGTTTTGCAAGAGAAATTTTCAAAATTTGTCCCAAATATTCTGTTCCGTCCAAGCACAAGGATGATTTAGCCTGATAGGGTTCTGCATACTCGATAAAAGCAAATCGTTTAGAGTAGGATGGATCTCCTGCTAATTTAATGTTTGTAATTTCTCCATATTTTGAAAATATACTTTGCAATGTTTCTATGGTGGTTACACTGGGAATGTTTCCGATATGAACGGTTCGGTTGTTGCTCACGTTATTCGATGATAGTGATGTGTGGGTTGGTCCGTGACGATTTTTCATTTTTTTATGAGAGGAAGTCAGAGGAGGTTTTCAAGGCATGATGATCACGAGTCCAAGTCTGTATTACATCAAAAGGTGACCAGGTCATGCTTTACTCTTGAAACAATTGTTATTCATGCTATTCCCCTGAGGCAGCACATTAGAGAAGCTTTTTTGACTTGGTAAAAATGTCTTCAACCAACGAAAATGATGACTCGAAAGCCTCATCCAGCCATTTTAAAAAGAAGGATGTTGTTCCTCCAATGATTTCAAAGATTGATCTTCAAAATAAGGAATTAATTCGAGCCATGGAAAATCTTCCCTCTACTCATCAGTTTCTTTCTAATCTTTCATCGTCTTCTTCGGATCCTTCATCATCACTCATCAAAATGATTCCTGATTTAATTCAAATCACCGTATTGTTCATGAATTATTACCAAAACCAAACAAAGGGCTTTGGGAGCCACAGTTTAATTTAGATCCATTTCTATTGAATTATATGGCACTATTCTATCAACAACAACAAAAACAGAATCATGATCGGAGTATTCATGAAGATGCCAACCAATATACCCACAATGAAATTAATCATGAACAACTTCCTCAAAGGTTATCAAAGCTATAGTAGTAGTGTTGGTTTGAACTTGATGATTCAAACAGTGTGGTTTCGCTCTTCAGAAGTTCTCTCTCGTGCATCCTTCTTCTTGAAACTTGTGCCGAAAAATATCCTCGAAATTGAGTCCCGACCTGCCATCAGAACTGAGATACAACAACAACACAACTCGGCATTCAACAATTTTGAAAATATTAAATCCCACTTGATAATTTCAATAATCATACGAGATATTGATTTACATCATTCCCTTGTAAATACTTCCAAAAATGTCAACCACCGCTACAACCACTGCTCAACAGCAATATGAACAATTACAACATTTGAAACGTATGGAAGAGAATACATCTCTCTATAAAACCATCCTCAAATTTGTTTGTGGTGGTGTCAGTGCTGGATTTGTCAGTGGTCTAATGAATTCACCTGACCATGTCAAGACAAGAATGCAATTAACACATCAATCAACAACAAACAGTGGAAATACTACGAACATGTCATTCTCACGTGCTTATTATAATTTATATAAAACTGAGGGATTGGGAGTGCTTTTGGGAAGAGGATTATTTGCTGCAGTAGTGAGAGAACAATTTTATAGCTCTGTTCGAATGGGATTGTATGTTATCATCATAATTTCAATCGTATTGAGGTTTTCACAACCCTATTTTACAACCATTTTATGAAATATTTTGAAATTATTTAATTTACATGACTACTAATGAACATTTGAAATCAAATCATCACAGATATGACCCATTGAAATTTATACTTTCTCAATTACTTTCCAAAAATTCAAATGTGAATGGACATGTTACTACTACCAGTGATGTTGGATTAACCATTAAAATATTGAGTGGTGCCATTTCAGGTTCCATTGGATCCATTGTTTCAAATGGATGTGATCTCGTTAAAATCAGACAGCAGAGTGTCATGAATGGATCAAGAGCACCCAATTGGTTTTTCATTGTTAAGAAAATTCTTAAAGAAGAGAATGGAGTGATGGGTTTGTTTCGAGGAGGAACACCAAATGTATTACGTGCGTCTATACTCACTGCTACTCAACTTTCTACCTATGACCATACCAAACATCTCCTTTTGAAAACACCTTACTTCTCTGATAATGTCTATACACACGTCACTGCATCACTAGTGGCTGGTTTGTTATCGACATTGGCAACAAATCCAAGCGATGTGATTAAAACTAAATTAATGGCATCTAAGAAGAGCCATCATGGTGTATCATCAGTGGCAGCTGAAATGGAATCGTACCGTGGATTGATCGATTGTGCAGTTAAGACCTATCAAAAGCATGGAATGAGAGCATTCATGTCTGGATTTGTTCCAAATTATATTCGAATTGGAACTCATTGTTTACTTACATTGCCATTATATGAAGAGTTGAGAAAATTGATGGGATTATCGAGTGTTTAACTATAATTTTGGATAATTATCGAATATTCATTCATTTCAATCATGGAAAGAGTCATCTTTTAAGGGATCTTTGGTGTGCAGCAAGTTGGCCAAATTTCCAAATAAAACCTTAAGAAAAAATATCCCGCCCTTGTAGTCTGTTGACCACAACAACACTCCGTCTACAAGGCTTGCTTTTTAATTTATTATTCATCAGTGTCATTATATTGCAATGGGAGTAACCGGAAGTAAGAATACAGCAACACCACAACACGGAGGTGTTCACTCTCCTGCCAAACTCCAAAAGATGATAAATTTTATGATAATAGCTTTATTCCAACAGCGGCCTATCATGAAACTAAAGTACCAACAATGTTTCGTTGGCCCTATGGCGGACGAAAAGTTTATATAATTGGCAGTTTTAATAATTGGTCTGAAAAGATTCCAATGTCATACAATAGTGAAGAGGAGGCTTTCGTAGTGATTTTGAACGTTTCCGTTGGAAAACATTTCTATCGAGTACGTTATTATATTTATTTTGATACGAGTTTATATCTTTGTTAACGGAATGACTCGTTCTTTTCATTCAAACTATTGAATCAAATTTGGAATAATTATGTCAGTTCATTGTTGATGGAGAATATACAACCGATCTGAATTCACCAACAGAAAAGGATGAACATGGTTATTTGAGTAACGTTGTCGATATTACAGCAGATGAAGAGAGTGAGGAAGCTGAAGAAGAAGAGGAAGAAGATGAGGATGATGATATCTCCTCCTCTTCATCATCATCGCATCATCATCATACGACATCTGCACCAATTGGAATTGGTAAAGCTCACGATAACATTTCCGCTGTAAAATCTCATGCAACAGGAGTACCAGCATCTTCACCACCGAGAAGAGCCAACACCAGTGCACCAAACCCTTATGGAGTTTCTACTTATCAATCTTCACATACACAATCTCACCAAACATCTCCGACGCATCATCATATTGATACTCACCACCATCAGTCTCCTACTGTAAAACAACATCACTCACCTCCAACATCTCCTCAACACAATTCTAGGAATGATCATAAGCATGAAAAAGGTGACACTTCACCAACCAAAGAAGGCGAGTCTAAACAGTACAGTAATACTTATGGATATCAAGAGGAAATATTCCCTGAAAATAAGAAAAATCCACCAATTTTGCCACCTCATTTACGTTATACTCCCCTCAATAGTAGTAAGAAATTCCACCATAATCCAGGCCTGTTACCAATTCCACTGCATGTCACTGTTAACCATGCTTACTTTTCTGAAAGAGATAACATGAATAAGGTTGGTGTTACACAGAGGTATAAGGATAAATTTACAACTGTGGTGCTGTACAAACCAAAACATACTGAGCTTAAAAAGTACCAAAATATAACAACCAACTAATAAACATTTTATTGCTTTGGTTTCTTTCGGTGCTGTTGGAATGGATTACTGACGCTTTCTTTTCGCTTTTTTTCTTCTTCCTTCTCACTTTCTTTGGGTTGTTTGGAAGTTGGCTGTTTTCGCTTTACCTCTCTACGTTCATCCTCTTCTTCATCTTTTGGGATTGTTTGTGTTCTTTGAATATTTCGAGAAATGCTTTGTTGTGCTTGTGCTTCTCGCTTTTGTTTGCGAGATGGAAAAATGGAATTCCACAAACCGGAAAACCATCCTTGTTTCTGAGGTTCCTCTGTAGTTGTTGATGCGTTCGAGGTGAGGGGTGATGGTTGAGAAATAGATTGTTGAGAAATAGGAGGAACAAATTCTTGAATGGGTTGTTCTGTCACTTCAATTTCTTCTGATTGCCTATTGATCTTTCTGTTTGCCCTCTTGGTCACATTTGGAGTAATTTGTTCCTTTGGTTCTGAGACATCATGACGTCCTGTCCTTTGGATAGCTTGTTCCTGTTGTGACATGTAAGAATTTCTTGGTATTGATGTTAATAATTCATTACTCATTTCGTCATCCATCTCTCCCAATCCTGAATAGGCAGCATTTGCAAAGTGCACAGGTTCAAGAGTTGGTAATGTAACACCACTATGTAAAAGTTGTTCGTTATAATTTCTAATTGCTTCTCTTCTTTTTCATTCAACTTGTTGTTAAAATCCACTTCTTCTCTATAGGTTTGACCATAAATAATTTGCTTATCTGATTCTCTTCTTTCAAAAGCAATCATAATTCTGTCAATAAATACAGATTGTAAATAAATAAAAATAGTCATAATGATCTTTGTGTACAGCACTGAATAAGTCTGTTGAGAGTACAAGTAGTAAATGAAAAACATGGCAAACACTTGAATGGGTGAAAAATAGGTCACTAAGGCTCTATCGTATTGAGAATAATCCCACATTTCAATTTCATAAATATACTTTTTTCCATTCAGAGAAGATCTTCTGTTTCCATTCATATTTGGTTCCATATCATCATAATAGCTAGTCATATTAGCTGGTCGATTGTTCTTTTCTTCTTCTTCTTTCTTTCAGAAAATGTTTTTCTTTTTGGTTTCTTATCATTGACTCTTCTTGAAACTCTTCGTTTTCCTCGAAGTGGTCCTCCTCTTCCCAAATCATCATTTCTCAAAAATCCAAAAGTAAAAAAGTGAAAGACACTCTCAATGATATTCACAATTAAAAGTAGAAATCTCATAAATACTCCATATTTAGCATGTTCTTCATTATACTTTTCAGTAAATCGAGGATGAATAGATCTTGTGAGATTAGGTGCACGTGCACGAGGTCTTCCACGGAAAAAGTTTCCTTGAAAATATTTTTCAATATTGATGATTCATCGAAGCATGTTCCTAAATGGTTACTATTGCCAGTACTACTACTGTTACTACTACTACTACTAGTCGTAGATCCTTCATAGATTTCATCCAATACTCGAGACGAGTCATCAAATATTTGATAAATTCTACTTCTACTAAAGAACGTTGCTGTATTATAAATACTGTATATACAAAGGAAGAAGTAAATGTAACGAGCCAAAGAGGATGGAATGAATCCGAGAGTACAAATAATTAATAGAACATTTGGTACAAGAATAAATAACATGTACAATTTTGTTTCAGAAATGTAATCGTAAATATCTTCATCAAAAAAGTATATTATTTTGAAACGTAATTCGTCAATGTAATCCATCAACGAGTCATATTTTGATTTGAAAAGTCTAAAAACCATGGTTCTTTGATAATAATGGTCGGGAGAGTGAATGAATAAAATTTTTTTTAAAATTGAGTGTGTGGAAATCATGATTTTGGCGGGCGGGAGTAAAATAGAGTCTGTTGCAGTCGCAGTCGAGTCTGCCACTAGTGCATCTCAGAGTTGGTTCTGATTCAGTCTCTGAACAAGTCTTTTTATGAAAATCAATGATGATGATTGAATATTGAATTTATTCTTGAGCATTACGTTCCAAATACTTTTCAATTTCATCAATAAATTCTTGTGCAATGACATTTTCATTCACAGTCAAATCTAGTAAATAAACATTTTGTTCCAATCCATCGAGTATACTATTCACACTCTCTTCACCACAAAATGGATTCATATCGAGATATAAATTTCGAACACTTTGATGATTCATTCCAATAAAATCACCAATGAATGATGCAGATTGATCATTAATTCCACAATGTGTCAAATCCACTGTTTGTACATAATGATTTTTCATGAGAGCATCCAATAAGAGAGCAATGTCATTCACAGAGAGAATTTGTCCACTCAAATCCACAATGGTCAATAAAGGATCATTTTGTTGTAATTTCTCACAAAGTTTTGGAATGTCAATGGGTTCAGAACGAGTGGGAGTGTTGTTGTTGGTGTTGTTGGTGTTGGTGTTGGTGTTCGAAGGAGAAGAGGCTAATGGTGATGAGCCTTGTTGTTGTTGAGGTGAGGTTGGAGTGGTGGGAACATCGAGCGTCGTAGATGATGAGCCTTGTTGTTGTTGTTTTCTTCTTCTTCGGGAGGAAGTATTGTTACTTTCTGTATCTACAATTGTTGTGGTGATGTTTTCATTGGACATTTTGCAAAGTAGTATGTGATGTGTGTTGTCGTCGACACCTAGAGAATGATGTTGTTTTTGTTGTGCGTGGCTGGCTGATAAAGGTTATTTTTTTTGACAGTTAACGGCTCATGTTCATTGCTGGTAGTCAAGATCGGCCATTGAGTCATGTGCACAGAGAGAGAAAATAATTTAATCATCCATAGTGTCATTGACATGATCATTACTACTAGTCGTTTCTGAAGGTGCCATCATGTAAGGTTGATCAATGACATACAAAGTACCATTCATACTCATTCCAACAATTGTATCAGTCGTAGTAGTAGCGGTACTACCACTCATTGGTCGAGTCATTCCAATCCATCGATGATCTGCATATAAACCATGTCCTCTTCCATGTCGTTGTTGTTTCTGATCTACAAAATTACCACATTTGAATTCACTATTATCAAATCCAGCAACATAACACAATTCCTTATTCACATTTGAAAATGATAAATAGGATGGAGCATATTTCAAACAATTTTGCCATTTGTGAATTGGAGACCATTTCAATGTATCATAAACATAAACGGTTCGATCACTTCCTAATACTCCTAATAAATTTGATGATTTGTGTTTGCTAGCCACACCAGTATGTGTGACTTCCATGTCATAAACAATTCCTCTTGTTCTTGTCAATCGATTAACAACCTTATTACTTCTAAAATCCCAAATAGATACATTATTGTATTCACCAATTGCTAGTAATGGTGTGTTTGATTGTTCAATCATGAATGGTTTTAATTTGGTTGGATTTTGCATGGTATGAATATGAAAGATGCTACTACTTCTATTCACATCATAAATAGAAACACTCTTATTTTCAAATTTACTTCTAATTATAATGGCATCATCGGTAGGGTGAAATTTAACACTGGAATGTCCACGAATGTGCATTTCTGATGAATGAGAGGAGTCATAGGGTAATTGAATAATCGATGATTCATCAATTTTTCTCTTCTTCTTATGTTGTTGGTTGTGAATATCTTGGTTGTGAATATCTTGGTCATGAGTATCAAGATCTTGAATGTCATCCTCATGAGTATCAAGATCTTGAAATATATAAACATTTCCCATGTCATCACAAACTCCAATTCTATTCTTTTGAATTTCAATATCTTGAAAATCACTCTTTCCACAATCATAAACACTTGAATATTAATATCTGCTAATGGGATGGGATAAGGTAATTTAGTATTCTTTGTTGGTCTCCAAAGAATATTCTCACTCTTTGGTAATTCATATTGAATTTTATAAAGTTTTTTATGATTAATAAAATAGAGAGAAGAGTTTGAATAGCAAGCTAATCGATTCGCATGAATATGACCAGGATCAATCACATGATGACTTGAAGTCGTAGTATCCAAATCTCCAATAATTGTTTTTTGTTTCGTAAGAATAGAAAGAGAATAAAGATTAATATGTTGAGTATAGGAAGAAGCAAGACTCTCCGATTTTAAATGATTTTCAGGAGCTGCTGAATGGACTTGATGAAGAGGTATGGACATTTTTTTTAAGGGTCGACCTTGTGTCTGAATCATAAAAAATCTGCAGCAAAGCCTTCCTCTTCTTTGAATCCCATCCGACGACGAGCATGCTAAAAGAGATGAATTACCAGTTGCTTTCTCTTCCTGCTGAAATTTGTGGACATGTTGCATCCTTTCTTGATGTCATTCATGCTTCCATATTCTACAAGACTCTCTTGATGATGAATGATCAGGGTCAATCCTCCTCCTCCTCCTCATCCAACAACAACAACAACAACAAGACGATACGACAAGTAGTACTCCTCTTGATCCTCACTCAACCATTATGATGCATCATCGTCATGATCCAAATTCCTTCAACCATCATCATCATGACGACTATTCTCCCATATTATTACAACAAATATTTCCAATGCTCTATTCCTATACGACTCATGGTGAGTCAAGTGGTGCCAATTCTCCATCCTTTTTCTTCAATAACAATAAACAATAACCATCCAAACAAGAGAAATTCACCTCCAACCAGAATCACACCTTCATCAGTAGAAATTGGAATGAATACATTGATTTCACAATCCTCAATGAATTCAAAACAATCACTCTCTTCTCATTCATCATTACAACAATCACAACAATCATCCCATTTCTCATCTCATGAAAAATTAAATCAAATCTGCAAGGAATTGAGTGAAATTTCTCTCATACTCTATTGTTATGATCAATTATTATATTTGAGATCACTTATTACTTCAAATTCTATACCTCCATTACATGCCATGAATACCAATATCATTTCTCATTTACTATCAAGTATGAATCATTTATCCTCTTCCACTACACAAAATCATGTATCATCATTATCATCCTCTCCCACTACACAAATATGAATCCAACGATAATGAATAATTTATATGAATTATGTGAATACTTTATTGGAATTGTTGAACCAATAAGAAATGATTATATTCATTTAAAAAGAATTCAATTTGAAGATTTATCAAATTATACTTGTCAATTAGATTCTATTGCTCTATTTATTGGATTTACCATGTGTCATTTTCATATTAAAAGAAAAGCACTCATTGATCCTTATGTGAGTCTATTTACATCATTACCTTATTTGAAAAAAGTAAAAGAAACATTACTTTTACCATATAATTTAACACAATTAGTACAAGAACATCATATTCCTATTCGATCTCATCGAGTTTTAAAACAATTAGAATCTTATAAGAATAACAAGTTTATTTATGAATTTTATCAAGCAACTTATGGATATTCCATCATGATGGATATCATTCGAGTGACAGAATTTGAATTAATGGATGAAGATTTTTTAAATGGAATTTTATTTTCATTGAAATTGTGTCCATGGATGGATTCAAATGTTGAAGAGGGTGGTCATGGTGGTCATCATGATTCTCGTGGAAATACTCACAATAGTCATGGTGATCAATCTCATGCAAAAACAGGTTGTAAAGAATTTCATGTATGGATTGATTTGAGAAGAGTGAAGAATGAAAAGTTATTATTAGAGAATTTGAAATGTCTATTATCACATTTAAATGATTCATCTACTCCTCGATTATTATATCTAGATATTAATTATTATGAAAGTGAAGAACAATTATATCAATATATTCAAGTATTGAATCATTCATTCACTCGTTGTTGTAGAAAACGACATTGGAATCATGTCATTCTTTCAGTATTTAGTGAAAAGCAAATGATGATTGATACTATTACTGACACTCTCTCAAATAGTACTACTATAGCACTACTGACACTCTCTCAAATAGTACTATTACTACCACTACTATTAGTACTACTATTAGCACTACTACTACCACTACTACCACTTTGGATCGGAAACAAACTCTCTCTCGACATGTTGATTCATCCAAGAGAGAAGTGATGAATATTCCTTCAGATTCACAACAGAACTCTCATTTTTCATTCACTCATCATATTCATCATTTAACTCTATTAGATAAGAATAATTATAATATTTTAAATAGAATCATTTACAAGAATACATGTCCATATTCTTCAAGCAAACTCTATCACTTGACCATCTCTAATATTGATCATTTACATTTATTTTTAAATAATCATTTAAATATTAAGAGAATTGATTTCTTTTCTCAAAATGGACCATATTCTGATAATTTTAATGATACTAATTTATTGAAATCATCATTTGAGAAATTAATGAGACTTTCTACCATTTATATTGATGATCGAAATGAAACATTAGGGTATTCTATTTTAGGAAATATTGGTATTTATGTAAATAATGTGATATTTAAATATAGTAGAAATGGATATACACTTTCATCACTCATTGAGTGTGTTAAAAGATATTCAAGAAGATTAACTAAATTAACATTGATTGATAACACTACTCCAACCACAGATTTACCATTACTCTCTAAATTAATATCTTCTTATTTATTTGATAATATGATTGAACAGTTAATTATTTATACAAAATCAATTTCATTGTTAAGTGAAATGTCAAATAGTATTCAACAAGTATTCTCTGCCAATGAATTGGAATTGAAATATTTGCAAATTAATAGAAAATCTCAATCGGTAGATTTTGTAATATTTTTGGGAAGAATGAATGGAGTGAACCATCACATGTTGTCTGGTGGTCATAGCGCCGCAACAACAACAACAGCGAGTGGTAGTACTGGTGGTATTCATACACTTGGGGGTAATGTTCATCATCATCACTACTCTACCACAACAGGTACTTCCATAACACCTCCTACTACATCCATGACGAGTATTTCAATCATCCATACAATACCCATTTCAGGTGAATATGAAATTATTGAAGAATTAATGATTGAGAAACGTCATGACATTGATGCAGTCATGAATAATGTTTGTTTGTTTGGATCCAATGTAGTGTTGATGAATGGTAGTCAAAATAGCAGTGAAGGAAATGTCAATGCACCACTTGCAGCGAATCGATGTACCTACAATCACTACACCTTGTATCGATTCTTGAATGCGTTGTCTCTGTCCAATTCACTCACATTGACACGACCATTTCTTGCTCAACTCATGGTCATCAAGTAATTTTATCGAGTAGTACTTGACACCATACTCTTGAGATCAATGACACCACAATACGCATTACAATATGATTTTAAGTCTATTCAATTGTTTATTCCATCAATTCATTGTCAATCACTTGATTGATGGCTAAAATCCAACTATTGAGAATAAATGGCAATGATAAATTACATCTTTGAATATGATACGTATTGTTATGTACACTCATGGTTGTGGATGGATCGATAAAACTTGTAGTCTTTTCAATTAATAAACTATTAAATGATTTTCTAATATTTACAAAGACATTATTCTTGTCGTTAGGATAATTATTTCTAAATGAAATGGAATAAGGTAGAATATCATTGTGATTAACAATGACACTAATAGATAAATTTGGTAACGTTAGAATTCCCTTTTCTTCAGGTGTTACTACAAAATTGATTTGATATCTCATGTCCTCCAAATGCTCTACATTCAATTTGTATTTGACTGAAAGGACATGAATTTGTTTCAATTTCAGAGAGTGTAATGACCTTTTTAGAATATCAGTGGGTTGCATTCTCTTTTTTTGATCTTTCAATCCAGTTGGAATGGACAATTTTCTCTTCTTATGGTTCAATAGTAATAATTCTTCATTATTCATCATGTCATTATTCATCATGTCACTAATACTTGTATAGAATGCATCTTCATTGAGAGGATTCATACTTGCTTCATGTAATTTCTTACAACATTCAATCATGGATACTTCTGTAACCTTCTCTTTAAGGAATTGAACAAGTACTAAATCCATGTTTTTGGAAGAAGATGTTGTGGAAGGTAATACAATGGTTGTACTCGTATTATGTGGTATTGAAGTACTAGAAGTAGTGCCACTACCACTAGAGGTTGTACTAGAAGTAGTGCCACTACCAGTACCACTACCAGTACCACTACTACTAGTCGTACTCGTCATGGCGGCAGTGCTAGCCGTCGTAGTAGTACCAGTCGTCGTCGCCGCCGCCGTAGTAGTACCAGCCGTAGTCGTAGCGCCAGTGGTAGCCGTTGGACCCAGTCCAGGCTGTACAGTGCCTCGTTCATGTGCGTTCAGTTTTGCATCAATAGAATTTCGAATATGTTTTGCACCCAACAATGATTGTTCTTTGAGAGTATCTAATTTCTTTCTTGATCCATTTTCATCCTTGATAAATGTAATGATGGTAAGTAATTCCTGAAAATACATGGATTTCTTTTCTAAATCTTTTCTTCCTTCAGGAGTAAGTTTGTTTTCTTCTGCTGCTTTTTTAAGTGAAATAACTTGTTTTTGTAAGGGTTGAATAATATTTGTCAATGTTTGAATATGTGGTTTTAAATAATCCACAATTTGTAAATATTGTTGTTTTTGTTCTGCAGTAAGTTCAGAATTCAGGCCTCGAGTGGGTTGTGTGACTAGTTGAAGAATGACTTGTATTACTGCCAGTCGTGTAGTAGTAGAAGTAGTGGTGGTAGTAGCAGTGGTGGTTGGATGTATTGAAGTGCTACCAGTGGTGGTAGTTGTGGTCGTGGCGACTCCACTCATGTTTCCACTCAATAGTTTACTAGCAGCAGCAGTATTGGTCGATAGAACTGGATTGGTCATGTTGGGAATATTTCCAGTATTATTTCCAATGGAAGTTGCTGCTGTAGCCATCATGTTGAAGAGTGAATTATCTTTGGTCAGTGTACTAGTGCCACCAGTTGCTGTTGTGGATGAATGAGTAGTATGATCAAGAATGTTCGAATTACCACCACCACTATTACCACTATTATTACCACTATGAGTAGAACTACTACTTGAATTCTTTTTCAAAATATCTAATAAAGCCTTTTCCATTTCATCCACACTTGTTTTTGATCCTTCTTTTCCTAACCATATAGCAACACTTTTTGCAAATTGTTCTTTCGTAGAAGCTGACTTCCATTCTTTACTCACATGACTCAAAATACTTTTTTTATCATCTGAAAGTTCATCAGCAGAAAAAGGTCGATTATGTTTAAATTCTGCAATCTTATTGAAAAGTATTTGACGAGATGCTTTACTCACTGCATCATGCCATTTGTTTTGAGTATTTTGTTGTTGTGTTGAAGATATGAGATGAGAGGTTGATGGATGGATCACACCACTACCACTCGTTGTATTTGTTGTTGTTGATGTGTTATTATTATTATTATTATTAGTATTAGTATTGTTACCAACATTGGGTATCATGCCCATTCCCACGGGTGGAATTCCCATCAAACCACTTCGTGCCAATACACTCGGATTGATACCACGAGCAGATGCCAATGCAGCCATATTAGTGACCATGGCAGCTGCTGCAGAGGATGGATCAACGTTACCTGCAGAATTAAAGGCTTGCATTAATTGTGCCATGTTGGATCCAGGAAGTAGAGTCGTGCCACCACCAGTAACACCAGTACCACTGCCTCGATTCATGGATAATTGCATCATTTGAGCCAGTGCTGCTGTGTTATTGTTGTTCGCATTCGTTGAGGAGGATGAAGGATTGTTGGAAGAGGGTGGTTGATTCGAAGGATGTTGCATTTTTTTTGATGTTATTTTTGTTTTTAAACGTGAGAGAAGGGAAATCATCATCATTAGGATTCAAAGTTATGATTCGAACCATTCGTGAATCATCTGAATTCGTTGTGAAATACATTCACAATGATATCTAGTTTCAAAACTCATGAGAGAAAATGGTCCAATCTTTCATGGAAATTATTAGGCACAAAAAAATGTCTACCCATACCAATCAACAACAACATGATGATGATACACACAACCACCATGAACAAGATGTTCATTCTCGACCAGAAACTTCTCATCATCAACAACAACAACAAATCATTCTTTCAATCAACAGGCTCATCATTCTCCTACAATTACTTTAAAAGACAATGACATTATGGATTTCACAAATGATGATGATAATTCAACTCATCTGGATGGTACTCGGAACTCAACCAACATGTTGCAACCACTCCTGTCATTAAAATTCTCAAAGTCAATCAATTAGACTCGGATCGTTTAGATTTTGAAATTGAAAATTATTTATTAAATTATATAAAAAGAGTATTCAAACATTTTAGAGTGTGTGAATATTATGAACCTGAAATTATGTTATTCATTAGAATATTCATTTATAAATATTCTATTTATGATAATAATCAAACATTTGGAGATCGAATTCAAAATTTAAAATATTCAAATACAGAAATGAAAGATCCAAATATATTCTCTAAATATTTGTATGGTATTGCATCCATTGGTATTCCATATTTATATGAAAGAGTTTGCAAAAGTCAATATTTAAATATTGAATATTTAAAGAGATTTGAATATTATTACAAAACATTAGAATTTATTAATTTTATAATATTTCTATATCAAGGAAAATATAAATCTCTCATTGATAGAATATTTCATTGGAGAAAGGTATATGCTACCAGATTTATGATTAGGTATGTGGAGTAGAATTGAGTAGAATTTATTCATTTGATATTATTATTATTCACATGTATATTATATTATTATATATATTCATTATTTGTATATTATATTATATTATAATATTTATTCATTCACATGTATATTATATTATAATAATATTTATTCATTCATATAATAATATCATTAGACAATTATCATTTGATTATATGAATACAGAATTGATATGGAATGGATTAGCAGAAACCATCTTATTTATTGCTCCTTTAATTAATTTTAAAAAATTATTGACATTTTTAAATCGAGTATGGGATTGGATGACAAGTCGAATGAGAAAAGATTTGAGAATGTGGATTGAGAATATATCACAACATGAGACTCTCAAGAAGGATATGAATTCTACAAGTCTTAATACGATCCATGATACTACTATTACTGGTACTACTTCTACTCTTCAATCATCCTCTTCATTGACAATGATCAACAACAACTCTTCTGAATACTATTCCAATCAAGAATGTCCATTTTGTAATGCTAATCCTATTTTAATACCCTATGTGAGTCATGATGGTGCATGTAAACATCGATTCTGTTATTATTGTATTGAAAATGCATTATTGAATGATTCAAGTGATCATTGTGTGAATTGTCCATCATGTTCCAAAGAAATTACAAAATCAAAAAGATTTTATAGATAGAGTGTGGTGTTTACTATTGGGAAAAGATGATTAGTGACACTATTGCCATTCTCTGCACTCTGAATAGATAAACCTTCTCTTGATCACTCAGTGACAAATCCTGCAAATAACACATTCTTGTGAACCATCAACAATGAAACTCGAATTGAGTGCATTGGACATTTGCTGAATCATTCATCTATTGAGAATAAAATAGAACAGATATGAAAGGATACCAGTTCCATTAGGATTGGAACACAGTTCTCATGATACTTCAGCAGAAGAGTGGTTAACAAATTCAATATAACCATAAACATTATCTAAACCATTCAAAGAGTAAAATGAAACGATACATTTCTTTTGGAAAACTGCACACATTTCGTCAATTCAATCTATAAACAAAAAA